TTCGGCCGGTGTAGCACCTTGATTCGAATACTACAATAATTACACAAATTGTAATAATAAAAAGGATTTTATTTCATTGTGGTTCAGTGGTTAAATCCAAACTGAAACTTAAGAAGTGAAGAAAGAATAATAAAAAAATTGTTTGCGCTCAGCGCCATCTGTTATCATAAATCCTCAACAGTGGATAATGCATCCAAAGGGCCAATACTTTATACCATAATTTGATCAGAAATTTTTTACAGTGTACTCAACTCAGTTTTTAGAAGGAAGGCAAGATATTAAAAAAATTATGAAACAAACCTATGAGTTTGATAAAATTTCTTGTATGTTGTAAATTAGGCATTCAATAAATTTAATCATGATTAATTTTTTTCTACAAGCACCTCTGTGATGTACACAATAATGTGAATGAGCTCCGATCTCCAACCCCTTGATGCGATTCTGACCAAAAAAAGCTAGTTAGCCACGTTTATTAATATTGTCTTACCTTTTTACTAAATCTTGCTTCTTCCCTTTTTGAAATATTATAAATGCAAATACATATAAATTCTGAAAAACATTATTTCAATTAATTTATTTGAAAACCATTTAAAGAAACATAATTTTAAATATTCATGTTTTTTCAAGTCAGTATTTCCGGCTCCACTGGAACACATATGCCCCGCAAATATGTCCCGCATCAGCTCAACGAAACTGGAACATACGTTCTCTTTTTAATAAATTTTGGTTGAACACACTTGTTTCACCTCAATAATCATCGATACAATTCATTTTTCAAAGAACATTGTTGTTTTTATTTTATTTGACCCATTGAGGATTTAATTTATTTATTTTTATAATAGAAAAAATTGGTAAGGAAAGGTTAAAGACATGTTGCTATGTTGCTCAAAAACTCTCAATCTAACATACTTCTTCAAATTTATATAAAAAATTTAAAAATTTATTGATATAAACAGTCATACCACTCGGTCCTTTAAAAACCACTTTCCCAAGTTCAAAGGCTGATTTGGAATATTTACAAATGCTGGCAAATCATATGTTCTCTCCAGTAAAATTTCTGAAAAACGATTTTAACTGGTTCATGGTAACAAATGCATAAAATATAAATTACCTGTACCTCTTTTTAAACTAAACGCGTCAAATAGAAATTATCAAATGGATTTAGTTGAATTATCTAATAGATTGATTTGGTTTAAAAAACGAATGCACCAAATATAAATCATCTAATGGATTCAGTTTTTTTAAACCAACTGCATCAAATATAAAGTACCTAATTGTTTGATCACTGCTATATGAAATAAATAACGTTCTTCAATCGATTATTTGTATTTTCTTAGGAACTTAAATGATTGACTATGACTCTATATTTTCTTAGCTGCATCTAGTCCAAGGACATACCCAATTTATGCATCAATTGATACAACAAAACTGCAGGCAAAAAGCTTTATTCCATACTCTTATAAAATATCGTTATATTGATCGTAGTCATGAGAAAGTTTCGCGTGATACCTAAACATTTGATCGTGCATATTTAATGCTATTTAGGTTCTCCAAAAACGGGCAGGTGTTATTTTTTATTGCAATGACATCTTCGCTGAATTCAAGATGTTTATTTTACTCACGCAATATCATAATGTGCATAAAATTCCTTAAAACATATGCAATATATTCTTAGAGAGTTCATATTTTAAAATGTATATATAATATTTGGAAACGTTAACTTATATGAAAGGTAAACTGGAAAGCTAGAATTTAAATAAAACAATCGTCCAAAAAAAGCAAATCGCACCACGAAAGGACAACGGAAACAAAATATTTTATAACAACTTTCTTAAAGCTCGTTACATTTTCCCACAACCACTAAACTATTCCTTCTTCATAGCTGATATCACAAATAGTTAAGGTCTTATTGATTCACTTTATTTTAATAGGTTTAGGAACTAATATAGATGACTCACATTAAGTTTTTACATGCTTTTTTTCAGATATTTCAAGGAAGTTGCCCAATCAGCAAGACGTGGAGACAACGTGGATGATTTTTTAGGCTGTGTTAATTTACCTTTGGAAGTAATACTTNTATATGAGGTCACCCCCAGGAACCATTAAGATTGACGCTTAGTTCGTGAAAATCTGATCATTAGAACAAAAGTTATTCAGGGTGATTCGTTTTTTTTTTTGCGGACTGTACATAGAACCCAAACAGAGGTGGACTTTATTTTTAATAATAGGGGAATTATAAATAACTGTAACAATTTAATCAATCTTTCTAAAACTAATCTTGCTATTAAACAACTTCAAACGAACTTTGCAGCCCACATATATAGACACACCCCAATAACAAGATTACCACCCCACCTCATAGACCACACTTTGAACCCCCATAGACAAAGTTAACAGCAATTATAATATCATCAGTAAAAAATTCTATACTGAACTGTTAAAAAGGAATTAATAAATGGTAAACTTTCAAGCTTAGCAATTTATTTAATATTATTATTATTTAAGCAATTCTAGCTTTCTATAAAGTTAAAAATTTAAATTTTTATAATATACAATTTCCATGATTTGCAATCAGTTTCAATTTCTTAAAATACCTTTTAAATTGCGAACAATCATTAATATGTCTAATACTTATTTAACTAAACCTGACATTATTTCCTCTAACTACTTAAATAAAATTATTACCGAGATTAAAAATGATTTTTATGGATTAATATTAGCAATCAACCTAATTTAGGTTCTATTAAACACAACAAAATTAAATCCACAGAGACTTATTGATTTCCAGGATCTCTTTAATAGCATTCCTCTTTCTAAACTAAAATGTGTTCTTTTGATTTAGTACTATGATAATAAAAATATCCTAAATTGCAAATTTAATTGCAAGGAAATTCAAATTAACTCTTGTCTTTTTAAAAATTATATTTATTATGGAATTATGATGTATGTAAATTAGTTATCTTTTTACAAAATTATGCATTTTGTTAAATAGTATTCACCCCGAGGAATTTATATTACTTCGTAATCATAACAATAATATTAATTTTAATTTTTTGAACTTAACGTTTGATAGAGAAGAAAATATTTATAAGGAATGATTTTAAGTTGAATATAAATTCACTAATTGCATGGAATTTTAATATTTCAAAGACATTAATTTAAATACTAATTCGAATCAAATAAATAGAATTAAAACAATTTGTAGTATTACTTATTTATCCAAAAACAAACAGATATACTTTTATAAAATTTGATTAAAAACAATGGTTATCCCACAAATGATATTAAATTTTATACAAAATCATTTACTTTATTGTGTATGAAAATTAATTGAAGAATATATTTATACTAAAAGCTTTCAGTCTTCTGGGTTAATTTTTTCCATGTGCAAATCCAATTCGGGAAAATTCAGGACAACCAAAAATTTAAATTAAAACCGTACTTCATTGTAATATTTTGAAATTTTATTACTAATCAATAGCCTCCTCTAATAATCGATTAAATAATTAATATCCTACAACAAATGTTTATAAGTTCTATAAAATCATTGAATTAAAATGCTGTATTTAAAATTAGACCTTTTATTAGCAATAAATTTTGAATTAACTAGTATAATACATATTACCTTCACAGATCCAGTATTCAGGCCAATCCAAGGTAACGACAAATCAAATACGGTTCTTAACTTCAGTGTGAATTCGCCTTAAAAATATATCCCACTACTCTCTATTAACGTTTAAGTTTCATAATTTGTAATCTGGCAACTTAGTTCCGAAAATATTTTTAAATGATGCAAAAAGTCACAATTTTGAGACAACTTGGGTGATTTTTTTTCTCGTTCATATCTAATATATGTATACTTTGTCCCGCAGTGGATTGATCGTTAAGACACGGTTCCCAGCAGATCACGGAAGTCAAGCATCGCTGGCTGTTGTCAGTGTGTGGGCGGGTGACCACGGATTAGTCTGCGTAGGGACCGAGGGTGTGCGGCATTGGTCCTCGTTAAACTGTTCTACCGTGAAGTGCTATACTTCGCATGCAGGTGATCGGGCTACCAAAGCGGGGGTGTCATCCCCTCTGCAGAGGATCAAAATTGTGATGGCATGTCTTCGGATCATCCTCAGGGATGTTTCCCAGACCGTCGCCAATAGCCCACTGTGCAGCTCTAGTGCGACGTAAATGAACTACAACAACGACAACATGTATACTTAATTTTAATATTATTTTTAAAAAAATAATAATTTTATCAATCAGTAGGAGTAGAGATGACGTGGATATTTTTTTAGATTGTTAATTTACCCTTGGAAATTGGAAGTAATAATTAATTTTACTTTCCAATTTACCCTCACAAATGTTATAGTCATATTTCGTGTTAAGTTTCTAAATGTAAGTCACTAAATTTAGTAGTTTATAATTAAATAAATAAGGACAGGGAATAACTTGAATAAAATTAAAAGCAAAATTTTTTATATCAAATTGTAGAGAGCTCATTTAGGAAGATGTTATGCTTACTTACTTGCAAAAGCTCTATGGCAACTAAAAATGGTTCCGCAGTGAACTGATCGTTAAGACACGGTTCCTAGCAGATCACCGAAGTCAGGCATCACTAGCTGCGGTCAGTGTGCTGGTGGGTGACCACTTGGATCAGTCTGCGTAGGGATCGAGGGTGTGCGGTATGGGTCCTCGCTAAACTGCTCTACCGTAAAGTGCTCGACCTCGCGTGCAGGTTGTCGGACTTTTGGAGCGGGGGTGCCATCTCCTCTGCAGAGGATCAAAACTATGATGGCATGTCTTCGGATCATCCTCAGGGATGCTCCCCAGACGTTCTCCAGCATAAAGTTATAGCTGTTTCGAATCCCGCCATAACCCTTGATGTATCTTAGTATTGTCTTACTTTGAACTGTGCTATCTGTCTTTCTTTTTTACAAAGGTTTATAAGCGGTACTTTTGTCATTGAGAACACAAGCCTGTATCTATGTGTACCAATGAATAAATAAAATGATTGTTGTGTAAACATTAGGTAGATACTTAATTTACGTCACGCAAGAGCTGCGCAATGGATTATTGGTGACGGTCTGGGAAGTATCCCTTAAGATAATCCGAGGACATGCCATCATATTAGGTCAGTTCCTCAATTTAGACATATATCTGAAGGCGAAGGAAATTTTCCCCAGATCCCTGTACCCATGGTACCGCTCAGCAACCGACCACAACACTTTCGATTCCAAAGATTTTACGAGAACGTATATCGCAAATATTCGGTGGATCTTAGCGAAGCCGAGGGTGATCTCCCACCTAACGCTTCAAAGCATTGTGGTAGTGGGTTCAAATCCCGCTGTTACCCTGGATGTATCTTTGTGCTGTTCTTCTCTGCATTGTGCTATCTGTCTATCTATTTGACATTGACTTATAACCCATAATTAAACACATAAGCCCGCAAATGTATGTTGTACCAATAAACCATTAAACAAAATGAGCAATAAGCTACATTAATGAAAAAGCAGAGCTATAGGCTAATGCAAAAAGCTCGTCACCCACTTCTACCACCTACAATCTAATTAAAATTATCATTATGTAAACATTGAGAATAACTTTATTAATTTGAATATAATGTATTGAAAATGGAATTATCGGTTTTTTTTTCAACAAGGATTTTATTTTTATTTAACTATTTCCAATTTTATAACACAGATCACTGTTTTTTTAAAAAATGAATAACCCTTCTAGGAAATATCAGCCGCTGGTGTAGATCGGTGGTTCCGCCTTCGAGGACGTACCAATCGCTCTAATGTTCAAGGACAAATACACTTGAAATTAAAATTTGGAACTCGTGAAGATCGAGGAATTGCTGCTGGAAATAATAATTTGCGAGAGATTCGAGAACATCAAAAACTCTTTTGGATATTCATGGACCATGAACTTAGAAAATTTGAAGTAAGTATAATTAGCGGATATTTTTCAGACCAGTTATTTGAATGTGTTTTAAAAAAAATTCTTGGTTATTGATAACTCATGAAAACTAGCTTTAATGTATTACATGATCTTAACTTATATATTTGAATTTTCTGTATAAAAGATGTTTTATGGGCTATAACAATTATCTGGTTATACTATAGTTTCAGAAACAATTTCAACACACAAGTTTTTTTCTTCTTTTTTTTTAATTTTTCAAAAATAAAATACAATAAAGCTTTTTATTCTACATAAAATAATTCGTCCAGCTTTATTATAAAACAAAAAATTCAACAAATGTGAACAATGAGAAGTCAGACTAAATAGTACTTTCGTTTTTACTTTCAGTTATAATATGGCGCATATTTGATGCACCATATTGAACTTTGAACCACAGCATCGTGTATTTTATTTTATATTATATTTTGCATTTATATCCATCGTTGAACAGCCGAACCAATTCTTGAGTTTACGACTACTAATGTTCAACTCCGTAGCCTTGTAATTTTGAACCAATCCAGAAGAGAAGGAAACTCCTGGATCAGTACCCCCAGAGGTTTTGATTTACTATGGGAACATGGAGGACTTAGCGACTCGACTGATTTAACGTGTATCATTCACCATTTACTACATGGGAAGTCTTCGGCCGGTGGGGATCGAACCCACGAACTCTTGGACATCGGCCCAGTGCCCTACCGACCAGACTATCCCGGCCTTATATCATTATGTAGTCAAGTTTAAAAGCAGTATAATATGATTCAACTTAACTTCATATTAAGGTTGCAGTAGAATTATATGATGGGTCCGGGCAGTTGTCCGGGATTCTGCTGCCGGATAACTCAAGTGTCATAATATGACATTTTTCCTACGGGTACTTTAGTCTGTTAAATTGTTTCTCCGACAGGTATATTCGCCCGACAGTGTAGACGCGTAAGACGCGTACGTGTAATATTCATATATTTTAACGAATTTATATTTATACGGTTTATTTATATTATTATATTATTTATATGCATTATTTTTATTTATTATATTTATTACATTATTTATATTTATTATATTAGCATTTTTAATAATTTAATGATAATTTTGATCAGTTATATTTGTCAATAAATTGAGGTTTTCGTTATTTTTTGTCTGGCAAATGGTCAAGTGAGTTGCTGGATTACCGATAGTGGCGCAGATGTACCTGACCCTATTGCATACAGACGTAAACTTCGTTAATGATGGTCAACTGTTTAAGAAATTTGGAATTACGAGAGAAATAATCATCTTTGTTAAATCTTACCCATTCCGCATTCTCTTAAAATTCTTTCTAGAATAGGCAGCATTGTAAGCATTTATTTATATTGTTGCATTAATTTTCTTTCAGCGTAATAGTTATGAATGGTCAGGAGAAATGCCGCAACAAGCTCTTTTAATCTTGCATCAACATGCTTTACAAGGAGATATAACAGATTTACAACAATCAGTATGGTAAGAAGACGCATCTTTAATTTTTTTTTTTTTTTTTTTTTTAAAAAAAGTTTAGGACATTCTAATAATAAACTTCATCCTCGAATAGCTAGAATATCCTACCATCTAGACAATAAGATGTTTCTGCGTAATATGCTGTAAGTAGTTGAAACTATCTAGAAATACTACAGAAATTTAAAAAACGTGTGACCATCCGGAAATACTACAGAAATTTCGAAAATTCGTATTGTAACTATCTTGAAATACTACAGAAATTTTGAAAATTCGAATTGTAACTATCTGGAAAACTACAAAAATTTCAAAAATTCATATTATAACTATCTGGAAATACTACAGAAATTTCAAAAATTCATATTATAACTATCTGGAAATACTACAGAAATTTCGAAAATTCATATTGTAACTATCTGGAAATAGCACAGAAATTTCGAAAACTATTAATATAACTATTCGTAAATACTACAAAAATTTCAAAAATTCGTATTGTAATTATCTGAAAATTCTACAGAAAGTTTCCAATTTAAATGTGGTTTATTTAAGCTACATTGCCTCAAGCCAAGTACAAAATCAGTGCAATTTTTACAGTGCAAAACTCAATACTTTATTTGAAAGCAAGCCTCTACGATTCATTGTCTCCTGTTCACCTTTCATTATTTATTTATTTATTTTTTAACTTTTCGCACAGCTTATAAGGATGTTTGCTTTGTAACCCTAAATATTCAATATCTTTTAAATTTGGAACCACCGCTTCTTTATAGCATCCTTTACTAATGGCATTAAACTCTATAAATGCAGTACAATGAAATGCTTTTTAAATATATTAAAAAAATATTTTTGCGATGCAAAAGTGTCTGAATATTAGGTCGGCCATTGAGGTGAAAGAGGTGAAGCTAAATTTATTATTAAGCACAGATTTCAATTTCCCCAAATTTTTAATTGTTATTTTCTCAACTGGGCAGTCTTTTGAAGCATGCAAAATACAAGGTCAACGTCTAATAAGAATTGAAGAAATATAACACGCTGTATTTTTCAATTTCAATAATTTTTTCTCCTGGTGAAGTTGTTGTAGTTAATTTACGTCACACTAGAGCTGCAGAATGGGGCATTGGCAACGGTCTGGAAAACATACCTGAGGATGATCCGAAGACACGCCATCATAATTTTGATCCTCTGCAGAAGTGATGGAACCCCCACTTCGATAGCCCAACGACCTGCACGCGAAGTAGAGAACTTTACGGTAGAACAGTTTAACGAGAACCAATAACGCACACCCTCTTTCCATACTCAGAATGATCCAAGTGGTCACCCACCCGCACACTGACAGCAGCCAGTGATGTTCGTCTTCGGTGATCAGCTGCAAACCGTTTCTTAGCGATCAGCCCACTGCGGGACTTTTCCTGGTGAAGTTATAGAGATACAATTCTGCAATTTGAAATTTTAGGAAAATAGTTTAACATTTTTGCCGTTTTTCAATTCGTATTTCTTAAAAATATTTTTTTTGCATAATTCACATTAAAAGAATTTTCAATACAAGCAAAAATGTTTTCAATATAAGCAAAAATGTTTTCAATATAAGCAAAAATGTTTTTTTAAAGATCTAACCAAAGTCAAATGTACAATATGAAATAAATTTATCCAAAATTACTATACACATAATTATATCGGTTTAATTTTTTGTGAAAAAAAATTGTAAACGCTCAAAAAGTACTATTTTTCACAATTTATCTATATTTCTTAATTATTTTGATAAATTTTGAACTTTTGAATAATATTCTATCGAGAAAACGGATGTCAAGAATTTTGTCGAAAAGTTCAGTTCATAATGGAAAAGGGCTCTTAAGAAGAAACATTGTGTATTCATGTGAACTTATGAATTTTTATAGATAATACATTTTTTTAATCTTTATAAATCGGCCAACATACTTCTGACATTACATAGATTCAATTTAAATTCTTATTAACAGTTACGATTGTTTCAAAAATTTTATTTATTCTAATATAAATTCATTTTCTTTCTCACAATTCATAACCTTGATTTTTTACGAGTAGTTTGTGAGTTTTATTTATTCTTATCATGAACTTATTTTAATTAAAATGAAACTTTTGTTGCGTGAAATAAAATCTTTGTCATCTTGATCCTTTTATGTAGCAGTATTTATCTTTTTTCGTAGAAAACTGAGACTTGCGTAAATTCCATGACTGCCAACTCTTCTGGTTTTTCTGGAAATGTAACTCTTTCGGTTAGATTGGTTCCAGATTTTAAAACGTTGCAAAATATATATTTAATTACGAATTCGTGGTAATTTTACATTAATATATATTTAGTTAGAAATTCGCAAGTAAGAATTTAAACTATTTTGACTACAGCAATTTACAAATAACATAACTATTTGATTAGAAAGTCTGATAGCCGTTCGATTTGGAACAAACAAAAAAAAAAGAAAAAAGAAAAAAAAGAAGAAAAAAAAACGTTGCTTAAAATTTTCAATACAAGAGTTGTTGCTACCAATAGAAAAAACTTACGCGAAAGCTTAAAATAGTGGCAGCTCAGAAATTCAGACAAATCTGTCCTAAAAAGTAGCAAATATGGCATTTGATATTTTACTACTATATGAATATGTTTAGTTTTTGGAACGGTGATTGACGATGTAAACATGGTAAGTATATTGGAAAGAATATTATTGCTAACTACTCAAAGTTATTCCTTTGCATTCACATAATTTTTAATTTAAATGAAGAGGTTCAGCACAAAATATTAGTTAGATTTTAAAAATCTATGTTTTCTAAACTATTACTTACGTTAGAATAAGTGATATACACGATTGAAAAAAAGTATTATTTTTATCAGTCGTACTTGTTACGTGTGCTACTCAACGAACCTTAAATCAGTAATCAAGAACATAACTCACATTTTATAATGTCATAGCTACATAAATGCGTTCTGAAAACGTTACGACATCGGGAATTCTTTAATGTGCCTTTGAAATAAAATCTGCCGTGGTAGCTTAGTGGTTAGTGATTGGGGATTCAATACTCGACACCGCTTACACCCACCGAGTACATGCGATATATGGGCTCGTAAAATCTGCATAAATTAAATTCTGTGGTCGGTCACTGAGCAGTACCATGGATACAGGGATCTGAAGAAAATTTCCTTCCCCTTCAGATCTATGTCTAAATTAAGGAAGTTGCCTCCCGAATTGCGATGGCATGTCTTCGGATCATCCTCAGTGATGTTACTCAACGTAAATAAAGCATCTACTTACCTTGACGTAAAACTATAAAAAGAAATCATATGTAGGCAGATATAAGAATATTTGGATGTTTCCCTAGACACTATTTATAAAACACTGATGCCAAAAACATTGAACTGTTTGTGCAGCATAACAAGACTCAAACAGTCTGTTGTTTCACACAATTGTGAACGGATTTGGATGAAGTAGAACGAACGTGCTTTACAGATTAGATACAAATTTTAATAAATTTAATTTCTTTTTTTTTCTGTAACTGGCGTTGAATACCCGATCCAATTTTAAGTTGACGACAATCAATGTTCAACTCCGTATCCGTGTAATTTTGAACCGAACCCAGAAAGCAAAAAGACTCCTGGATCAAGCATTGGAACATTGTACTTGCAAAATAAGTATAATTAGTAGTGCCCTAATTATATGGTAATTAAGTTTTACGTGTTTATAAAACAATGATACTGGAAAAGCAAGACTTGTAGAGACTAGACTTGTAGATCAACACAGAAAGTGGCTGTTTTTTCTTCTAGCATATAAACGTGGACTGAATGATTTTAGAATATAATCATCAGGAATTTCTGCTCTAGTAATGGCCAAAAGATTTATTCTACAATTATGAACTTTTAGTCACTTTAACCCTTTGAACGTTATTCCCAGCTTCTTCTGAACGTTTAAATGCGGGCTTTCTTGCGTCAAAAATTTTTTCCTCCATATTCTTCAATGGAAAAGTAGTGTAAAGCATGGGAATTTCTGCACAATTTTACCTGTTGCTCAAGCTTGGATGATTAATTACTACTCATTAGAGTTCCTTGTAGTTCCGTAGCATCGGGTAATTTTCAAACTATCCTTCGCCGCAGTATTATTGTGCTAATGCGTTGGAACCATATTTTTTAACCTATTTATGGATTATATAATAGTAATTTAGGCATATTTTATCCAGTATTTTCTTTTTTACAGTCAGTGGTTATATATTTACCATAAATATTGGGAAGTTTTTCTTGATTGCCCATTCTTTATCAAAATGTTTTTCAACAATGAGTGGATTATATAATAGTTTTAGACATATTTTACCCATTTGTTTCTTTTTTACAGTCAGTGGTTGGCTATTTACCGTAAGCATAAAGAAGTTATTCTTGATTATGCATTTCTGTATCAACAACTTGAAGAATTGTCTCTCGCTTGGGATAAAAATGAAGAGGTACTCTCAATGGAAGAAGTAAGAATTCCTTTTTTTTTCATCGAAGAAAATGATCATAAAATGTAATTGAAGTTTTTTAGCTATGCACACTGAAAAACGGACCCCCCTGAATGACTTTAAATCTAATGAACGGATATTCCGTTCTAGGACTCAATCTTGTGGTTTGAGGGGCAACCTCAAATTAGCTAATTAATAATTACAGACGATATTCATAGACAGAGCAGACGGTATTCGTAGACAATGATGACGGTATTCGTAGACAGTGCGGACGGTATTCGTTGACAGTGCAGACGATATTCGGTCAGGAGACAATTTTGCCGCTCTCCTGACTAAACTATTGAGAGCATATTTCCCTGATTGCGTCTACCCCCTATATCTTAGGGGTTAGGAATCTGAATCCACCGAAAAAAGGCATACTTATTCAGAGAAAGTTTATTTTTTGTGTCTGATTTCGTAACTTGATATATCGTCTGAAGCATATTACTAAGCATATTTGAGGCCTACCCTTCAAACCATAATGATTGAGTCCTAGAACGTGAAAATCCGATCATTAGATAAGTAATTCAGGTGAGCCTGTTTTTTTCCCGCCCCATACATATCGATATAATTATAATTTCTTAAAACGAAAAATCCTTGACATCTTAAAAACTGCTTGGTATCTTAATTTTTCCTTTGATATCTTAATGATTTGATGCGTTCTGCTTTCCCGTCCACTCGTACAATATGAGATTGACCTTTAGTCATTATTTGATGACCATTGATGTTTTATTTTTTCATTCGTTAGTTGACGTTTTTCCTCGAAAAAGAGACTTAGCGATAAAATGAGGATAACTTTCTACACTATTTACCGTTCCAACGCATTTGAAGATTCGAAATAAAAGTAATATTAGTGCCTCTTATCAAATTTCTTATTGAAATCGATTAAACTCCATATAATTGAATTTATTAACAGACGTACTCTGTGACTTAACATTCGACTCTTAGACTATAAATCAAACATCTGCTTTTCTTATATTTCCTTTACTTATTTTTAAAAAATGTACGTATCTGAAAGAAAACATTCATAAGAGTTTATTAAAATACAGATAAGTGATTAAGTTTAACGGTTACAATATTTGAAGAAGTTAAAGTTTTACAGCAACATCTCGATTTAACTAAACTAGCATAAAAGTGAATAACCTTTTGGACAAATGCTAACTTGAAAACAAATAATGTAACTTGCAAAAATAAAGTTAGAAGTTACGGGTTGCATAACTAGTAACTAAAAGATGGCTTAGGGCTTATGTTTGCTGGAATACAGAGCCTGAAGATTTATATATCAAGTAAGAATTTCTTAATCTATACGCCAGATACTTCTAATAAATCTGTGCGTGATTAATTTGGGTAATTATTCTTTTAAGTGAAGAAGAGATGAAAGAGAAAGAATATTGCTATCTAGACAAATGATGTGTTGTTTTCGATGCTTTTTTTACGATGAATCAAATAAGCTAATCTGAAATTGATAAAACTAATTGTTTAGGAATGGTTTGTTTGTATAAAAAAACACTTAAGTACTTATGCATACCTGAAATTAAGCCGAAGCAAGTGAGGTATTGTTTCGTTTGTATTTTGTTACGGGGAATCGAATGCAATCAAAGACAAGTCATTAGAATTAATAGTTTAGAAGTTGTAAGACATAAAAATGTTTAATTTGTACAATATTTGACAAAGCTTTTGAAACGGATATATAGACAAGTGAGGTATTGTTTCCGATGTACTTTTTTACGCTATAACCAATAAAATAAAAGTTCTCATCCAAAATACTAAGAATTTTATGCATAAAAATTATAATTTTTGACTTATATCCTTTTATTCATAAAATCTTTATAACATCAAAGTTTTTAGTTATATCAACGTAATTTTGATTTTATTTGATGCTGAGTAAAAAACGCATAATATTTATCACTTCATTTGTTTATATAAGTGTGTCAGGCGTATAAATAGGTATAGGTACAAAACACTTCGTTTTGTACATAAAAGTCTTAATAGCGTTCGAACTATTGATCCTCAATGCTTTGTTTTAATCTAATTAGATTCAGCGAAAAAACACTGAAACCATAACCTAACTTCCATTGATAGACATGCCAACAGTGTAAATAAGTATAAACACAAAACTGATTTTTTATGGATATAACCGTGATAGCTTCTAAATTATTAGTTCTGTAGATTTTGAATCAGTTTTAGAGTAAAAATTCCAGTGTAAAAATGCATCGAACATAATACCTCATTTGTCTGAACAGCAACATTTAAATCTATTCCCCATTTTACCCTTTCTTGTCCCCCCTCAATATAACTTTTAAAGAAGGAAGAATGATTTAAAGATATTGGAAAAGAGTTCCAATATCATTAAATCATGTTTACCTAATATACGAACAGTGGTAAAAACGAATACTTTTATCATGAAGCGCGAAATGTTTTTACTAAGCCGCCCCACAACTAGTCTTCTAAGTCATCTTTAAAGTTCTAAAGCTATAGCACTAAATGTCATTGAAGTGATCTGCTTTGTAGATCTGATCAGCTGTTATTTTACAGGTAATTAATAATAAAATAAAAATGCTGCTAATTTTTGTGCGTTTTCTATTTACTGCTTTTTCTCATTTAATCTGATATTTAGAATAATTTCACAAGTGTTTCATATACTTAGGAAGGAGACTTATCTGAATCTCTCAATGAATTTGTCGAACACTGTATTGAGCTCTTACGTCATCATCGGAAGTACTTTACTCCTCATAATACTTTGTCTTGGCACAGAATGAAATTCATGATGAAGTAAGTATTTCATTCAATGCAATTACTTAGTAGTTATTTTTATACAATATGGATAAATTCCAATGTTGAGCCGTGGTACCTCAGTGGATAGAGCTCCAATGAAGTGCCCCGGTTTCGAATCCCAGCGATGGCTTGTCGATGCGAATTCCTCACCCGGGTTACACTTACTAGAGTGCTGACGTCAATTTCCTTAGTGGTAGACGAATCATCGGTTTGAGTTTCTTTGCCGTCAGGCTAAACATAACAGGTTCTCGTGGTTTTGCTCCCCATGTAACGCAAATGCGGGTAAGTTTCATCAAACAGTCCTCCATGAAGGCAAATTTCTCCCAATACTGGTTCCAGGAGCTTCCTTGTCTTCTGGATTGGGTTCAAAATTACAAGCCTACGGAGTTGAAGATTGAAGTTGAGTAATAATTGGGACGGCTGTTCAACTACAGTCTCAAAATTTCCAATGTTGTGAGCTATGTTATACGTCACATTGCAATGCTTACGTTTGTAGCTCTACGTAACGTTTCAGTTTACAATGACGCTAGGAGTTGATTGTGGGATATATTTTTGGAAACCAAAGTAATTTAAAAATACCTCATATGTTATTTTCATATTACCATGATTTTTCTAATTGAAAGCCACCCAAGTAGTTCTAGGCTTTTGTTTTAAAATATTTTTTTTTTGTTGTATTGAAATAAAAAGGTACTAATTAAGAGCTATAAAAATATTACAATATTGAAGGTTTTTTAAAAGAAATAATAGAAGAAAATTAAAGTTTGCAATCTCGGAGTTTTTGTTCAATAGTTAGATTTCTTGCTTAAAATGAAACTTTTTTTAACTAAGTTTATGACTATACTGCTGCCATCTATCGTATAATCGTTAAACTTGGCACAGTTCAATTCAGAAAATTTCTTCTAAGTTTCTCTTTAATCGATTTTAAATTTAAAAAAGGAAATAAGCAACAGGAAATTTAGTTAACGTTATTAGGAAGAAAACGCAATATCTACCCTTAACTAAATTAAAGGAACAATCTATGGTCATCATGTCTTTGGTTATAAACTCGTGATTGATGTAGAGAAATAAAATTTTTAAGTTTATAATCCGATAGCACACACACTAGAAAAAGGGTTTTATGATTCCAGAAAAATTAATATAATACAATTTTTTCCTTAACATGCACTTGATTGAATACAGACGGACTTCTATTTAACGAAGTAGCTAAATCACGGTAATAAGTTCGTTATATGGAAAACTCGTTAAATAGAAAATCACCTTTTGAAATATTTAAATAACACAAAACATGTTTTAAATTCATAAACACTAGGCATAATTAAAATAGCAATTGATGCACCTTTATCTTGTAAACTAGCATCTACTATTTATTGAATAAATCTTAATCATAAAAGAAATTTGCATAGAAAGCAAGAATATGGCAAAACATTATCCAGTGTTACACTATAATGCTACGTGTATTTTCAACTGAAAAAAGCTAAATTTATGCATATAATTATGGCTGCGTTTATTATAAACGTAATTTTAAACATACGTTACCACATGCGTTCTTAAGTTCAAATGCTACTGATAAAATTCGTTAATTTTTCGTATGAAATGCAAACAAAAAGGGAAGGGGATTTTACTGCCTTCACTAAAAGTGAAGTGGCTTTGAAAATCAATTCAAGGTCATTTTCCTCATAAAATGCGTTAACAAGTTTTAAATGTTCTGAAATAGTTTGGGAAATAGGGAAAGTGGAGCTCAAAGAAAAGTTCGTTAAATAGAAAATTCACTTCACTATTCGGAAGTAATTTTACGAAGAAATTTCCAAAATATTCTTGGTTCCTCGAAAAAAATCTCAAAATAGTGAAATTCCCAAAATGGAAGCTTGTTAAATAGAAGTTCGACTGTGTTTTAAACGAATGTTTCTTAAACTTTGAAGGGAGAAAATTTAATTTTTAAGCGGAATATAAATCTCATTTTTCCTTTGATTTGAGATTTCTGCGCCTTCTTTGAAAACTAAAGATAACTCTAGTTTATTTTTAAATTGTTTTATTCTATCAATATTTTATTAGTTAGCATTTATTTCAAATCCTCCATTTCGAGTTTATTTACGCGCATCAAACGCACTACCTCTACTATACTTCTGACAATAGGTTTTAGTTTGTTTTTATTTATTTACTTTCTATCAGAATTCTTTCTTTTTTTGTGTGTCATTATTAATCCCTGAAATAGTCTATTTTTGTTTTTAAAAAAAAAATTTGATAATTCAATAGTAAAAAAATTTTAAAAAAAATTCACCTAAAGTAAAAAATAATTTGAAAATTCGTAAAAATGAATTTTCAACATCGAAGCTCTGTTGCCAAAGAAAATAAAAAAGCCATAGTTTAAGACCAATGCAATGCGACGCAATGCATTAACTTGAAGCAATGCGACGATTTGAAACTATATATATATGATATATATATAATCTTGCCATGAAGAATCATCTGGGCCTTAGAACAGGCAAATAACTTAAATATTTTAAAAGCTATTAAACATTTTTTTAAAAAATCGCCAATTTTGCTATATTTTTCCACCTAGATGAAAATTATCAAAATCACTACCTTATTCTAAATTTTAGAAAATTTCTATGAGCCCAGGTTATGCAACATTAGAGTAACTTTTGAAATATTAAAAAATTAGACCACAAACGTTTTTCATTTTCACAGAACTGTGACTTTTCTTCATATTGACGTTTTATGCAATTTTCAAAGTAAGCGTAGACAGCACTGGCTTTAGATAGAATAAACTTGACCTAACAGTCATGAGTAACAGTTGCAAACTCATAACAGTTACAAAATTAGCATATTATTCGCAAAAACGCATCCTATCATATTACGACGGAGACTTCGAAAAACAGCCTGGAAGAAGTTAGTAATGTACGGCTGCCTGCGTTCTGCGTTAGGTAACTAGAATTTCTCATTAAAGAGCTTCAAAATTAGTTACGAAGTTCGTCAAAAGATGGCGTAGATAACTGAAAAATCAATAAAAACAATCTTTTCTGCTGCATATTTGATCATTATAACTGAAATATTTGTAGGAGTCTCTGTTAGTTTTGTCTTCACACAGCATAACATTATTTCTACGTTTAGTACTTTTTAGTTTTCAGAAAATATTGTTTTATAGTTTTTCCTAATTACCTGCTGCATGCGTTGATGATTTTTTTTAAACTGATATTGAAGTTTCGTGAAAATAATTTGTAATTTTCGAAGCAAAACGCATCAAATCGTACTTTTTTATGTCTTTCCATTTCTCAAAATTTTTTAAATCGTCGAATCATATTTGGGACACTCAATTTATGTAACTTACAATCAATCAATCAATTAGAATCAATCAATTATATAACTTTATTAATCTATATACATTTGAAATTGCGCAAATTTTATAGAGTCTCAACAAAACAAAAAAATGCACAATCAAAAGAATCTTGAACTTTTTCTGTCGGCGTCTCTTCTTGTACGTTCGGCGTTTTTGTGCCCGTATGGTGGGCGTCGCATACCGTGCGACGATGAGAAAAATTGCATCATTGAAATTGAATTTGTTGCTACTTACAAGTCTCTTTAAATCCCGATTATTTTTGTATTTCTGAATATTGCTAAGAGATGACGCAACTAATTTCACTTACGTCACAAGTTTCGATGTGAGATTTCCCGACTTGAATTGAAGTCAAAATAATTTTGTACTTTCTGTCATTTCGTTTTCATTAGTGTTTCCGTTGGTGTAGTGTAAGGTTGGAAAATTATTTTCCAAAATATTTTTTAACCTAATTTTAATAATTATTTTAAGCAGATATTTGTCTTTAACACCTTAATGCAGTGCTTTCCAAACTTTTTGTACCTGCGCCCCCCTCTTTGGAAAAAAAANCACCTTAATACAATAAAGTTAATTAATATGTTATCATAGTGTATTTTTCTAAGATAAAACTCGAGTGCATTGCTGGGAAAACTGGTGATCAGTGCACGAGACATCATATATTTCACCACCAATAGGTCGAGCAAAAAACTGCTTGCTGGCAAAAATATTTCAGATTTTCGAATTTAGAATAGAACATACATTAATTTTCAATAATAATTTTGGGGGGAGGTGGATATTCGAAAAAAAATCTAGCAGAGAAAGGGTTAAAATATTTGAAAATTGATTTTAAGATAAACATGTTTGATGGATAGAAAAATTAAAAGTACTAGCTCAATCTATTTTCTTTAAAAACTACAGCATTGTTTTAATTTTTGCATTTTAGACATGCATCGAAACACGCAATTACTTTTTCTAAAAAATCTTTTATACAGTAAAATATAACTTATTTAGTGCTGCATCTGTTCAGAATATTAACAAGTAATCACCAAATGGAAACTCAGTTCGCTTTCTTTTATTTTTAAACATCTTAAAACGATATAATGTTTTTTGGTGTCGCATTGTCGCAGTCAGTTGCATGAATGTCAAAAAATGACCTCTTTGGTTGAAGAAAAATTAAGCTAGTTATAGGAAGTTTTTGCGATAATTCCTATAATTAAACGGAATAAATTTCCTCTAAAAATTGACTGTGAATTATATCTTAATTGTTCTTAAAATTTGAAGTTTGGATCTGTGTTAAGCTTCCATCTCTTGAGAAATGTCCATTAATATTACAAATTGTAAAAGTATTGTAAGAGAGGGCAGAAATATTCTAATTTTAAATAGACTTATTTCTCTATTAAAACTTGAAAGCCTTAAATCAAAAATCTTGTTGGTTTTTCGCTATTACTTATTTTTAAAGTAAATATAATGCTGAATATCCGTAATATACGAAAATAATTATAAAAATTTACGACGAAATATTAACGTATGCAACAGCTACTTTGTTAAATAAATTTTTCAATAACAAATCTGAGGGAATATGAATGGTTTTTGCGTGTTTCAATGGTTTTAAGATGTCAACAATTTAAGTGTAAAGATAATTGCAACAGATCGTAGGAAAGAATAAATGGCTTTTAATTTATAGTTTCTTGATCTTTTTGCTTTTCTTGAAGTGGTCCGAAGGCAACAGATAAGGAATTCATTGATAAGGTTTGTTAAACAATATTTTTATTTAATTTTAGGTAAATAAAATGAAAAGCTACTTATGTAAATAGTTCAAATATAAAAAAAGCTAAAATATTTTTCTCAGCGAAATATTTATATGGAATTGATTTCTACATAAAAACTTATAAGTGAATATTTTTTTTTAAAAAAAAAACTTTTTTTTGTATGAATATAATCATTACACAATGTCTTTGCTGTGTGTTTAATTTATATAACTATTTTAAAAGTAATCATGTTGTTAAAAAAAATTTTAAAAAAACTTCATTCCTTTCCAAAAATTTACTTGGAAGCCTGTATGCAATTAATATAATATTTTTGCAACAGAATTCCATTGTCTTGCTCTTAAAATAGGAAGTAGTGCAAATCGCGTAGACATTGTAATGCCAATGTTTTCCCTATAAGTTTATTGTTTATAGGGAAAGTCATTTTTTTCGAGTAATATTAGTAATCGAGTAATCGAGTATTTCGAGTAATCGAGTATTCTTAGGATTATGAATGATTTATAAAAAGAAATTAATTTATCGTATTACCTAAAACTAGTTTGATTTTTAAGATAATTTTTTATAAGTGGAAATGTGGGTAGGATTTTTAAAATTTCACTTATTGTAAAGAATTCCTGGTTTATAAATAGCCAGATTTTCATGTTGTGGGTTTATAAATTGAAATAAGCTCGATAAGAATAATCAATTGAGTGAATAACACACTAGAGAAAATCGCTCCACAGTGTTGACCTCTCGGCTTGACTCCACGCTAACCACATTTATACAAACAAAGCTCTGTATTGGTATTTTTTGTATTTTCTGCAGTTATCAGAAGATAATAGTACAAATCATAGGTGGAAAAATAGCTTCCTATTGACATTTAAAAATTAATGAAGATTGTGAGAAGTATACTACCCATGGCCTTATAAAGAGTTAATTTGGCATCCAAAATTACAGTGAAAAAGAAAAGAGTTATTATAGTGTTTATTTTTTAATAGAAATTAAATTCTATTAAGAAATAAACACTATAATAACTTTCTTTCCACTGTATTTTTGGTTGTCATATTAACTCTTTATAAGGCTATGGGTAGTATACCTCTCGCAAACTTCTTTAATTTTTAAATGTCAATGGGAAGCTATTTTGTATATTGTATTTTGTATAAGTGAGAAATAACTGAATTCTAAGTTTAATAAATAGAAATAAACTCGGTATGAAATGATCAATTAAGTGAATGCATAACACATTGGAGAAAATAGTTCCACAGTCTTTGCATCTCTGCTTGACAGTGCAATAACCTTCACTGTAAATATAATTATACATACAAAGCCCTTCATTGATATTTGTTGTATTTTCTGAAGTTCTCAGAAAATGGTGGCACAGATCATAGATAGCTTCCCATCGACATTTAAAAATTAATGAAGTTGGTGGGAATTATACTACCCATGGTCTTATAAAGGATTAATCTAATATCCTAAAATACAAGGAAAAATGTTACTTATTTTTATTTAATGTATATCCTAAAATACAATGAAAATTGTAAAATAATACAATGAAAAGTGTAAGTCTAAATAGAATGATATTTTGTATAAGTAGGAAATATTTAGAGAATAAAATAAAAGTAAAAGTAGCTGTAGTTAAAACATATTTTTTACCTCTCTTTGAGAAGCTTTCTTATTTATGTTAGGAAACTGATAAAAATATTAACCACCACAGACACTCTATCAAATAAATACTGACTAACATCACCTTAATAATGAATAAAAAAATGCTTTTAGAAAGCCTAAATTTTCGTAAAACCATGAAATTTTCAACTATTCTAAAATTTCAGATTTTAAACTGATTTATTACATGGAGATTTGTGCGTACATCAATGCTATATGTAATAAGTAAAAAACAATTTTTGCCTTTTAAAAGAAAAATCTTTTTGCTTGTGATTTGTAAAGAATAATGAAAACAAAAAAAAGTACAGCTTTGACTAAAAATATATTATTCAGCTTTCTATATATTGATAGAATAACATAAAAATAGAAAAAGAAACAAGTCAGAGAGACTATTTCTAATGAGATATGGCCTTAGGTTGTAAAAACAAATAAAGGAGTTTCTTAAAATTAAAGATAAAAAAAAGTGTATTTTTCCATGGCTTTCAATGCACGAGGAAAATTCAAAAGCTTTTTACACAATTGCTGATATTCGGGAAGGCTTATTTCTTGCTTTTTATTCTATTTCAATCACTTGAGAGGCTTTTATCAATACTGGATCATTTTAAAAAGTAGTTAAATGACTTTTTGGAACATTGAAATACTTTCAATGGGTTCTATACTGGCAGAAAAGTAAAGCTCACATTTTACATTTGTCAAAGAATAATCCTTTGCTTTTATTTTTTACTCCGATTACTGAATTTAGAAGGAAAAAAAAATTTCTTCTAATAAAATAATGCAAAAAACTGAGACAAAACATCACTATATAAAGCAAATAATACTTAAGATATTGCACTCTGTAAAATAATAACTACTCTGCATTTTTGGCGTTTGTAAAGAAAACTAAATAAATGAAGGAAACTTACAACACTTATAAAAATAGAATGACATAAAAATATTGTACTGCATATATTTAAATTGATATACAGCTGCTCTCCGTAATCATCGCCCTTAATATACATTTTTTAATAAGCTATATTTAACTCAAATCAAAACAATTTCCACATTAAGGGTCGTAAATTAATATTTAAGCGAGGAAGAAAGAAATGCATTCCCGAAATATTTAGAATCACTAGACAGGAAAATGGGGTGAAAAACATTTTTCGAGGTTCAATTACTTTATGAAATTTAGAGGTGTTTTTAATTTATCTCCATTTCAAGTGCGCAAAATAAAAAATGCAACAGCTTTATCATTTTTAATCTAGTGATCAGATTATCATGTACGGAGATGCAATCCTAATGGTTCAGGAGGTTGACTTTACATATGCTAATTAATTTAAGTAATAGATTCAGACACAAAACCGTACTTTCTGTGAATAAACATGTATTTCCTTCATGGATTTGGATTCTGAATTCTAAATTAGGGAGTGAGTTGCCACAATCTGAAAAATATTATTCCAATAGATTAGGCAGAAGTGAGGTCGAACGTTTGGACCCCTTAAAGTTGAAAACCATTTTCGCGTCTCTAGATCTCTGGAACCATTCAAAAGAATCTAAAAATTTTGAGTATCAACAATCCAAATCCGTCTATGAAAATATGCGAGTTTACTTAAAATAAGTATATTCTTATGTCTGACTTCGTAACTTAAAATGTCGATTGTTCAAATGCATTAACATCTGATTATTGAATCAAAAGTTATTAGGTTGTCCAATTTTTTATTTTGCGTATTGTTTATATGACGCTTTCATTTTGAAAAATTTTGCATTTGTTTAATTTTTTTAACGATGTGTGAAATATATATATTTTGCGAAATATGAATGATATTACGATGTATCATTTAACGATGTATCAATTAATTTATATCATAAATCTAACATTGAATTTTGAGATACAACTTATTTGTGTTTTTATTTAGATCCTTATCAATAACATATTTGATGAATGCTTTCAAAGAATTTTTTCCCTTTCGTAACGACTTTCACGTTGAAGTATCAAACGCTTTGAAGGTGAGTTATGTTGTTATGAATTGTCTATTAATATTATATAATTTTTTAGCCCTGTTTAAAATTTAAACTCCTATTGCCTAAGGAGCTGTTTATATATGTTGTCACACTTTAACTATTTTGACCCCCTGTTTTATTTGTCACTAAGTGTCACACTCCAGAATACTGCTTTGTAAAATGTTGCGCTATATTACAAAGCGCAACGTATGAGATAATAATTTTTTTTCTTTAGTTTTAATGACATTTGTGAGTATAACAATGTTACTTATTTTGCATGAAATCCGAGTAATTTTTTCTACAAAGAAATTTATATTTAACATAAAATGAATTTTTTTTGAGGATTTTGTGATGCATTACTTCACATTTTAATGCCGAGACTAGGACTAAACCGAGACCGTGCTTTCAATTTTACAATTTTTATTTATTGAACAAATTTTCAACTTATTTTGTAGATAAATGTAATTTTTTTTCTATGGTGTTGGAAGTGTGAACACAAATAATAAAACAATGGTTTTAATGTAATCACCAATTCCAGCAACAACGAGGAACAGTCTCAGAACGAAATAACAGAAGTCAGTGTAAAATATTTAGCTGAAATGGTTCCACATGCTGCAGAAAAATATAGTTTTATAGTTTTTCTGTTCAGCAGCGTCATCTTTTGGCGAAGTTTTAAGAATAATGCAGAAGTCAATGTCAAATCTGTATTGAAGAGAAAAACAAAATAATCCTTGCGAGTTTATTGCGCAAGTTTCAAACCCACTCTATAAATGGTTGTGGACACTAACATGTTAATAAAATTATGCTTATTTATTTGAATACATTTATTATCGATTAAAAATATTTTCCCCTATTTTGAAAGTCATGTCAACAACTAATTTTCTGATATTATTTATAATCAAGAGGCTAGTTGCACTTAATATTAATTATTTTATAATACATTAAAATCTTAAAATTTATGAAAAATAACAAGAATTTCTAAAAAGTCATGGTCTTGATTAGCATTAAAAAAAATGAATTAATATACAAAAATGGGAAACTGGTTGTTAACATTAGAGTAAGTTTTTGGTCTCAACATTTAATACCCGTTTTTATTTCTAGAAGAGTAATACTATCTGGATGGAAGAAATAAAGTCAGAAATTGAACTCAATCAGGTATAATGCTCTTAAATTCAAAATTTATAATTTTATTGTGAAATTTCATACATTATTTCTTCAAAATACAGGTAAACCCAAAAAAGAAAATTTAAATTTCAAATGAAAAATTTTGTTTTCTTTTTATATAATGCCAAATTTTTCCTACATCATCATAAAATAGAGAGTTTGCAATTTCTCGCTCATAAAACGCCTCTCTTGTCTTGGCTGGTAAGTTTATTGTACTCTTTTAATCTTTGTAATTTTCAATTAAACGAATTTATAAATTCAGCTTAAGCTCTGTCTTAAGTATTCCTCATCAAAACTTGGATGATAACCTATTGGTATAAATCTTTGATTCAAATAAAAGTCCAATGGGTTTAAATCAGCGTGTCAGCTTCCTATTTTTTGTTTCCTTTTTGATTTTGAATAAGACATCAGATCCTCAGCATTGCAAATCACATTGCAAAACATCTGATGCGCAGCAACCATCATCATCACGCCGTTGTTCACAAAATTGCGAAGAATAATTTACTTTCTTTATATTCTATGATACTACCTAGTTGTTGTATCTTAGATACTTAATAATGAATGACTGTTAACTTGGATTTTGAGCAGTATAACCACCATCCCTCGCAATTTCTAAAAAAGTAGAGAAGTGCTTTATAAAAAACTTTTTCTTTGTGTCAACATATTCAACATAGAAATGCTTCATTGAGACTACCTTTTATAAATTACTCCCATCCAACATTATGACATTTTTACAATACCACCGTTTAAAAATTGATATACATTTTCAGGCATTAATTTAATCTTAGCATAACTATTTTCACATTTTTATAACATCTAATGTTATTGCAAATTATTTCCTTTCTGTATTGTAAGCAGCACATACCAACTTCAAAGGATATCAGAAGACAGTATCAAGTATAGAAACACAAATTCATAATAAGGGTGTTCCGTAACGGCTGTCCTTAATATGTACTTTCGGAATCCTTGTGAAAAATTAAATAAAAAAATACACACATATTCTACAGACATTAAATGTAGGGATTCACAATTTATTATTTAAGCCAGGAAGAAACAAAAACGTTTTCTAAATCTGTCACACTGCTAGTAAGTCTTACTAGCCCACTGTTTATTTCAACAATCAAACAGAATGAGATATTTTAGTATCGCTTTCTTCAGTAGTGATTTATTAGATTTCTATAGCTTTTAATTTATTTTCTTGACTTACATATTTACTTCGCAATCAACAGTATGCTTCCTTTTAAACAAAGATTCTAAAAATATATATTTAGAATAATACGTTCCTAAATATAGCGGAATGAAATCGAAACACTAGATTATTGGTGTTAATGGTATTAGTTTTGTGATTTGTTATGAAAATTTTGTTATTTAAAAGTTGCACATTGCTATTCATATTAATCATTAATTACTGAAAACCTTCTATTTTATTTTTTCAGGATAGTCCGAATTCCGTTCATAGTTTTATTCAATTCATTGATCGCATAAATTATGATTTAAACAAAGCTGAAGCACACCATCATCATTTGATTGAAAGGTTTGTCTAATTCAATATTTGTAGATCAGATAAATTGAAATTAATGATTTATGTGTGTTTATGAGTTTAGTGTATTATCGAATAAATTTAAATTAAAGATATTTGTTTATTTATCGAGTCATGGTTTATTAAAATACTTCAAAAATGTATTAAAAATCAAATAAGTTTAAATTAATGATATCTTAGGTAAGTGCAAAAATAATTACAGCTTTTTATTTGCACAAAAAAGGTAGAGCATTTAATTAATATTAAATTAAAAATCCAGTTTTAATATGTGAAGGCAGGTTATTAGTAAAAACATGTTACTCTAAAAAGGAAATAAAAAATCAAATTAAATTAAAATACCCGTACTTGATACGCGGTCTTATTAACTTAAAAAAATGTATTAAAAACAAATAATGAAAGAATAGTTAATAAGATAAAGGAAAAGTAAGTAAATGTTATAATTGCCGAAAGTTTTGCTATTTATATGCTAAAAGAGCTGGTTCTAGTTTAATCAGGTAAAATTTAAAGCCCAGATTTCATCCTAAACTGCAATATCTAACTCTCTGATAAACATATTTGATTTAAAAGTTCTTCATCGTGATTTATTTAGTAAGAAAGCACTACAATGAGTTTTAATAAACAAAAACTATGGTTATATTTCCAAAGTTATATCTTATATAAAATATATCATACAACTAATTCCATACTTAAATAGCATTTTTTTTCTGAGTTTAGTTTTTAACAAATATTTCGAATTTTAATGCTTAGTAGAAAACCACTACAATAATTTTTAGTGAGAAGCTGCGACACAAATGCTTCCACAGTTACATCTCCTAATTACCAAAATTATAAAAACATTTCTTATTTAATTTAATTTTTAAACGAAGTTTTCTAATTCTTATATGTTCAGTAAGAAACCACTACAATAATTTTTTGTGAAAACCAACACAATTTTTCCAAAGTTAGATTCTATTAAATAGTTTTTTGTAAATTGAAAAAAAATTAGTTAACACTAGTTTTAAACAAAGCTTTCTAATTCTAATTTTAAATAGTTTGGTTAAATGTACGTTTTTTTAAATAATTTTTAAAAGTTTTAATTTTTTATATAATTAAGTGTATTAGCATTATTTTATATAATTAAGTGTATTTTTATATAATTAAGTGTATTAAAGTGTATTAGCATTTATAAGTTATGCACTGAATAGTTTAGAGAGTTCTTCTCTAAAGCTTTATATATGCGCTTAAAACTATGAGACCTATCTCATTTGCTTTTACATACAAAAAATCCTGTAATAAAACAAATCGTAAAGACAGGGTTCTTAGTAGGACATCGAAGTCAAGTTTCGTTGATTGAGGTCAGTGTGCGGGAGGGTGATCACTTTAATCAGCCTGCGTAGGAATCGAGGGTGCGTGGTATCAGTCCTCGTTAAACTGTTCTTCCTAAAGTGTTAGACTTGCGCAAAATTCGCCGGGTTACAAAACCGTGAGCGTCATCCCCTCTGTAGAGAATGAAAATCGTGATGGCATGCCTTCGGATCATCCTCATCTTACAGTAATGTTTCCCAGACCGTCAACAAAAGCCCATTGTAATGTTCTAGTGTGACGTAAATAAACCACTACTATATTCAAAAAATTAAGATCTTTAAAATAATATGAAAATATCCCTCTAAAATTAAGTTATTTTCTACTAAATAATTTTAAAGTTAATAAATTTTTGATAAGAAAAGTTCAAAATGTTAAAATTTCTTTTCAACCAAAATGAAAAAGTTAGAAATTAAAAATGAAACAAAGGTAAATTTTTTATTTCACAAAATTTAAAAAAAAACGCACGCATTATAAAGTTAACAGACATCTTGCAGTAATTTTTTAACGTTTAGACTCGAGACTTTTCATAAAATGAATGCTTTATTCAATGCTTTTTTTAATTTTAATTAATTAAAATAATGAATAAAATAATTCTAATAAAATCCCGGTACAAAACTGTTTTTTTAGAATTTGTCTTCTAAACTCAATATTTAATATGTTCTTAAAAAATTATTTTATGACCCAGAAGAAAAATTAATTAGACTAAATATTACCGAAATATGAATAGAAATAAGAGCATGCAAATTAAACCCATATAAAATTGAATCAACCGTTCTGCAAAATATACAAAGATTAAATGCGTTCTTAAATTTTAAAAATCTTAATTTCTTGCTTTATGCAGAAAAAATATATGTGTATTTATATCTATATACCATACCGTTTCACTTCAAGAAATCCCGATGAATCGATTAAAACAAGTCTTTTATAATTTCAATGTTTTCAGAAAGAAAAAAATATCTTATTAAGAAAAATAATATAATCTATAGAATTCATTAGAAAAAAGTTTGAAATAAAATGACGAGATGTTTACATTTTATTTTTGAATGAAACCCTTTCTTTATGTTAATTTTTTTTACCCATCTAATAATATTCTTTCAACGAAAAAGAGTTCAGTTATTGGAAAATGTATGGTTGCTTATAGTTTATAATTAGTTTAAAAATATTTTCTCTCGTTTTCTTGAAATAAGAAAAAAGTTGGTAATTCTTTTCACCATACTAAAAAAGAGATTTTTTACCATTTTGATAAGGAAAATTCCGAAATATATTTTGTCACCTAAACTTTTTTTAAAAGCTTCTAGCGTTAAACTTTTTATGCTTTTTAAGGAATATAAAACTTATACTATAAATTAGCTCTTATATATGTAATAAGAAATCTTGTTAAAACATGGCATTATTAAATGCACGACAATGTTCGAAAATTAAAATTGTTTCTGTGTTAGCAAAATTAATCATCATGTACTAACAAATTAAAAATTCTATTGAAGCTATATACTGAATTGTCTATACAACAAATTACAAATTTCATCCAAAAACATACCGTAAATGCCGTAAAACATCTATTACCTCATTACTTATATTAGATGATAATACGGTTTACGTCCATTTTTCACAAAAATTACGATTGGGTATTTCAACGATAAGTAAGTTTTAACAAATCAATAACGTAGAAAATCGGTTCACCCTGACAGTTGTTACACTGTGAAGATGGACCATACTGTTGAAAAACGGTTACGATTTCCGCGCAAATTCGTTTTTTTCTCTGAATCAGTTTTCATAGACATAAACCATTCTCCCCCTTTGATCTTCAGATAGTTATTACCACACTTAATTAAGCATCGCTGGCGTCAATAATAGTTAGGTGGTTTTTTGCGACCCCTCGAAGCGTGAAAGCAGCCTTTAATTTTATTCTATTAACTTATAAGTCATAATTTATAGTTTTGCATTTGTAAAATAGCAACAGTAAGCAACCAGTATGTAAAAAATATGCTTCAGAATTTTCCTAAAATTGAGTAAGGGCATGATAAAGAAATGGAAACTCTAACAGGCTTTAAAAAAAACGCTCCAATAAACGTCACTAGATGGCGCATAAGAAGCGTGAAGGCGCATATGTGGCATATGCAAATACAATAATATAGCAAAATTTAACTGCCCTTTTTTTTATTTTATTTCATTTTATAACCGTCGTTGATCAGCCGACCCAATTTTTGGGTTTACGACTACTAATGTTCAACTCCGCAGCCTTGTAATTTTGAACCCAATCCCGAAGACAAGGGAACTCCTGGATCAAGTATTGGGAGAAATTTTCCTTCGTGGAGAACTCTTTGATGGAACTAATCCGCATTTGCGTTACATGGAGAGGAAGACCACAAGAACCTTTCACGGTTAGCCTGACGGCAAGGGGACTCTAACCCATGATCCGTCTACCACTGAGGATATTTCACGTCAGCACTGTGGTTGGTGCAAGCTGGATGCGGAATTCGTATCGACAAGCCATCGCCGGGATCGAACCCCGGCTCACCTCATTGGAAGGCGAACACTCTATCCTCTGAGTTATCCCGGCTCTGTCTTCTTTTTTTTTCAATATGATACCACTTATTGTTTACAACTATCTGGAAATTGAATAGGAAGTAATTGAATGTTACGCACATATTTACACTTATGTGCTATTCAGCTCAGACTTATATTGTGGTATCTCTGTAGACTAAATCTTCGTGGTATCCTTCATCTAAAAGTCTCAAAGATTCAAGTTTAGAGATCTGGGAGGCCAAGCTGTAAGGAAATAATGGTTGAGGATCACTATCTAGTGGTGGTTTTGAAATTTTTTTTGATACCATATTTTCCTAAAATTCCGATGCAGAAGTTTTGAAACAAACGGCTTAAAATAACTTTAATTATGGACATTCGGTATTATAAAAATCAAATACTTATTAACATTTGTTTTGAAATATTTAAGAATATGATGAATTTTCTTGATTTTTTTTCCTTATTGACAGTATGCTTAGGGACGTAACGCATTAAAATAAATATAAATGTTCTGCTGAAGTTTGCATACAAGCTCTCCCTTTGCTATATTGTGAATAAAAATTTTTGTTTTTGCTTATGGTGAACAATAAATCGAAACTTAAAAGAAAGAAAAAACTAAATAAAAAATTAAAAACAACTAATGAACTTTGGAAAATGCAAGAAAGGAAAAAAACTCTTATTACTTTTTTCACTGAATTTAAAATCTAGTCTCTATCAAAAAGCTTTGACTATTTTGAGTCTTTAATTTGACAAATCTGTTAAACTAAATCTTACATACATATTTCTCTTCACTTAGAATTAGAGCATAGGGTTTCTATCATAGCTTTCGATCTCACTCTATTGTTCCAATCGTTTTCAATTCACTTATAATCATCCCGCGCCAAGTATTTTTAGGTATACCTCTTTTTCTATTGCCCTGAAGGTCCCAATCAAAAGCTACTTTTACTTTATATTTTTCAGGCTTACGCAGAACGTGACCAATCCATTTCCATTTGCGTTTTTTAATTTCTAGATCAATTTGTTTCTGTTTTGCTTTCCTGAGGATTTCTGTATTACAAATTTTATGGAACCACTCGATACGCAAGAAACTTCTTAAACAGTTCTTAATGAATACTTGAAGTTTTTTCACGTTATTTTCATTGCAGTGTAGTATTGTATTATAGATTTAACATTAGTACTGAAAATTTTAATTTTTGTTGAATTTGTTATGTTTTTGTTTCTCAGGAATTTGTTGAGAATAACTTAACTGCTTCGAGCTCATTTAAAATAAAATAACTTTCCATTTTCGTGACTAATTATTTCTACCCTGCAATTGAATTTGAAAAATTGTTTAGCTATTAAAATATGTTCTTTACACGCACTTATTCTTTAGTATTAGTGGAAGAATTTATTTACTGTTCTTATTGTTTTTTGAAAATCCTTTAAAATATGAACATGTAAATAAATTAGTTACAATTTCAAATTTTTAAAATTAAATCGTATTTTTATTTCAGTATTCTTTTCATTGATTATCTGCCTTTGGTATTCAAGCAAACAGGGAAACAGGTATGAATTAAATGTAATTTGCAAAAATTATGATTGAGACCAATTTTGATCGACTTTTAGCTAAATTACATTATTATATCCCTGAAACCCCTCAGGATGGTTTTTTGCACTGTACATGTTTAATTTTTCACGTATAGTGGTGATTAAAACCTTGCTATTTAAAATTTATGAATCCAAGAGTGTGAAATAGTGTGAAAGTGTGATCTTTCTAAGATTGATGAAGAGCGTGATCCAAGAGTTTGAAAGACGTAAGTTTTGCTATCACCTAAAATATAAAAATAAACTCGTCTGCAAAATCGGGAATAATTCTCACCCCCAAAACAGCGTTAATATTTATTAAATCAAATAAGTTGGAGCTTTTTAAAATTTTTCTAAGACTAAAGTAAACAAAAGTTGCAAAAAAAATTTATTGAATGGAAAAATTGTTTTATATTACCACACAAAAATTTTAAATTGGAGTAGCAACAAACAAAATATTTTAGCTTGCAATTCACCATGGTAAAACAAAACAACCATTTAAGAAGCTTTTAAACTCAAAAAAGGCTAGATTTTTTTTTTCAAAAATTTATATTCTATAAATAAATGTAAGCATAAATGTACCAAAACTTCTTTCTTTACATTCGAAAGTTTCTAAAGTTAGTTTTTTCAATCAAATCCTGAGTGACAGACTAGAGCGAGTAATTCACAAGATATTAAATTACTGCAAGGTAAAGTGCTATTTTATTTACTTTACATGTCTTGTACTACTATTTATTTTCTTCCGCTACATTTTGTTTTTTATTTCACTTTTTCCTTCATTTACTTTTTTGAAATATTGTTTGGTTTTTAATATCATTTCGAAACATTTATCCTTCAGATATACGATGAAATAGTGAAAAGGATTGGACTACGCGTAAGTATTATTTTTCTTATTTTAAATCTAAATATTTCCTTTGATTATATAATGTATTGTTTCTGAGTAGAAACAACTATATAAAATATTTTCGAAGAAAAATAATACTTTGGTAATTTATTAAACTAAACCAAGCGTGTTACTGATTGAAAACCTTATTCGCCTAAAAAATATTCAATTTATAAATAACATTCAACGCGTTTCAAGAGCTCAAAAACAGGCACCCATTTTCAAGACTTGTCAGTCGAGAATAAGAAAAAACAAAAGTGATGTGAACTAAAAATTTTAATTTGCAAGCGAAAAAATTTGAAAACAAAGGTGAGAAACAAAATTAGAAAAAATAACAGTAGTCGAGCGAGGGAAAAAAAAAGATGAAAAACAGAACAAGAAACAGGGAAAAGAAAACAACAGTGGGAAGAGCGGGGCAAATCAACACCTCCTTGAAGTAGGAAGACCTGAGCACGGATCAATTTAGTAGTCCGATGTGACGAAGTTAAATGCGCAGTAGATGAAAAATAAGAAAGATGTCATTACGTTCGGGATACTAAGCTGCGCAGTGGTTGAAAATACGAAATATGCCATTACGTTTGGACTACTAAAGGATATTTATGGTAACCCGTGCTGAGGCCTGCTCATTTCTAGGAGGTGTTGGGCAAATCAGGGTCAAATGCATTTCCACGTGCTATGGAGAAAGGAATTATGCTGATACCCTTGTTAACGACATTGGTTCCTCTCAACTTCTCCATAAGGCGTGGAAAAGCATTTTACCCCGATATATCCCTCTTTACTACTGTGATTCTTTTTGTTCCTTTTTTCATCTTTGTTTCTCTCTCAGCTACTGGGGTCTTCTTTCCAATTTGGTCTTCACCTTTATTTTTCTATGTTTCGTTGGCAATTTTACGTTCTTAATACAAATCACTTTTGTTTCTTCTCATTCACGTCCGGTAAGTCTCGAAAATGGGTGCTTGTTTTTGAGCGCTTGAAACATGTAGACTGTTACTTATTCATAACCTAGCATGTGTTTTGAAATTACATTTTTGAACATTTTCTATTAATCTATAGTAGATTTTTGCTTTACCCATAGTATTACATTGCATATTCTGGTCTAAATAATATCATAAAGGTATGTCATTTCAATTATTCTACCAAGTATGATTAGATAAATTACTAATAGCACTCGGATTAGCGTAATAACGTCTATCTTTATAAATTTCAGGGTTTCCCAAAATTTCTGCTGGAAATAATGTTGATAGAAACAATAGTTCTTAATTAAAAATTGTAATTTTTTAGTGTCTTATGAAGTATGTAGACTGAAGTTGTGAGTGAATATGACATGTCTAATAAATGACCTCCACGGTTTCGTAGTTATATACGCACTCTTTTAGTGAAATTTTCAATGACCATTTTACATAAATTTAGCTAAAATTCGTAGATAATAGTGCTGAATTTCGTATTTTAAGAAGTAAGTAATTATGGATATTTCTTGTCATGAGCATCACCGCCGAGTTTTTGGCTGTTAAGCCTAAATCCATGAAATCAAAGAAACAGGAAGATTTTTCAATATAAATAATATCATTTATGCTATTATATTATTTATATGTATCCTTTAAATTCAGTATGAAATTTTGAAACAACCCACTATAAAATCAATCAATAATGAATAAAAATAATTTCCGAACTAATAATGTTTTAATCCTTTTCAGCCCCTACCAGAGCAAAGGCTGGTTAGTAAAATTATTTAGCATTTCTGATTCGTTTGTTGTAATTTTGTCTACGGCTAATGCTGAAACAATCAATGTCAAAAATTTAAAATGTAACAAATGAAGATTTTAAACATAGTATTTATTCGATGGCTGTGATATTTTATCCATTCCTTAAAAATTTAAGTTTAACTCATCGAATAAAACGGGACATTTTTAACTGGTTTCTTAAGTTTTAATCAATTATTGAATTGACATTGGTTTTTTTCTTATTTAGTCGTAGATTGTAAGAATATTATTCACACTTCTATGCATATACAATTAAACACAACTAAGAATTCATTATTAAAAGCAATTCCCAGAGAACAAATCATCAGTGGAATATAATTTTATACATTTAGAACATGTAATAGTTAACTGACCAACAAAAAGAGATAAATCTGGGTGGGAAAGATAAAATAAGATGTTTTTAAAAATATTAGTTGAATTTACATCTATTATTTTTTTATTCCACTTACTTTCCTCTTTCCACTCACGTAAAGTGTTTGGTATTATCCGATTTATCTCTCTCCTCATTATATCTGTATTTAAATTTTTGGTTTGAGCTTTTCTCATAGTTTTCTGCATAGTTATATTTCAGCACAAAGATAAACTTGGTTTCTACGCTTTTGATTGCGCATCTAATATATTTTATTTTGTTTACTTGAAATAGCGATAAAATTTGAAGCATGAAACTGATATTTCTGTCATAATTAGTTTATATTCAACCTATATTACATTAAATGTAAGAATACTGCTCTCAGTGACATTTTTGAAGAAAAAAAATATAATTTGTCGAAGAAATGTCTAATTTTAGACTTGCTTAATGATACAATATTAATTTATTTTGAAAAGTCTTTAAATTTCGTACGTCTCAGTTGATGAAGGTACTAAGAGGAATTTTTTCAGTGTTTTTGGAATGGACGAAAATTACAAATAACTGACCTTTAAAAGTCTGTCCTTTTAGTAACAAATTAAAATGTCAAGAGGGCGAATGCTAAAACACGAACGGTTTAAATGAGTGCTGGTGGCTTATAATGTTTCCAATTTAAAGCTTACTGACAAAAAAAAGCAAAAGCATAATTTTTATTGTCAACGCATAAACTTTAATCTAATTCACTGAAAATCTTCCTCTTAGAATCATTATCTACTCGGAACTTCACATTTAACTTGACCTTTAAACTAACAATTTTATGTTAAAAAAAATAAATTATTCTTATTTCTAGGATTGTGATGACGGCCATGACTCAGATACATACATAGCAGAAGAAAACCGTGAATGCGTAAACAAATTTTTATTCAATATAAAAGAAACTGAAGTCTTTGAACTGTATCTTGCCCTTCGAGATTTCAGCCATTTCAAGAAATGTTTGCACGATGAGTAAGTAAATCTTATTTTATCAAAGACGGAAATATAAAATCTTTCTATATTGAAATAGAAATTACTATGAAATTCTGAAACCTTTTTATCACAAAAAATGCAATCATTATAAAGCCTGCTTGCTTAAGCCAAATAAGCCATTAATTTTTGCAAAAATTAGAAATTTAATTATTAAAAGCAGAAATTAAAATTATCGTGCAGTCTAATTTTAATTAGTTATTTTATTTTTCAAAAGAAATAGGACGAACTAAAAGGAAATTAAAAAAAATTAGAAGAAAGATTTTATATAAAGTATTCATCAATTTTTTTTTCGCTTCCTTTTATTTAACCATCGTTTTACAAGTACTGAAAAAAGATAGCAAAAAAATAGCTGAGATAATTTTCACCATCAAACACATCTTTAGTTTAAAAAAAAATCAACAGCAATTATTTTATGCTAAGAATTAATCTTAATGCAAGAAAAGATCGGTTAACATAATATTTATAAATCTTTAGAGACTAGTTCCTCCTAAAGGAAGAAAGAAAATATTGATCTTATAAATATTTTTTTTTCTCTTTTCATATTTTCTTTTTAGTAAATGAAATTTCTAAGTCTTACTTAAGCATTATTTAACTAATTTTGAAAATAGCTCAGTGAAGTATAAAGCTTTATTTTTGAGCTTTTTTAATTCCTTTAATGCAGAGTTAAAAAAAATTCGAAAATACTACAATGCAGTCATAAAGTTTCACAATTTATCTATTAATAAAAAAATATAGCTATTGAAAAAATTAATTTTGTAACTATACGTCAAATGGTAAGGAGAAAATAAATATAAAGGACTTTTGCATTTATTTTAATTTGTGTAAATCTTTTAAAACAGTTTTTCATTGAAAACTATTTTAATTACTTTTTCTGAAATAATTTCCATAAAAAAACTAACTTTTTGCAAAATTAGTCTTTGACTAAAAAAAGTTAACAATTATACGCGTTAGTTTTTACCATATATTTAATGCATATTTCTATCTTGGCCTTTCACAGATATCGTTATCACTTTTATTTAAATTTAGGACAATTTTTTAGCCATATCATTCTTAGAACTTTCTATTGATATCGTTTACCAGGATTAATAAAGAAATAATAATATGCTCTTTACATTTTTTGTTGCTTTATCCCCAATTTAATGCAGCTTCAATTAATAATGAATGCAAAAATATTCATTTAACGCTTTTATTCTTAAACCTATCCTTATAGGCTTAATAGTTAGTTTTTTTTAACGTTTTATTCTATTGCGCAAATAAGCGTTTGTTCTTTAAAAGTTTATGCTTTGAGCTCAGCCTATAAGAGTAAAGAGAAAGCAGGGGCTCCAAGCAGGTATTCTAGAAGAATAGATAGCTATTTAAGTGACGTATTTGCATACACAGCTCTTTTTGTTTTAACTTCCTTAGGAAGACTGAAAAAAAGACAAAGAATGAAGACAAAAATTAATTTGTTTCCAATTCATATGTACAAGTAACTTCTAGGCATTATTTTATAATATTGTCGACGCTGAATAGTCGACCCGATTCTACAGTAATAGTTCACGATAGTCAATTGTTTAATAGCTTACGACTATCAATATTCAACTCCGTAGCCTTTTAATTTTGAACCAAAGTCCAAGAAAACTCCTGGATCAAGCATTGGGCTAAATTAAACTTCGTGGAGGAATTTCGATGGAACTAACCCGCGTTGCGTTACATGAAAGAAAGAAACCTCCCACGATTTGCCTGACGGCAAGAGGATTCTAACTTATGATCCGTCTAACAAGGATATTTTACGTCAGTATTGTGGTCAGTGTGAGTCCGGTGCAGAATTCGTTTCAATCAACCACAGTGGGGGCCGGGATAGCCTGGTTGGTAGGGCACTGGGCCGATGTCCAAGAGGTCGTGGCTTCGATCATCTCCGACCGGTGACTGGTGACTGATGCAAGTAAAATCCGTCGAGTCTCGAAGTCCTCCATGTTCCCATAGCAAATCATACCTCTGGGGGTACTGATCCGGGAGTTTCCTTGTCTTCTGGATTGGTTCAAAATTACAAGGCTGCGAAGTTGAACATTAAACCCAAAATTGGGTTGGCTGTTCAAGTATGGTTATAAAATTATTAAAAAATCAACCACCGCTGCGATTGGAACCTGAGTCACCTCATCTGACGGCAAACGCTCTGTCCCCTGAGCCACCGCATCTCTCTTAGATATTTTTTTATATATATATAAACGGTGTGGAAAAACTGACCCAATTCTGAATTTGCTACTATCAATGCTCAACTCCGTAACCTTGTAATTAAGAACTTAACTCAGAAGACATGGTAACTTCTGGATCAAGCATTGGGACAAACTAGCCTTCGTTGAAAAGTTTTTGATTGAATTAACCCACATTTGCATTACATGGAAAAGAAAACTTTCCACTCTTGACTCGATGGGGAGGGGATTTTAACCCGTGACCCGTCTACCACTAAGGATCTTTTACGCCCTCACTGTGGTCAGTGCGAGCCAGGAGCGGAATTTGTATCAACCAGCCACCACTTATTTTCGAACCTGGGTTACTTCATTGGGAGGCAAACGTTGTATCCCCTCATCCACCACGGCTCTCTTAGGCAATATTATAGTAAAGAGCCATTCATTTGGCATAATGTTAAAAAGAACTTCCCTTTATAGCCTACGTGTGCAGGACTAAAGAAAATAGAAGGGCTGGTTCACTCCTTTGAAGTAGCTCTCGCCGCGCCAGTCCTGCGATTTTCACTAGTGACGTCACTTTGGCGCAAAGCTCGCACTTTTACTTCAAGAACGGAGCGTTCGGTTTTACTAGTTCTAACTAATATTGGAGCATTTCTTTTTCTGAGATATTCTAAGACATTTGCTATTTTCTATAATGACTTTCCTCAGTTTTTGCAGTGAATTTACAAGAATTTAAAACTATTATCGAAATGCCAGTTTGCGCGATTGCAACTTGCAAAAATTCTGATATAAAAACAAAAGGAAAAAGTATAATTTTTCGCGTGTTCCCTAAAGTAAATGAACAACTATGTAAAGAATGGATTCCGAAATGACACAGTTAATATAAAACAGCAATACGTTTATTCTGTCGTAAAGAACTTTTATAAAAATTCATTATCTAAATAGAAACCGCCTCGTTACTTCATAAAGAAAGGCAGGTGAAAAGAATTAAAAAATAGATAAAGTCAAAGAAAATTAAAATGTAAGTAAAAAGTATAAATAAAATATATAGTATATAGTTGAAATTCTCCTAATTTCATAACATATTTTTTAATGTAGTTATTCTAAATATTTATGATTTTTTTTAAAAATTATATTCTCTTCAATTTAAATATCTATAAATTATATCATCGTAAATTTAAATATCTATAAACAATTGTAAAATTTCTAATGTCATTATGAACCTAAATTATTATTTTGTTTCAGTAATTAGCGTTTAAGGTTGATGTTTCCTAATGATTAAGTATGAACAAATTGCTATTAACGGCATATTTTAAAATCAGGGATTCTAAATTTAACTCAACTTATTGTTATAAAAGAATATGTAGATAAAAAAAGTGTCGATATATGCTTTCATTTTTCTTAATAATTAAAGTTAAAACAGAACTTTTTAAAATAAAGTATTTATAGTGTCATTTTCGCCAACTAGTAAAACATTTTTATAAGTTAGAATGGTATTTTTTTTAATATAATGGCCAAGAAAGTTTTTTTGAACTATGTTTATGAACGGAAATATGTGTTAATTACGTAAAGTTTGAAGGCTAATAACCAGAAAAAGTCTAACTTATTTTTACAAAGAGAAAGATGCAAAGTTATCATAATATCTTTGCTTGCGATCTCCGAGTTCTGTAGACACAGTGACGTCATGAAGAGGGAAATCGTAGCATCAGCTCTAAGAGCGGAGTGAACTAGCCCTTCTATTCTCTTTAGCCCTGCTACGTGTGGGTCTAATTGTTGGCCTAATCATTATTTTAATCTTTTCATTGGTCTGGAAGCTTTGATCTAAAAGAGCATGCAAATAACTGACATTGCATAAGGACTATCGAATTATTGGTAATGATGGATTATAATGAAAATGAATAGTATTTCATTTGTTTAATGTCGAGGCTAAAACACCCAAACAAATACGAGAAAAGGGGATCATCTAACATGTCCGGCAACAACGTTTTTCGAAGGGAAAATTTCAAAGCTTCCTTAGTGCCTTTTTCCTCTTTCCTCCCTTTTTTCTGATGCCTGATGGTTGTTGGAAATAAATGACCCAATTATTTCGATTAACTTTAAAACTTTTAATTTGCGGAATAGAAAAATAAAAAGATATTTCTAGCCTTGTTTGCATTACCAAGAAAAAGTATTCTTCTACAACGAAATTCACTACTTGATTCAGTCTGTAGTCATTTCAATGAACAAATTACTATTGAAAGTCCCACCCTCTATCAATAAGAAACTGTACTAAATGCTCAAAGTTATAAAGATATGTATTAATAGCACTAAAGATTTATGCATAATTCCATTATTTTCCTATTTATAGAGAGCCAGCTAATAAAGCACTCGCAATATCTCATATGTGGTTTATTGATGTTATGTGTCATTGGTTCTGTTCATCCAGACATAAACTTCGCAGTCGAATTTTAGTATCCATTAGTCATGATCGAGTAAGTAAAAATAACTATTAAAAATACATAATTTTCTTTTATATGCAAAGTGCCTTTTTGCTGAATAATCTCATAAAATAAGAAGGAGCAAGACGAAACAAAATTATTTTTCTGACATTCAAATTTATCATCACTAGCTACAACAACTGATGGGAGCTTTCAGTAAACACTTTTTGGATGTGAACCATATCTAAACATAGCATCTATCTTTTTCATGTCCCAAGAGTTCAAAACACTCAGAAGTAATTTTTTGCACATTGTTTCCCCTCGGTACTCATTTACTAACAATTTTTTCTTCTGAAACTTTTCAAAGTCATATATTTATATAAAAGTTAATCAATGATGCATGTTCTCTTTTGTTCGATGACCTTTTGTCATCGTTCGGTGATGAGCTCCACAATTCTTCGTACATTGAAGGACCTGTCTTTATTTGTGGAAAACTAAACAAAGGGCTGATTTACAGCTTCATCTGAATTTAACGTGGTTTCACGCAAGGAGTTTTGAAGAGAGTGAAACAAGTGAAAGTCTGATGACGCAAGATCAGACAAGAGGGATGGTTGGCGCATCTCATCCCATCCAGGCTGCAATACCATTTGACAGGTAGCCAAAGATTGCGTGTGGTCTCGCGTTGTCATCATCTAACACTACTCCTTCACGATTGACGAGTTCAGGACATTTCTAGATGACAGCTTCGTTCAAACTGTCTAATTGCCTATAATACACTTCTGAATTGACTGTTCTATTTCTGGGTTGGAGCTCAAAAAGCACTACACCCTTCAAATCCCACCACACTGAGAACATAACATTTATCTGATAATATTCTCGTTATGAAGTCATTGATGGCAAATCTTGATCTGGAGACCAAAGGCGTTTGAGCACCACATTGTTGTAAACAATCCACTTCTCATCACCAGATATCATTCGTTTCAAAAAAAAAGACCCGCTTTCTGTTTAAAAACAGGGTCGTTTTCTTCACGTTTCATAAGCTATCGCATATGTTTATTCGTGCCGTCAAATGAACTTATTCTTTCAGTTCATGAGAAAAACATATTTCGACTTTGCTTACGTATCTTTAGATGGACGCGGATACATTTTGAATAATCTTCAATATCTCTGCAATCACTCGAGTAGTGTAACGTAGAATTGACTGGATCTACGTCTTCATTTTGTCATCATCAGTTCAAGTATTTTTTTTCCGATCAAGGAGCATGTTTCAAATCAAAATCATTGAACCAGATTTGGCACTGACGTTCTTGTAGAGAGCATCGTCACCGTAAACTTTACGCAATTTTTCCCAAGCTTGAAGCTCGTTTTTCCCTTTACGGAAATAAAATAGTAAATTATAGAAAAAATGTGTGATGAGGCTCAAACTGTCACAGCTATCAATGAGGTAAAAACTATTGTTGCAAATGCTTACAGTATTATAAAAACTGCCTTATTGCCATCTGTTGCATAAAAAAAATGCAATAACTTTTTACTCAACTTCAACCCAATAGATGTTCAGATGTTGCTTCATTTTACACTTACTCGCAGTGACTGAGTAAAATGGATAGTAGCATAAACTTCCACTTCTCTGACATGATTTGAGTACTAGCGGACACTAGTCATATTTCTCACTGTATCTGTGTGAGCGCAACAACCATACCAGTATGGCTATTCAATTACGGGATCATTCACCGAACTTTTCGAGCGCCCTTTTAAATTATTATAAGATTATAAGCATAAGATTATAATCTTATAAGATTTTATAAGATTTTTTCATGCGATAATTTAGCAAAATAAGTTGTTACGTTAAATGGAAAGGAAAGTTGTCATTAAATAAGAATAAAATTTTTAATTTTTGAATTTTTTTTATCTTTTATTTTGCGTTAGACAATAGTAAAAGCTAAGAAAACGAAAAAAGTGTTTAGTTGTGAAAATCTTCTGCATTGAAAAATAAATTCTGTTAAAAAATATTATTTCATTTGATTTTTCATCCACTTATTAATTTATAAGAGAATAAATTTATGTTAAAAAATATCAAATGGAATTGTATTAAGTTTTATCCCCTGGTTATAACAGTCAAGATACATAGTTCTTAGATTACCTTAACCAGAGGACTACAGAAGTGTAAAATCACCAGGGGGTATCATGTATGGGAAGTAACGTAACTGTTTATGTTACATTTTACTAAAATATTGGGACCAGGATTAGACCTGACCACATCATTTTTATTGTACTCTATTCTCACGTTTTAAGTTAAAGAAATCCTCTGAAAAAATCTAATTTCGAAATATTTATTTTCATAAATATCAGTGACTTAAATTTCTTATTGTTATAATTTTGCTGGCAGTCGTATGATTAGATGATGAAGCTAACACATAATTTTATGTTAAACATTTTTGTTTTAATGAATCATTTCGAATCAGATTTTTCAGTGGGATTTATAATATCGCCCCATATTTTAAGTGTTTTCTAAATTTTTAAATTTAACAGATGGGTATGGCAGCAAACACATGAAAATTTTGAAATTAGTTTTTAGTTATTCTTTTTCCAGTAAAACTTTTGCGTGTTGATCTTGCTAATCGAAAAAAAGTAGGAAAAACACCTATTATTTCAATTTAAACAATATACTGTTTTCCATTAGTAATGGACTTTATTATTTTATAAGTACTGATTAAAATGTTTTATTCATTTACAGGTATTAAAAGACGCGACTTCCTTAACAAAGGAGCTTGATTTTGGGGAAAGAAATAAGAAAGTATGTGAAAAAATTCTTAGACTGAAATATTTTATGATTTCATTATGTACTACATACCTCATTACGTTTGAAGCCATAGTTCTTGTAAACTAATTCACATAAGATGATTATAATTAAAGTTTCACTTTCAAAATCAGCTGTAAAAAAAGAATCACGGACCAAAATGACCTGATATTTCATTTGAATATAGGTGAATCAATTATTTTTACGTATGAGTAAAATAGTTTAACAGTTTACCGTTAAATGTGATTGTACTTGTCCTGCGGTATTAATTAAAAGCTGTTACATATTGTTGTGGGCACTCTTTGTTTGAAGAAGCTCAACCTCATCTACAAAATGTGAAACGTAGGATAGAGAGAATCAATTTTAAACAGCCCATGGGCAAAAAATAGTAAAAAAAGCCAAAATTGAATCCATCTTTTAATTGCCCCTTCGTACATTCGAAACAATCACTGTTTAAACCAAAACTGATAGTTTCAATTCGCCACTGAAAATTATAAAACCTTCTGAAGCAGAGATTTTTTAGCATTTAATGACAACTACAACGACATCTATCGGCAACTTTTGAACTATACTTTTTTTTTGCTGTACAAATTCTCATTGCTTCACAAATGCTTAGATAAAATATCAGGTAATTTTTTATACAGCCATTTGAATGAGAAATTTTAAATTTGATAATCCCATATAACATTTTATAAAGTCTCAAAGAAATCCAGTTCAATAAAACAATAAATTTATGTTCATTACACCCGACTTTTATTTTTTCGTTCTCTGATCTTAATTATCTACATTAATCGGTTGTTTCAGTTTTAAAGAAAAAATAATTTGCTCATGAAAATATATTAATAAACTATACTTGTTTTAAAGCTTACATTTATACATCAAACTGTTCCTTTTCAATTTTCGAGGACAGATACTTTACGTTCCCAGAATTGCACACAAATGGTGAAAAATACAAAAAAAAAGTTTTTACCTACATGGAAATTTATTACTATTCATTTATAGATTGAATATATTTCGTTCCAATAACTAAAAAGAACTTACGGAATTGTCTAAATTTTAATGTAAAATTATACTAGTTACTTTAAATATTTAAAAAAAACTTTTTCTTTGAAAAAAATTATTTATGAGCTTTTTAATTTCAGAAAAAACTGTTCGTAATTAGTTTAAAAGTAACAAGCACTTATAAATATTTATTAATTTTTTTAGGTTGATCTCGCTTCATTTAATCCAAAATGCAGTACCTCAGCTTTGGATACGGTTTCCTGTTTTTCTCAGGTTTGTTTTATTTTTTAGGTATCTTAGTTTCATCAAGCTTATAAGACAGTATGTTAAGAACCTTTTGAGACCAATAATTTTAATTAATAGAACTATCACTAGTACATGCTTAAAGTACGTTTAATTGTGTTGAATATAATTAAACATTCAGTTATACATATTTATCGAGTGACTTTACCTTGTTATTCTGAATCATGTTTATGAAGTGGAATGAGGAAGTTCCCTATTCAATCTATGCATATATATTTGTAATGAAGCAGCTGTGATTTCTTTTTTATATTAAATTAGTTTCCAAGAAAAGTTAAAATGGTTTAAATAAATGTACTAAAAGTTTTTACCCATTACTAATATCCTACCAGTGCCACCTTGCAAGCTCGGTCTTAAAGAGTCATGTTCCTTAAAACCGTCCTTTTAATAGCTTAAAACTGCATAAATATAAGCCAAACTTATTTTTTCAGCATTTCCACTAGATCCATGTGTCTTTATAATAAATTAATACATTGTTCAAAATACTTGGTCTAACCTTCGTTTTTTGAATAAAGAAGTAGCAATATTTTATTTTATTAAAATATCGTTAGAATTTTAAAAATATGAAGGCATAATGCGTCCATCGAATCATTTGCAGCTCTTTTAACAAACTATTTAGTTTTTCAAAAACATATTTTACCTCTAAATACCTCTTTTTTAAAAAAACATATTTTACCTCTAAATACCGCTAATACCTCTTTCTATTTCCCAAAGCATTTTCTTAGAAACGAAATTGACAAACATCACTGAAGAATAATTTAGATAAAGTAGAATAGGGATAATTATAAGCATCAGTTAAGTAAAAACAAGTTTGAAAACAGTAGAATTTTAAAAATAAAATTAGATAAGCCCCTTGGTTACAAGGCACTTATCGCTCACAAAGAGAATTTTAAAGTCATATAGCTTTTCCTTAGAGTCATTTAAATCAAAGTTTCAAACAAACATTACTGCAATGTAAGCATTATAAAGGAAAATATAAATGATAAATAAATACAAAGAAAATTTTTGGAAAGCAAATATAATCTTACAGCAGTTTTATTGCGTAAACAAAAATTTACTCAAAGCTTATATAGTCTTTGATATTTCTATAATTCCAGATGAAATAATAATAAGCTTAAAACATTTTCGAGTTAAAATATAGTTCAAAGGAATGAAAAAGAAATCAACCGCAATAAGTTTTGAGAACTCTCTCTCTCTCTGTATTTAATTCTCGACAAATATTTCATTAAGCCTAATAGTGTATTTAACAAAATTGTTCAAAGACTGAGGCAAAATATATTAAATTAAATTAAGTAGCTTATGTATTAATGCTTAATTTTAGATAATAAAATGTTTTTTTTCTCGATGAAACATAAAAGTGTGTTTCAAAAATTATAAAACACCTACTTGAAAATATCTCTTAAAATAAATTATGCTACTCAACTGGGTATTTATATATAGTAAGATATATATAGTCAGTTATGTCATATTATATTATATGTTGTATTATATGTTAGTCATATCAGATGGAAAATTCACCCATTTAATGCAATATGAAGGTAAATAAATTATCATATTAAAAATTAACATTCAATTAAAAACTATAGCTGAGTATTAAATGTATTACTATAAATTAAAGATATTGCAAAATTCATAATACACATTAATCCTCAAGAAAATATTCATTTTTGAGTTCGAATGATAATTGTGTATTTAAGGATTATAAAATTATCTGTAAAAGTTAGATAAAATATTCTGAAGCAGTAATTAAATATGTTTATTATTATTTTGATTTTAAATATGCCAATTATTTAATATTTTTCACTGCGCAAAATGGTTATAATATTGCGCACGCTATAGAATCGGTTTATTTTCAATAAACGACCAAAAAACATTTAATACTAATAAAAAAAATTTATAATTTATATCTCAACACATTTTCCAAAATAGCTTCAATATTTGTCCAAAAAAAAGTGTTCTCAATTTGGTCGATGATGAAGTATCAATTACAATTTTAAATGTGCACTTTTACTAATGTTATTTTTTTTTACCGGGTCCTCTAAAAATCATCGTTGATTTGAAAAATCTATTTAAAAAAACGGAGGATAAAGAAATATACGATTCGATACAATCTTAGGAAATACTAAAACAAATTCCTTCTCACCTACTTTAACAAAATAGCCATTATTTGCAGGAAAACTTGGCTCAATGGGAGAGCAAAATTAACAAAAGCCCCAAAAATGTTGAGGTTATTTATTGAAATGATCTGGCATGCAGTAATATTGTTTAAATGTTTTCCAGTTTTATAGATTTTTGATGTTTCAGTATTTACCATAAGCCTTTAGTGTTTGGTGTGTTAAACCACAATTTGATTTATTTTCATTTAGTTTAAAAAAATAGGTTTCAGTATTTACCATAAACTTTTGGCGCTTGGTGTCTTAAACCACGATAATTTGTTTTGTTTTCATTTTAGTTTTAAAAAAACTTAAATCTAAGCATTTTTTGAAGAACTACCACAAGAATTGAAATCTAATTGATAGCAATAATTAGAACAATCCATTTTAATAAGGTTGATAGAAAAGGCGACATAAAATTTTTCTATACTTCAGAAAGTGTACTTTTCTATATTTGTTTTTATATCTTATACTATCTATTATTTATATTATTTATAACCTATTTATATTATTTAATTACTTATGTTGTTTATTTGCTTATATTATTTGCTTGTATATCTTATTATTTTTATATCTTATAATGATTCCCCTTATTGATGTCTTATAGCTTCGAGAATTTTGGATGCATCTCGCTTGGCCAGATGAAGGCTCAATTTTTCCATTTGTATATAGTATTATTCAGGTACGTATTACTCTGGTTTTACTGCACACTTAATTCAAAGAAAATCAAACCATGATATAATTGAGCAAAGCATTGTTTGTTATCATTAAAATAAAACTTTTTTTAACATTTTAGTTATTAAATTAAATTAACAGAATATTTCACGAATCTTGTTTAAAATATTCATGCAACTTTGATATTTTCTGAATATATATAAATTTTGATATTCCTAAATATATAATGTTTAGGAATTGTATAGATTTACAATATTATCTTCTAAATTTCTATATATTGAGTTGGTGAAAAAGTCTATTTTAAATTGAGAGTCCGCCAAAAAATGCAAAATATTTAAATTGTTTTGAATCAAATATCTAGTTTAGATCATAAAATGTTGAAGTAGTACCTAAGCATTTTAGTCCAACGATCATTTAAATAAAATTTTGAAAGTTTTTTTTAATTGTAGTTATTTTTTATTATTACTTTTTGATGAAACTAAAATGAATCTATACTGTAAATTGAATTCTAGATAGTTTCAAAAATTTTGATCTAATTCTGTTGAGAATTAACGGTACGTTAATAAACTTTTTCTCAAACCTAATATTTCTCTTTATTTAAAAAAAAAACATGTTTATTTAAAGGAGTTTGCAAAGTAAGAAAAACAAATTATGAAACAGTGGAAAACTTGAACTACTTTCATTTAAAAAATAAATAAACAGATTTTTTAATGCTTTATTTGCTTCGAAATAAAATGTGTTTACTCCATAATTTATGTATTTCAAGTAACTTTTATCATACATTTAAAAAAAAAATCTGAAGTAAAATCTGGTGCATTACACATTACTTCCAAAAGAGAATTGATTACTTGAAATGTCAAATGCCCTTTCCAGCATGCTTTACCCATTTAAAGATGTTGGCAATGAGCATTTCGAGTGTATAATTAATTACCTAAGTAATTTACTACAGTACAATTAATTGATTAACTTTGCATTAATTAAATGAGACTGTTTTCAACACTAAAACGTGATACATCTATCAAGGGACTCAGTGAAAATAAATGTTACTGAATTGCAGTTTGATACGAATTTACTATTTTTATTGAAATAAAGCATGTTTGGGAAACACTATAACGTATTTTCCAAACTCTTGTTTGAATAAAGACAACTCGTCTATATTTAAAGAACTCGCAGAGCACTCTTTAATTATGATACTCAGTACAGATTTTCGATTAAATTAATTTCTAGAACTATTTCATCAGCCAGGTTTCGATTACGAGGTGTTCTCTATGCGCAACCTTTGGTATCTTATTTCCGATTTCTGGATAATGAATTAATATGTAATTACCAAATAGGAGAAAATAAACGAACATGCAATTAAGACATCCTGAGTTTTTAAAAAAATAATGAATACCAGATCTGAATCACGATATAGCTTAATTAAAACCGGGTCGGAAATTTTAAACCCATTAACGACAGACGTTGTCCCACCGTTCTTAATTATTCTACCTGGTAAAAGTTAATTGGAAAGCCTGTTAGATTTATTCAACAATACATAGGCTTTAATAATTTTAATTTCACATTGTTTTAATCCACTGTCATTGATCTACGTTTTCTTTCTTTCCTTTTTTTTTTTAACTTAAATAATAATTTTTGAACCTAGTATGTTTTAATGACTTCAATTTTGAGAATGATTCAAGAAATATAAATTAAGATCTCCAATAAGAAGACACCTGTATCGATAAGTCTCTTCAACTGTTTATTTCTCATAAAAATTGATATTATCATATTAATTAATATTTCTCATAAAAAACTGTTTTATTTATTTTGCTTTATTTCTCATAAAAAATAAGAAGGTGGTGATGAGCTCAGAAAGTAATATTAAAGCGTAAGAAATTGCTCTTATTTATTTTCATTACGGAGAATTAACACGATGATAATTAATCCAAACTTAATCCATTCAATATTTAAACGCTAGTGAAATGAAAAACGAGATGCCTTTTCGAATTTTGCGTCACCAATTATTTTAAAGGATCTAACCAACAAAAACGTTAGAGCCTTGGCGAGGATTACAGCTTAAGCTTGCAAAAACCCAAGCTATAATTCAATTCTTTAAGAAAAGCTGGAAAAAAAAATTTCTAAATACGCAAACATATGTAGTAATTTCTTTTTAATATATTTGTGCTTATTTTAAAATTTGTCTTAAACTTCATCTTCTGCAGAAAATTAATATATTACAATGCAGTTTGCGCTCTTTAGTAAGACGATCGATTACAGCGGTCTTCCATTATTACGACAGATGTATAAAATCCCGTTTTCTATTCTATTAAGGCAATGTTATATTAATGTCCATTAGAATGTTCACACTAAACCTTTCTTTCCAATATAGTGACCAAAATTTAGTTATATGATGTAGAAAAATTTTCAAAAGAATTATTTAAACCATCATTTTCTTTGATGTTGCTGAGTAATACACAGAAAACACTTAGAATTCCTTTTAAATGAAAAAAAGAGTGACACAACCTCCTAACTTCTTATCCTAAAGCATAGGTGGTCATAATTTATGGTCAATCATCCTTATTTGTGTAACCTTCTTTTCAAATGATACATTAAATTTATCAATCCAACTTTTCTATGAAAACTTTTCCCTTTTGAAAATTGTATTCACTCTTTTTGTGAAATGTCACTCCTCTTGTGTGGTTCATTTTCGAGTTAAAACAAGTAGTCTTCACAATTATCTTGACATAATATTGTTCATTGAAAATGGCAGCCCTGAACCAGCACATAAAGGGTAAGAGTAAAGCTTTCCCGCTACAGCCCGTTGTGGACCAGAGGGGTGTATGTTAAGGCTCCACAATTCCATGACCAACGGCATGACTGTGGCAATGTGGTCAGCACTGCGCACAATGCCTCGCCTTTACTTTCCAGACAAACTGGTACCCAAAGATCTGAAGCTGGGTGGGCCTCAAACCACCACTGGGGATCGAACCCCAGTTCTTCAGAGTGACAGTTCAGTACCTTAACCACAGAGCCATCGTGGCTGATATAAAGGGTACTTTTACGTGTATACTAACATAGAAAAAAATTTGCTTTATTACAATTTTTTTTGCCTGTTAGTTAACAAATTCTTAGAATACAATAAGCCAAACCAAATTCTTAAAACTCAAAGGATACAATATATTTATCAATCAAAATTTTCTTGTTCGAAAATCGTATTCACTCTTTCTGAGAAATATCAATCCTCTAGTAAGTTTTATTTTCGAGTTAAAACAAACAGTCTTCACATTTATCTTGACGTAATTTCATTCATCGAAAATGGCAGCCCTGAACCAGCATATAAAGGGTACTTTTACGTATATACTAATATAGGAAAAAAATTGTATAATCGTCATTTTTTTCTGTCAGTTGCCTAATTCTTAGGATACAATAATCCAAGCCAAATTCTTAAGATTCAAAGGATGCAATAAATTTATCAATCAAACTATTCTTGTTTGAAAATTGCATCCACTCTTTTTGTGAATTATAAGTCCACTGGTATGGTTTATTTGAGAGTTAAAACAAGTGGTCTTCACAGTTATCTTGACATAATATTATTTATCAAAAATGATAACCCTAAATAAAAATAAAAAAATTATTATACACGGCATTGAACCAGCATATAAAGGGTACTTTTACGTATATATAATTATAGAAAAAAAGTTGTGATATTACCATTTTTTTTTCTGTTAGCTACAGAATTCTCATTAAAGTAAAGCATTGTGTTGTTGTTAATTTATTATTTGTAATTCGTCAAGTTTTATTATAATTTACATTATTGTATTTTATTAAGTTGGTATTTATTGGTAATTAGTCAAGTTTTTTTCTATTTACTGTTCAATATTTTACTATTCAACGTAATATTTTTCACTATACAATTTTTTTATTATTCAATAGTTAATATTCACAGTATTTCTGTGTACACACTATATGACGACTTTATGTTATAGCGTCTGTCCTCACCCTGATCATGAAGGTCGTTATATCCAGTGTCAGCAGCTTATATTTTTTCTTAAACCATAATGGCTTAAACCATAATGGTGAAACCATAATGGTTGACTCTGCAAGGAAAACGGAAATTGAGTAAATAGTCAAACCATTAATATTTAAAAAATTGAAACAAGTGATATTCTAAACATGACGTTATCTCCCATAACAATATCAAATTAATGATAGCTCCTAAAAAAGACAGTGGAATTGCCCCTTTTTCAATCGTTAAATCAATCTTGAGAAATTAAGGATTACTTTGAACCAAGATATTTACTGCCACGTTGTTTATTCAAAAAAAAGTACAGAAACTTGGCATTTTTTTTATTTTTAAAAAGTGCTTTTTTTTTGTCTGATTTCTTAATTTAAAATATCGTTTAATAATCACCATATTTAAGGTTAGGCACCCAAACTATTAAAATTGAGTGTAGGTACACAATCATAGAGCTTGCAATCATAGAACTGTAATGAAAGAGCCCGCTGTAATGTCTTGCTTTAATCTCTCTGTGCTCCCTCTCTTTCGGTGATTTTGTTGGAGGAAGAAGGGCGTCATAAGACAAATGATGAGTTCTCTTTTCTGATAGTTTCATGCTCTATACCTGGAGGATAGTTAAACTCTTAGGGAGCACTTAAGGAACAATAAAATAATGGGTCATTGTTTGACAACACTTTGCTACACTAAGAATTATATTAGAACTCCAGTTTTTTTAATATGTATAAACTATACAATATTGTTTATATATTTACTAAGTTAAGAAAATTTTAATTTTTGAATGGTTTAAGAGCGGTAATAATGTATCTTTGATAATTCCTAATGAAATTTGATTCAGTAGTTTTCAGTAACGTATGGTGTAATTTTGTAAAGCAATGTTTAATAATTTATTTATCGATATTGAGGTATATAAAAATAAGTTTAAATTTTAATATAACATGGATTTTTCCTATCGTACTACATCTCGTAAAATCATGGACATATTTTCAAGAATTTGGAATTTTTAAAAACATTTTCAAAAAATGGTTTTCAACGTGCCTTGGAGTTGATAAATAAAATAAAATTTGCAAATAAAAAAAGAGCTGCATCATCCTAAAAAACCTTCAAAGAAATCTGCTTCATTTTTTTAAACTTTTCCAACTTCATTTAAACTTAAACCAGCTGTAATACCACTGCTAGTATTCTCAATTTTTTTCATCGATTATTTTATTTCATAACCGTCATTGAACAGTCGACCTAATTTTAAGTTTACGACTACCGATGTTTAACTCCGTAGACTTGTAATTTTGAACCCAATCCAGAAAACAAGGGAACTCCTGGATCAAGTATTGGGAGAAATTTGCCTTCGTGGACGGCTTTTTGTTGAAACTAACCAGCATTTGCGTTACATGGAGAGGGAAACCACGGAAACCTCCCACGATTAGCCTGATGGCGAGGGGAATCAAACCCACTATCCATCTACCTCTGAGGATATTTTACGTCAGCACTTTGGGCGGTGCAAGCCGGATGCAGAAATCGTATCAACCAGCTATAGCTGGGACTCAAACCCGGTTCACCTCATTGGAAGGCAAACGCTCTATCCTCTGAGCCATCACGGCTCATTGTATTACATTCTAATTAAAAAAGAGCAGACAATATCAATTTAAGAAGATCTGACGATTTTATAAATAAACTTATTATCAAGTGTTAAAGAACATAGCGCTATTTATCGAATAGTTTTATAATTATCTGTCATAACCCCTTATTCCCTGTAAGAAAATTTATTTTATTAATTAAATTAATTCAAAGCAAGCAACTAAAATTGAACAATAGTGAAGAATTTATTCTTTCAAAAGCATTATTGAATACAACTTTAATAAACGAAAAAGGAAAGCAACATTGCTTCCAAAACTTCGCTTATTATTTTTTAAACTAAAATTTTTAAAAAAAATTATGCATTAATGATGAATAATTCCATGTAGTCATTACTTTATGGTTAAGTTTTGTTTTTATTCGTTTATAGCTAAAAGTATAAATATGGAATTTAGAATGAATAAAAGGAAATAATCTAGATTAATGATAATTTAAGAAAAAGAAGAACACTCTAAAAGTTCATTTATATAATAAATAAAACAATTCTAATTCCAAAAAGGGATAAATAAACTTATCTATAACACGTATAGCGTCCTTCTTTAACAAATTTTTCTTTACCACCAAATGCAGTACAGTGAACCACCGTATTTAAAGATTTCTGACTACCGATTTTCTTCCTTTGAAATTACGAAGAGAAACGAAAGGTAGAAAATTTCTCCCTTGATTCTTCTCCTAGTTCATTCTCATCAGGACAAAAATTATGGTGATGTGCTCGCTCTACTTCCATTTCACCTCGCTTGCAATACAGTCAATCTAAGTCTTCTGTTTTCTTATTGTCGTTTTCATACAAACTTCATATGTGTTTCCATATTCTTCGGCTACAATGAGGGCTACGAATATTAGAGTCACCTTTCCTTTAGTGATATTACAATTCAGGTTGCTGATATTATAGTTCAACCGTGAAGCGATATTTTTGAGAGTAAATATAATTGTTTGCATAATGAATTTTATGCTGAAAAAGATCATTTTTGATTTTAAAAAAAATTTGTTTCTACATAGTTTTTTTCTCTTCAGGCCATAGTATCTGGGGTTGTGTTGTACGCCAATGCTGTTTGGAAACAACTGAGAGAAGAATGCAATGCTGCCAGTAGACGGCGAACAGCACAAGTATCTAAAAAAGTTAGTAAAATAAATACAGATACAAACATATAAAATTTTTAATATCGTGAAAATAATAAAATATTTTTTTCGTATTTCAATGTATGCATTTCTTTTGAATTGTTCAAAGGTCAAAAACTAATTTGTTGCGCATATTTTTTCTATGAATTCGTTTAAAATTATATAAATAAGCAAGTGTAATGTCTGAAGTTGAATTTAACTTTAGCTTAATTTAACTTTTTGTGGGCTATTTATGAGCTGAATTTAACTTTGAAAACATTTTTCAGACATATCACATTAGCACTTTGTTGGGTATAAATGATTTTTATGCCAATCATATTAGCTCCATTTCTGGCTATGATTTTTTGGAAACTTACATTAGCTATATTAGCTCTTTTTCAGGTAATAATGATTTTGAGACAACTCATATTGGCTCTCTTTCAGGTAATATTGAGTTTAAATAACATAGCAACCGTCTTAGAAGGTCTCCAAGCAGTTGAAGATGGTTTAAATCTACCGTCAGTATTTCGAGCTTATGGTGAAGCTGAAGGTAAAGCTAAAGCTCAAGAATGCCAAATACAAGTTGAAGAATCCCTCCACAACGCACAACGTCATGTTGAAAGAATTCAGAAAGTAGTTCTAGACAGATTTTCAGAAGAAGTAAGTATATTTTATTGAGTAAAATAGTTCTGTTTTGTTGAGCTGTTAGTTATATTCCCCAAATCAAATGATTTTAAACGATAAATGCTGAATACAGTTTAGATATATTGTTTTAGTCAAAAATTTCTAAATATCATAAGGAAATTTTCGCTAACTCTTTTCAACAGCCTAACAAGGCAGAAAAATTTACTAAAATTGTTTCTATATGAGGGAATCCTTGTCAAAATATTAGCAAAACAGTGGATTTCGTGATTTCTCCATGACAATGGACTTCTTGACAAAATTTCTCTGTAGCAGAAGATTTTTGACAAAATTTCCAAGCGAAAGAGGAATTTTCTACAAAATGTCTCCACAATAGCTCCTTTTTGACCCAATTTCTTCTGAACAGTGGATTTTAGCAAACTTTATCCTCAAAATAGAATTTTTGACGAAATTTTCCCCACAAAAATTGACTTTTTTGACATTTCTATGAAAGATAACAGAATATTTTTTTGTTAATATTTACTTATCAAGAGGTTTTATAGACAAATGTTTTATATCTCATGCTCCAAAGAGAGAGAAATAAAACAGTGGGATATTGTAAGTTATAGGTAAATATTGAGAATAGAAAGACAAATATGAGTTTGTAATAAAATTAATTACCCCTATTCCTTTGTTTTCTTTTTTCCCCTTTTGTTTTACATATTGTAACTCTTACCGTTCATTAAAAAAATTTTCTATAAAAATTTACAAAAGTCAACGTTTCTAATCGAAGTATTTTTCTTCAAACCTGAAAACTAAATATTTGTTTTCTCTTTTATATTTTATATCATATAATTAATACAGAAGTTATACAAACTAAATAATATTGCATGCATAGTAAAACTATGGATTATTTAATTAAATAGTGAAGTTACAGGAATAATTTTTAAAGTTAAACAAAGGAGTGGCGTTAATAGAGGTAAAAAAAAGTATAAGCAATTTTGTTGCCTTTTTTTGTGTGCGTAATATTATTAGTTAGAATCATTTTATTCACCATTACTTACTTCAAAATAGAAGTTAGATATGCTCAGAAGTAATACAGATTATAATAAGTTAAATTTAAAATGAGAGTAAAAATATTTTTAATACATTTGTTATATCCATATTTTCCCTACCATGCTTACATATTTTTGTTATAATATTAAATATTTTCACTGTACATTTTATCCTGTGGTCGGTCGCTGAGAAGTACTATGAGTACAGTGATCTGGAGAAAATTTCCTTCTCTTTATGATCCTTGTCGAAATTGAGGAAACGGCCTTACGAATGAGTTTTGCTGCCATCTATCCGCACGATTCTGAGTTAAGACTTACTTTCATCCTTGCACTGCTCTCCTGTCAAATGAAAAGCTCACCTTCCTGACTGACGAGTTTTGCAGCAAATGGCTGACGAGTTTGGTTTGTCCAAATGTATTTTCGCTTATAATTTTTCCTTGATTGTGGCCCCCTTTCATCCCTTAAATACTATGTGAAGCTTAATGATTTATTTTTCAGTTTAACTTTTCAACCTTCGTGCTGTAATTTTTTAGAGAAGTAAATCTTATTTTAAAAATATTATGGGCAATAAAGAATTTAAAGAGAAAAATACTTTTTGAAAATGTATACAAACATAACGACTTACGGACAATATATCTGAATGTTTATACATAAAAAATTATTAAAATATGTTTTCAATCAATATTTTTAAATAGTGTGCTTGCATTGATATCAAATATTATTTTTCAAGAGCAAAATATCACTTATTTATTACTATTTATTTCTTATCTTTCTAATATAGATGAACCCAGTAATTCGTAAACTTGTGTTCCATGTAGCATATGCTCCAGATAAATTAGAATCCAAAACGGTAACTATTCACGGTTTTTACTTATGTATCTTATGCTGGAAATAATTGATTTTTCTTTAATTGTTCAAAGAGAAAGATATCGAGGACTTTTTTTTGCTTCATTGAAAAAAGAATTTGTATACTAATTCTGACCCTAACTGATGACAATGCTGAAACAAAATATCTCCAATCATAGATGAATCGTAAAGTTCTATAGTCATCGGGCAGTACATGGGAGGTTGTCGTAGTTTTCCTTTAAGAAATGTTTGGAAACTTACTCAAAAAGTCCTCCCCAAAGGCGAACCAATTGTTTGTTGTTGATTCGAAAGTTCTTTTGTCTTCTGAGTCAGTTAAACAACGAAGTTGTATATTAATAGCTGAGAATCCAATCTATTTATAGGCTGATCAACAAATGTAAATAAAATGATATTAATGATTAAATGGGTAGGATGTTAAAATTAATGAAAATTGTGATCCTCTGGACAATCATTGGAGGTTTGTCCCATGCAAAAATTTATGTTTTCTGCATTAAATATCTTGGATCTGTTATTAAATTTTATTTGTTCTGCAAGTAACAATTTTCATTTCAAAGATCTGTTACAAAATAGTATATTCGCTTCATTTGTGTCCTGAAAAAAATATTTTTCTGACTTTTTTTTTTCTTCGACTCATTAACATTTTAGCATTTCTAATTACAAAATTAAAGGTTACAAAAAATCAAAAGTTTTTAGTCAATATCGTTAAGCATTTATGTTTTAACTGTTAGTAAACGGGAGATCGAATCAAGAGAAAGAACATACAACTGGTAAAATGTAAGATAATTTTAAAAAAACTTTGCCAACAAACGATCCCCTGAAGATCATACCGTTCGTTAAAGCGGAATCAAGTTTTTCTAATAGTTATAAAGTATAGTGTTAACAGCATTATCCAGCTCTTACTGTTGCGGTTAAAATAACTGAATTCCGTATGAATCTATTCTACTGAGCAATTCGACTCATATTGTTAGGGTTAAAATAGCAGAATGACGAATGATTTAGTTCTACTGAAATATCCAGCTCTTACTGTTACGGTTAAAATGACCGAATTCCGTATCAATCCATTCTACCAAACAATCCAGTTCGCACTGTTGCGGTTAAAATAGCAGGATGTCGAATGATTTAATTCTACTAAACTATCCAACTCTTTCTGTTACGGTTAAAATGAGAGATTGTCGTATGATTTAAATCTGCAGAACTCGCTCTTATGACTGAAGAAAGAAATCTCAGTGTTATTTATTTATCTATCTCTATCTAAAAGCGTCTTTATTCTTGCTAAAATATCGTTTCAACTCTCCTTTTAAGTTGTTTTTTTCCTGAATGGTTAGCATTTCAATAAAAAAAAAGTTGGAGTCGCTGTTTGAAAATATCGAAATCTTGTCTCTGTAACCATAAGATCTGGATAATGATTCTTAACGCTATTCTTTAGCGTATACCTTAACATATCGTTATAGAAAATTTCCTTCCATTCCCATGAATAGTATGCAGTCCAAGAGACCATTTGTTGGCAAAGTTATCCCAAGGTCAACCACGTATTCCAAGACCAAGATCTGTAATTAATAAATAGATATTTGTAATATATGTGATTTAATACAGTATATTTCGTAATATGTTACCTAATAAGAGCTGTTGTGATTTTTACTTTTCTATAATACACTCTAGCAGAAACTATAGTACCATTGTTTCCATCTAACTTCTTTTGATAATTTTGAATTGAAAGAATAAAGATATATATTCCTAAAATATCCATGCTCATTTGGGTCTTCAGAGTGTTAAAAAGTACCGTCATCATAGATAGTTGTTCGTTGTCAGCAATTCAAGTTCAGCAACAGATAAGATGAAAATTAAATTCTTATTTGAATTACTTATTTTAATTATTAGGTCAAATAAAAGTTCTTCTGACATGAAATGCAGGAATTCTTTTTTGGCTGAAAAAAATTATTGGTGTGTTTTTAAACATGGACACAGCTCGAAATACGTGTTTACAAAAATGGACAAAGCTTAAAATGCATGCCTCAGTAAACGGTGGATATTTAAGCTATTTAAAAAATATAGATATCGCATTTGATTCCGTTTTTTCCGCATTTGATTCCGTATTGTTCTTTATTTAAAGAATTAACTAATAATTCTAAATAAATTCGTAAAGTGATTATTTTTTCTTTTCTTTTTTTCGTGCATAAATTACTTTAATAAATTAGTCTTTTTTGGAAAGACTTTAAAAATTAAGTTGTTTTTACGAGGTTGCCACGAGTGTTATAAATTTATAATAGTGATATTAAATATGCGTTGTAGGAATTTAGAGTTTCAAAACTCACTTTATCTATTACAGTTCTGAATACGAGGGCATCACCTGAAAAGATAAATCTGTAATGTGCCTAGCCATCCGAAATGGATATGATTATTGTTTAAATAAGTATCAAAAAGTGAGCACATAATTCCTCGTTTAGTTAAATTTGGGTTGAAAACTGAAAAGGCGCATTACTGCAGTGCCATTTTCGTAAATACGCATTTCGAACTGTATCCATTTTCATAAAAATGCATTTCAAGCTGTGTCTACTTTTGTAAACACACATCTCGAGCTGCATCTAATTTCGTAAACACGCTTTTTGAGCTGAGTCCATTTTCATGAACATGCATTTCGAGCTGTGACTGTTCTTGCGAACAAACATTTCGATCTGCGATCATTTTTGTAAATACGCATTTTGAGCTTGTCCATTTTCTTAAACACGCCTTTCAAGCTGTGTCCATTTTCTTAAACACGCCTTTCAAGCTGTGTCCATTTTCTGAAACACGCATTTCAAGCTGTGTCCATTTTCTGAAACACGCATTTCAAGCTGTGTCCATTTTCTTAAACACTCATTTTGAGTTGTGTTCATTTCCGTCAATACGCATTTCGAGCTGTTTTCTGAATTAAAAACTCGCCAATGAAATAATGTTTTCAGAAGTGAATTATTTGTAAATAATTTACGGAAAAAAAAGGTTTGAAGTGCTTCATTCTAATAGAAATAGCGAAGCTTTGCTTAAAATAATGTTAATTAAGACATTACTGCTCTTGTTGAATATAATATATTTTGTACCTTAGAAAGTTATATCAAAAAATAGTAAAAGTAGTTCTGTATTGTATTTTGTTGAAATATTGTATAATATTATCAATTTATTATTTTTGCAGAGTGTTAAACCCTTAGTGGAGTATTTGCAGAAGTCTTTCACACAAATCCAATCGAGCTTTGTTGATGTATCTTATCAAAAAATGGTGCTTTTAATTTGGGAACAAATAATTGAGGAGCTAAAGATAACAGCGTCGTCCAATATTGGGGTAATCTTTTTTTTTTTAAAAAAATGAAAATTTTATGCTTTAGTTGTTTAATAACAATTAAGACAATTACAAATTTGGGGTTAGAACTGGAGATTTTCTGGAATTTCGGGAGCAACGCATCTACTTAAATACGGTAATGCTTTTTGTGAAATGAATGAACCACGGCACTGGCCATTATTTTGTGCTCTACTACTTCCAAACAACTACTAACATGAACACTTTAGATGGACTTTTGCATCAAGGATCAAAGGTAATTCAAAAATCTAAAAAATACATCAACTTTGACCATCAATATCTACTTGTGTTATTGAACCACAAAGGTATATATTTCTGTTACTACACGCTAATGAGTTGTACCTAAAATGAACAGCATATGTGTGGTGTACAGTGAGCCAAAAATGAGAAGAAAAACAAGCTGGCCATCCAGAATAACTTTTGACTTAATGATCGGATCTTCATGTTTGATTAGTGCGGACGATATTTTAGGATACGAAATCAGACACAAAAACGTACTTTCTCTGATTAAGCATATCTTTTTTTCGACAGATTCGGATTTTTGATCCCCAAAATATCGGGGGCAGCAGCAATCAGAGAAATATAGTCCCAATAGTTTGGTCAGGAGAGTGAAATCTTGCAAACTAAACTGCTTGTGATCTGAAGAGCTTCGATCGATTGCTTAAAAAAATACACTGATAATACTTCACTTTACTAGATAGCAATCGCATACTCATAAATAAGTCAGAATTTGCATGTTTCTATATAAAACTAACTTCTTAACTTTTTGATACATCAACTCTGGTGGGATTTCATTCGATTTAACGGAAAACATTACACCCAATATTAAATAAATAATCTTAAGAATCCAAAGTGGTAATGTATTCCATGATTAAAAACTTTAGTCGTTTCAGAAATAACAGTCGACATGTTTCAAGCGCTCAAAAAGAGGCACCCATTTTCAAAACTTGCCAGACGTAAATAAGAATAAACGAAAGTGATATGAAGCATAAAACGTTAAGTTGCTAACGAAAAATGGAAAAATAAAGGTGAGAAACAAAACTTAAAAAATCACAGTCTCCGAGAGAGGCAAATTAGTGAAGAATGCATTTCTACACGCCGTGGAGAGGTGGTGAGGAACTAATGTCGTTAGCAAGAGAATAAGTATTCATATAAATAAAACAAGATTCAAAAGCATGAAAATAAGCTTATGTGACTGGGGTGGAAATATTTTTGGCATTATAGAAATTTAATTTATGCTCAAGATTCCAACAATGAGTTAAAAGAATAAGAGTCGGAGCAAAGGCGCGGAAAACGAAAGTATCAAATGCAAAAAATCCTCTGATTATTAGAGGGATTAGAATTAGCATTTTGCAGTGCAAGTATTGTAATGTATAAAAAGAACTTCTTTTTACGTATATTCAATCACACTTTCTACTAGGCTTTACTTGAACACGTAAGATACATTTTTCAATTTAATTTTTTGCTGAATTAAATTAGATGAAATTCGAATTAATAGCATAAATAGTTTATATAAAAGTTATTAGTTTTTCATAATAAGTGAATTTCAAAAATAGTACTTTTTATACAAAAGAAATCCATTGCAACTTTTAAAATATTACCCCCTTTGACTTGAGTTTATTTTCATTTGATTAAGCAGAAAAAATACTAAGGAAATAATACCTCACTTTTCTGTAAAGCAATTTAGTTATGTAAATAAGAGCAAGTGCAATAATGTACTTTTTGAACAAAAAGCCCTTATGACTTCTAAACTATTTATCTTATAGATTCCTGTTTCGTCCAATTCAATTAGGTTTCGAAAAAATACATAGATAATAATGTCTCTCTTGTTTCGATAGCAATATCAAATACGTGACAAGTACGAAATCGTACTTTTTGTACATAAAACACTTATAACTTCTAAACTAATGGTCCTATCGTCTCGAAATTAAATCTTAATGAATCTTAATGAATTTAGCTTTTGAAAATACATCGGAAACAATACCTTACTTGACTGTTTAGAAGACATTTAATTATCCCCTTCAAATCACCCAATTTCCCTAAAAAAAAAAGGGGGGGGACATGCAAAAGAAAGTGAGGGAGTTTTCAGGTAGTCTCTATACGAGCACAATGAAGGTTTCTATGAAACAAAATCTTGAGTGACAAATTTTCCTACGAAAATGTCCGATTTTAGTGGGCTGAAAAGAAAAATCCCGACGAAGTATAAATCTTCTTAAAGAATGTAGCCAGAAGGGAAAAAATTTAGTGTTTGGATAGCATAATTAAGGCAGGCATATAGTTAACTTCAAAAAAATATTATTTTCCTGATCATGCCAGGAATTACAACAAAACAATTTTCGTTCGAAATAATTTCAAAACAAATTATTTCTTAATTTTATGTAATTCATTGACATTTAATAATTATAAATTACTTGAAGAAAATCAAACATATTTTAGTATCAAATTAAATACATCCCTTAAGACTCTGTAGGCATAACAAAATTTTCTCAAATATCAATATAAATAATTCAAAATCCAAACTGCAAAACTGTTGAAATCAGATCGCATCAAGAACTGTTGTTTATTGAATGACATTGAACAACAGAAAGATAATGTAACGTAAGCATCATGCACACCCAGTGCAATGTGAAAAACAAAACTAAAACACAGTGCTATCTTAGCGCATGAAAATGGAACTAACAATACCGCCATCTCAGACATTAGCACAATTTTTATATAGTTGATTCCTCAATCGGGAAATTGTAGCTCACATGAACGTAACATGCATAACTTACGTGAGAGGAAAGAAAAATAGCGTTGGTCTTCATAGAGTTAATTGTGACTACCTGTTATGCAAGTACGTGACTTCTAAGCGAATTTTGGAACCAATTTACAATACAATATTTTGTAATCTATACAAAAAATACAAATTTGGAATATAATTTTGGAACACAAATTTGCAATTATATTTGATCCAGTTTCCTGCAAATTCTAATCTGCCTCTGATTTGAGTGTCAATAAGCAAAGACTTTTCCTCGATTTTCTGTTCCACAGGCCGACATCAAGCAGACGATTTCCGACTGTTTGAGATGACATCTAAAATATTAAAGAAAAAAAAAATTTCATTTTAACTTACAAATAAATTACTACCAACTTTATAATCGTCAAAAAATGTGTTTGATCAATTGTTACAGGAAGTTGTTTGAGTGTGACTGCTGGCGTCATTGCGCAGTCTATAACGGCATCACAGTTTTTTATTAATTTTGTCCTTCAAATTCTGAAACACCTTGCATATAATGCTGATATTTTGCTTAACATATACAGGGTGATTCTAAAAAGATGGGGAAAATTTTAGGAGCTGATAGTACACACCCAAGCAAACAATTTTTATCAAAGAATGCAGGGTCGGAAACAAAACGCGAAACCGCTAGAGGGCGTCAAAGTTTATGTTCTTATATGAGGAAAAAACACACAAAGAACGATGAAGTTAAGTTTTAAAAGCAAATTCAATGGCATGTGATTACAATAAGTGTTCGAAACAGTGGCCGGCAGCGGCTATGCGCGCAGTACAACGGCGAAGAAAAGATAAGCGAACATTCTGAAACACACCAGGCATATCACGAACTTCCCTGCAGCGGCCGAAAGCTCTGCGACAAGTATCGCAGCGCAGTAACTCGCAACAGGAATTGAGCTTTCACGGTTGCATCAAACAACTTTCCAAATGCGCCAGCACCTTTGCGTTTTGTTTTCGACAATGCATTCTTTGATAAAAATTGTTTGCTTGGGTGTGTACTATCACTTCCTAAAATTTTGCCCATCTTTTTAGAATCACCCTGTATATTTAACAAACTACGATTTTCAAAATCAACTTATTAACGCTTAACGGTCCGGAAGTATTTCAAAAAATTCCTACCAGGCATATTTAGGATAATTATATAATAATAATTATATAACAATAATTATATAATAACAATTGTATAATAATTATATAATAATAATAATTATATATTTAAGTATAAAACACTAAAAAAATACTAAAATGATTTTTGTCCCCATATAAGCGGCTGAAAAAAGTGCTATACCGCTTATATGGCTGCATTACTCTAATAAGCATTAAAAACAAAATTTTGTTTAACTGTTTCCCAATCCAATTCGTCTAACATTACAACAAATCATAAATTTTAAAGTTCCAACTATCAGAACATTTAATTGAGTAGATATAAATATATTTTCATACATATAGATTTCATAATTACTGAAGCTTAAAGAATTTGAATAGCTACTGGTCAAATGCCGGCATTATCCTGGCTTTTACTTGGTTGGTTCATGTGAAAGTTAAAATACATTGAACTACTGCAGGATCCGGCACTTTCGGCCTACCTTTTGGCTTTAACAAGTGTCTTTTTCTTGATCTAAATTTTGTACGAATATTTAAATCGCAATAATAAAAGTTTGTTTTATAGCTATAAATTTTCTTAGCAAAGTTAGACTGATCATTAATATATATTTATTAGTGTTAATGTAATAATTGAATATTATAGAATAATATATTATAATTCTCCCTAGGAATAAAAAAGGGCTTCCTCTCAGAAAAGGGCGCTTGGAGTTTTAAAAGGGCACTCAATGAACTACGTAAAAATTTGTTAAAATGTCTAATGCTATTTAATAAATGAATTTGATTCTCAACATTTCTTTAAATTGTTTTTTTATGCTATTTTATGTGTATATTTCAAAAACTAATTCTCACTCTTTATCAAAATAAGAGGGAAATTTGTAGTTTTTAAAAAATAATTAAAGGCATGTAAAAAGACAATTGCGCAAAAAAGTAAACTTAAAAAAAATGATTAATTAATAAGCAACTTCAAAACTTTTTTCTATGCTTTAAACTGAAAAGTATGAGAAAATCAACATGTAAAGGTGTATTTTTCTTAAAAAAAAGTATTTATTTAAAAAAATAATTTTAAAATCAATTAAAAAAATTCATTAATATACCTCTCCCCGAAAAAAGAAAAACTTAACTGGTGGATTAAAATTTAACTAGTTGAGAACACCAACAAAGTAAATATTTTTAATATTAATCAGAATTAAACCTATAAACACAGATAATTTTACCAGTGTATAGTTATTATTTAAACAGTAAAGTAACTTTTTTAAATAGAGTATGAATAAAAAAGCAATATTTTTAAAGGATGGTGGCTTATTTTTACAAAAAGGGCACATTTATAGGGATCAAGGTGCAGGCAGGGAGGGTCGCTCTTCTAAAAACCTTTAGTAGAACAATGCCGTCTTTTCCAAATTTTCTTATATGATAAAATTCTGTAACCATTTCGCTCATGGGCTGCAATAGCAGCACTACTCAAAAAATAATGTTTTGAGATAAGTGGGTTTAAAGTTTTCATTGCTACTGAAAATGCATAAGAAATGCTTCAGTTTGCCTAAACGAAAATTACCTTCAAGTTGAATTATGAGTTGTGCTAGTATTACTACAGAAAAGAATGTGTATTTCCATATTTACACCTGTTCTTAGTCCAAAACGCGTGTTTTTTGAATTGTGCCACTATTGCAGCCCATGAGCGATTTGTTCTTCAAATAAAATGCATGAGACAAAATAATTTAAATTTCCTTTATTTAATTAAATTTTTTAATCTATTTTTTGTAACTGGCCCCTTTAGAGTAGTAGGGTATTTTAAGTATGATTTGCACTTTATGTCGAGAGTGGACGACATGGTTAGCGGGTTCTTAAAAGTTCTAATTCGGAAAATTTACTTATACTTATTTTACTAATGTTACCAAACACGTGCATTTAGAAAATTAATAATCAAAAAAAAGAAAGAAATGCATAATTTACACATTGACAAATCAGTTTTCCAATCAGTAAAAAGCTGCTTACACAAGTAAGTACAAGTTGTCAGCTATGCAATAATTAATATATTTTTTTTTAGAAAGAAAAAACTAGATTTTTCCAACGTTTGCACACGTGTTTGGATATTCTCTTCGATTATTTCGATCACAATGGTGAGTTTAGAAATCAAGACCTTAAAACAGATTCCTACCTAGTGAGTTTATTATCCATTTATATACATAGTTTGATTAAATTATAAGTTAAGGGGGAACAAAACTATTATAACCATTGAGGATGTGAATTATAATGTTATTGAATTATCTGCATAAGAAACTGTATTATTTAAATAATACACTAAATTGTATTTATGCTCCTTTCAATAGAAAAACAATTAGTTTTTTTCTTAGTGAAATTCAAAATTTTTGAAATTAATGCCAAAATATAGGATTAAGAGCTGTGATTATAGAGCACTATGCTTTTTTTTTAAACGACGGTTATAAAATAAAATGTATAACGTTTGTTTTTTCTATCAATTACATATTTAATATATTATTAAATATGTTAAATATATATTTGTTAAAATTACAAGCGTTTTTAAATTTTTTTTTAGAATAACAGTAGTGTTCCCCCTTAAAAGAAATAATATAACTTTAAATATAGCTTGAATACAATTATAAAAAATAAAATTATCAAATTTACTTAATGAATAATATTTATATCATAAATGAATAACTCTAATGATTTACATTGCAAAGATAGTTTCTGTTTTTCAGTCCCTAGAAAGAGAACTGCAACTACAAAGACAAGAGGCGAAGAACTTGATTGAGCTGTATTACTCTAAAAGAATACAGGATCAGGTAATTTTATATATTGTATATTTCATTAGAATATGTATGCTAATATTGTTCTCATTTTAACAGCAAATACACCGGCTGTAAAACAAATTACCTAAAGAGTGGAGTCTGATCGTTAAATCAAAAGTTACATTGGCCACCAAAAGTTAAGTATAGTCGGTCTCTGGAAAAAACTCCTTTCGCCATTCGTCTGGAGCAGTGGCGGTGACTATGGTTACGAGGTTTAACTATTTGGTGTAGAAATGTTGGGTCAATATTTATGCCATGTTTTGGCTCTAGTCTTGGAGAGAAAAGCTCCCCTCTTTGAAATGCGCTAGTTACTATAGCAGCAAGCGGCCTTAGACTTTGCGGTTTTGCTTTCTATAGACAAACAATACAACCTGTTTCTAAGGGCTAGAGACATAGGTTCCCAAACTTTTTTTTTAAATTCCAAATTACTTTAAAAGTAAAAAATTCTTCAGCGCCTCATTACAAAAATAATAATTATAAATAATAAAAACATTTTGCCCTATTTTAAGTCTTTTAAATATTTCCGTTATGATACACTTCTGCAAGATTGTTTGTAAGTTAATAAAATATACCTAATAATTAATGTATTTACATTGAAAACTTCTTTTTTTAATTTAATACTAATTTTTGAGAAAATAGTTCACATACAACAAATATGTTTGTGACATGGTCACATACAGTTTGTCTAAAGTAAGAACTCCTCTAACCCTTCAACTGGATCCGTGGCGGCGACTATGGTAACGAGGTATAACGATTTCATTTAGGGGTGTGGGGTCATTGTTTAGGACAGGTTTTGGCTCGGGTTTGGCGAAAGAAAGGGAATATTTTTATTCGGTCTATTGTGTTAGCCCTAGAGTGAAGAGAAGCTACCCTCCCGCAAATGCGCTATTTTTGATTCCATAGCAGCAGGCAGCCTCAGACTTTGTGGCGAGAGGAGTTCTTACCCTAGACAAACTTTATCTTCCTTTCAAGGATGCTGCTGTCCTTGTTCTTCCTAAAGATCTTGATAAGTGCAAATTGTGTCAGTCCGCTCTTGTTTTCGGTCACCTTCAAGTACCCACCCTCATGACGCATGCTACGGAATGCTCGGGAGGCTTCTTTTTGAGTGGGCGGGGACCGGTTTTTGCGTTGTAGCTTCTCACTTCTTCACTGAGCAAGAGATATAGTGGATTGTCGTTTTAATTCACATATTTTGTTAATGACCCTTTAGAGATCCTTAACAAACATTAAATACCCAAAATTTTACTAGTGCCTCACTAGAAGTCTTCACCGGCCTTTGGAGGGAGGGGGGAAATTGCGTTGACGTTCGAAACCTACGATCTAGGACAGGGATGGGCAAACTACGGCCCGCGGGCCAACTGTGGCCCGCCGGAAGGTTTTATCCGGCCAGCGGATATAATTTTAATTTGCCGATCAGTGGCAATATACATAAACAATATACATCCATTTTCTTGTCAACTATTTAAAATTATTTCTGTTTTTCCTTTTTTAACAAAGTACTGATGACCTTTTTACTTTCTCTATTTTTGTTCTACAANAGAGAAAATATGCACAATTTTTTTTATAAAGTGCGACATAGAATTTTGCAAAATTCAAAAAAAGGGCCGATATAGCCTGGTTGGTAGGGCACTGGGCCCATGTACAAGAGGTCATGGGTTCGATCCCCGTGTAGTAAATGGTGACTGATGTGCGTTAAATCTGTCGAGTCACAAACTACTCCATGTTCCCATCATACCTCTAGGGGTGTTGATACAGGAGTTTCCTTGCCTTCTGGATTGGCTCGAAATTTCAAGGCTACGGAGTTGAACATTAGTAGTCGTAAACCCAAAATTGGGTAGGTTGTTCAACAACTGTTATATATAAAAAATAAAAAGTCTTTTCTGAGAGAAAACAGTATTAATTGGAAACTTGTCACGGAAATGATGATTGGGCTCAACTGACAAGTAAGAATTTGGGTTCCAGAAAGAAAAATGTCAACTTCTAACTGCAATGCACAGACAGCATCGAGTTTTCATAATGCCAAATAAATCGTAAAAATAAACAAGAGAAAAGACCTGGAACTCAGTAACCATCGTCTCAGCTCAACCTTAACGATCGTGGAAGAATGAGAGCAGCAACTTACCTGCCAAGCTACTCTCAAACATTCTCAATTGGATTCAGGTCTGGAGATCTAGCTGGCCAATTCATCTGTCTTCACAATCCTAGAGAAGAACTCATTCCTTACAACAACCCATATTTGTAATGCTACGTGCCATATATGATTGTTTGTCAGTGTTTGAATTTATGTAAATTTCTATGTCATATTAAAGAAAGAATTGTTAAATGCATATTTTCTCCAAATCCCTTGTTGTTGCGTTCATTCAGTTTCACATAAGTCACAAAAAAAACGATATAACTTAGTTTAGGAAGATCGATGCATTCTTTAATTTAAATTGAAAACTAAAATGCTGATTCTTGCACGGTGGCCAAAAAATCGATAGAAAGAGAATAATTTCGAAAGATAATGTTTTTATCATTTTCTACATACTTGCTTCAAAAAATTGTGTCTAAAGTTATCGAGTTTTGTGAAAAAAAGCTCACTTACTTAAGCAAGTATATGGTGCCCCTAACATTCAAGTTAAAACTCAAATACTGTTCATTAAAATAACGAACGATGCATGAAACTTAAATGTTAATTGATTTTAAACAATCTTCTAACCGAAAAATTTTACTTCAATTTTAATTTTAAAAGAAGAAAGAACGTTAAGAAAAAAATATAAGTAAAATTTAAGAACATTACATCAGTGTTTTATTTTGGTTCGTCTTTGAAGTAACAATTAAAAATGTTAAAAATATTTAAATTTAAAAATATATAAATGCCTATTTGTTTATAATTCTTAGTTTACAGTAAGATGTCGACAACCATTATTCAAATATCTTAAAATATTAATAGCAAATATTAATTCATTTTAAGATTAGCTGAATTAATTTCAAGTTGTTTTCTAAAAACTCATTCATTTTTATTTAATATTTCAAAGGAATGCTACTAAGAGATTCTCTTATAACGTATGTTTTTTTCAAATTTGCCTTTTCCATTGCTCGTCCATTTTAGTCATGCAATAAAAAGGCATAAAATATATTAGTGTGGTGTGTGTGTATGTATATATGTATGTTTATACACTGAAGAGCTGAGAGAGACATTATGACCACCTTTAGCCCTCAAAACTGCTAGCACCCGCCTTAGCATTGATTCCACAAGGTGCTGATAGGTAGTCTGAGATATCTGGTACCAAGCGCTCACCAACTGGTCCTGCAATTCCCTCACATTGCGAGGAGGTAGCGAGGCAGCACGAATTTGGTTTTCCAAGTAGGACCACAAATGCTCTATTGGATTAAGGTCAGGTGAATTTGGGGAATAAGACATGACTTGAAAGTCACTGGAATGTTCCTCGACGATTCGACCCTTATGACATGGTGCATTATCCTGTTGGTAAACACCATCCCCCGTAGGTAAAACTGCTGCCATGAATGGGTGAACCTGGTCTGCAACTATGTTCAAGTAGCTTACGGACGTCAGGGATTGTTCTATGAGGATTATGGGTCTTAATGCGCCCCATGAAAACATTGTTCCTGGGCGGAAACCATGAAAACCTGAGCGAGCCCATTGTTATAGATGGAGGGAGGTCATAATGTAATGGCTCTTCGGTGTATATGCACTATCAGAAAAAAAATTCTCACTTTTGACGATTCATCAATCCTTGAGCTGTAATTGAGCTTAGTTTAGAGAGTCAATTCGTCACGATGTCATGTGATTTGTGACGAAACGCGAACTCTCAGAGATACGACGAAAATGTTTCAACTCGAAACCTCATCGTAGCACATTGTGAGAGATTAATAACTAGATTGACGAAACTAAAATGAAGACGAGGCTAACGAAAATAAAATAAGGCAACAAGCCAACCGGTTTGCATGGAGGTCAAAGAGTCATTACGGGTTCGAATTCTGCTTTGGGCAAGGGTATAATGTATTTCTTTGTTCTATCAGTTCTTTCACTGTTTAGGCGACATTAAGCCATCCATATGATGCCCAAAATAAAGTGATGGGTCAGGTGATAGTTTTTTTTAAAATATTTGATGAAATTTGTTTCCTCGAAGAAGAGGTGGCAGTCTCTTCGTCATTTTGACGAAATTTTCACTCAGAGCATATACTAGAAAACGGTTTCGTCAAAAACGAAGAAAGTTTCGTGAAATTTGAGTATCCGTTTTTTGCAGTGTGGGTGTAATATATTTGGTCTCTTTTTAACATCTTGTTTAAAATATAAAAATTTTAATGAATGTATATTTTCGTTTCTTTCAGGAAAGAAGCCAAAATCAAGGTTCATCATTTGGCTCATTAGTTGTCAAAGCTTACTACAATGATGTTTTAGAAATACTTAGTGTTGAAGGTGTGTATATTTAGTATATTGCACTTCTATAGTTCTATATTATACAGGGTGTTCCGTAATCATCTTTTCCCCACAGATAGCTTTCGCAAATCAGGAGTCTTAAATTCATCAAGGAAAAAAAACATCGAATTCTAGGTATTCACTTAAGTAAGAGGGATGAAAAACATCAGAACCAGTTTGATTGTCAAAGAAATCTAGGTGTATTTTATAATTATGTTTCTACTTCAATCAAACGTAGTTTAATTTAAATTTCGGCCTATCTCGTTAATGAATCGCCCGGTTTCAGTTGGTGGGCAGATATTTTTTTCGCAAATATAAATTTACGACCCCTAATGTGCAGGTTTGAGTTAATTTTTGACAAAGACTTTAAAAATATATATAAAGGGAGGTAGATGCGAATAACCTAGACACAATGAGCATACTTAAATTCATAGTCAGGTCGACACATGGCTACTATTAAAAATGATTTTGATAAATTGATTCTACAGTCTAAGTTAAGTTAAATTGCTTAAATAATCAAATAGGCTCTAAAACAATTTGGCTTTATCATTACTATTATTTGTATTTTGACCAGTTTTCCGTATCACGCATATATTTAAAGACCTGATGAGTTGTTTGAAATATAGGTAACAATAAAATAATTTATCTTTAATCACTTACACTTCAAAATTTTATGCTCGACATCATTATGTATTTATTAACTCATGTATATATGTTAACTCATACATATAAGTAGATGTTACATGTATACGTGTATCTTAACATTGTTTAAGTGTCTGTAATCATACCTGCCAAATTTTACTATATTCGAGGGTGTTTTTCCAACTGGTAGTGAAATGATAACCGAATTACAATTACTAACAAAAATAAATTTATATATTGTCATCATGCATTTATAAATGTCTTTTATTTATTTATGTGTAATATCCGGATGTGCATTAGAAAAAAAAATTTTTAGTAGTGGTCAATATTTTTAATTAAATTTATAGAATTAAATAGAAAAAGCATAAACTTTGCTATTTCCTTAATAATTAAATTAAAAATAAAATCTTTTGGAAAATCCGGTGTTTATTAGCTGGCAATTGTGCTCTAAAATATATTATAACTACTAGTTATGTTATAGCGTATCAACACCTGAGGTACAAAGGTGAGCAAATTTTGTATAAGCATTCCAACCAATAGACATAGAGCGATAATAAGTTTTAAGGAATTCAAAATAATAAGGTAAGTAATATAGCAATTTTGGGATTTTAATAGAGAGATTCTGCAAAGCTAATTCTCGCTAACTCTAATGATAAAGATATTTGAGTTTCGCAGAGCATGTGTAAAAATTTCCCTAAAAACCTCTCTAATAATTTTCAAAATGTTTTTGAACGCAAATTTCATTTTCTTTTAGAAAGGCCAGGGATGCGTTTGTTTCGGCCCTCTTAAATTTCGAATAACTCCAGCCATAGTTATAAAAGTGTTCTCTAGGTATAGTAAAGCGCCTACGCTTAAATAAATAAGATTCGTTGCCTGGATGCCTGATGGAAGACCGAAAAGTTAGCCATAATATCACGGAAGTGATGTAGGATGCGAAGGAAAAATAACCTGGCGTCATCGATTTAAAACGAATACAAGCATCGCGGATAGTGAGAAAACAAGAACGCTTGGAACGAGCTTTTATTTGTTCGCGACTTCCTATTCTATCGCGTGTTTAAACGATCTCAAGAAAATAAAACAGCAATTGAGAACTTAGTTCCTATATATAAAGCTTAAAAGAAGTTCAAACATAGTACATTGTCACAAGGAGCTGCGATTGCTCAGAGGATAGACCGGTCGCCTGAGGTGAACTGAGTTCGAAGCCCAGTGGTGTCTAGTCGATACGAATTCCGCATCTGGCTTGCACCGACCAGTGCTGACGTAAAATATCCTGGAAGGTAGACGGATCATGGGTTAGAGTCCTTGCCGTCAGACTAACCGTGGGAGGTTTTCGTGTTTACCCTCCATGAAGCGCAAAAGCGTATTAGTTCCATCAAAAAAAAGTCCTCAACGAAGGCAAATTTTTTCCAATACTTGATCCAGGAGTTCCCTTGTCTTCTGGATTGGGTTTAAAATTATTAGATAACCGAGTTGAACATTGAAAGTCGCAAGCTCAAAATTGGGTCGGCTGTTCAACGCCGGTTATAAAATTTTAAAAAATGTCGCCAAGAAAAAAAATAATTGTTATTAGATTTTTTTTCCCTACGATCGTTTCTTCACGAGACAATGTAAGAAATCATGAACAAACAAATGCGCATTTTAAGCATTTTGTTATCCTTAATACCCACAAGGTATTTAATTGATTACTTAATGAATTACTTTAATGATGATCTATAACTTTGTAACTTACTTTTTTCCTCTATCTCTTACCCTTTTTTTTTAAAGCTAATTGCGCAGATTTTCACCAGGTTACGTTGTAAACGATATCATCCTCTAACACATAACGATTTTACTATAAATAGACATCACTTCAATAATTATAGCTGCATCCATTTGGCAGATATGGATTCGGCAGAGGGTAGGTATGAACTTAATGGGCACCCGGTGTATTTTTACCTTGACTGGTATTTTATGAAAAAATACACAATTAGATAGAATGTTTTACAAAATAGTGTAAGACAAATTTACAGTCAAAGCATTTTCTTGAAACTATACAAAAATCCAAATGTTTGATAAAAAAGAACATGAACTTTCACACCGCTCATTAATGTCTATCAAAATAATTCGAAAATACTATATAATAACGCAATTTCATAAAAATAATTTGAAGCATTATGCTTAACGCTGTTTTTCGAAGATCTGTCGCCAAGGAAAATAAAAAAGTCATAATTTAACAGCCTTACACTTAAAGCAATGCTATGATTTTAAACTATATATACAATATAATCTTGCCGTGAAGAATTATCTGGGCTTTAGAACAGAGAGATACCTTAAATATTTTCAAAAAGTTATTACACTTTGTTTTAAAAATCGCCAATTCGGCGAAATTTTTCCACCTAAATGAAAATAATCAAAATTACTGCCGTATTCTTAGTTTTTCCAAATTTTTATGAGCCCAGGTAATGCAGCATTGAAGTAAGTTTTTAAATATTAAAAAATTAGACTACAAATGCTTTTAATTTTCACAAAACTGTGACTTTTCTCCATATTGACGTTTTGCGCCATTTTCAAAATAAGCGTAGACAGCGCTAGCTTTAGATAAGCTAAACTTGACCTAACAGCCATGAGTAACAGTTGCAAACTCACAGCTGCTTTCAAAAACATATATTATTCGCAAAAAAGCATCATTTCAAATTAAGATGAAGCCTTCGAAAATCAGCCTGCTTTCCTGTTATTTTTTATTCAAAGGTTCAGAAACGATATTTATTGTAATAATTTACCAATTTTAAACTATTTCTTCTTCTTTCAGTTATAAATGCTCGAGACCTACGTGCCTGTGATCCAAACGGTAAGTTTATTAGCTTTAATTTTTTTAAAAACAAAAACTGTAGAACTTTTATATGGCTTCAATGGCACTCTTCCGGAATTAAGTATGCTTCATTAATATTTTAACTTATTTGCATTTAATTGAAATTACACAAAATTGACATTAAAGCAATTTTAGAAATGTTAAAGCCAATTGCAAATAACTATAAAATTTTAAACCTATTTCATATGTTAAATGTCTACGACTATATTCGTAAACATTTAACTTGAGAAAAACTAAAGTTCATCTTACTTAAAGCGACGAATAGTACAAAAATTTTCCAGTATCAACATTGACTGAATCGCATTGAAAATTTTTTGTCAAGAGTAAAAAATTATTAAAATCACAAAAAAATAATTTTTGTGAAAAAGACAGATTTAGTAGTACTTCAGACAAATAAACTCATTCACAGTTGGTAGCTAAACAGTTGGTCCAGCTACAAAAGTATACAAACTATTCCGCAATCAAAAACAAAGTAAAATTCTATACATATTAGGGATCTCAAAATAATATTTGAACTAGGAAATAGGAATCTGCTTGGTTGACGAAGGAAACGGAGAGAATTTGAAAGAAACATCTCCAAATTTCATCAAGCAATCAAACTGATTTCCTTCCGTCTTCTTCACCGTTCAGATTTGGCTTCTCCTCGCTTCAATGTTAATTGTGTTGCGAATTGGCGATTCTTTAAGTGTACACTCTTTTCATTTCATTTTTGATAATATCTTCATAAATATACATTAAGGGTGTATAATATGGTACATTCGGTATAAATCGAATTTTAATGAATTGAGAAGGTAATTATTGAATAATCAGTCTGACTTTTCCTTCCAACTAATCAAGACGAAATTATATTAATGGCGGTCGCTACGGAACACCCTGCATGCATTAACAGATACAGCGTTATAGCCATCTCGAGAATTTTTTAAGCTAATTAAAAAGAAATTACTCTCAATTATAAAAATCGTTTATCCAAAGATTTTCATGCGAAAAATATCTTTTAGTAAATATCTATTATTTTATTTAAGAATGGTCGAAAAAAATTTTGAATTGTAAGACATTTTTTTTGCATCATTTTAAAGAATGTGGCAAAATAAAAAATTCGGGCGAAATCGGTCAAATAGTTCCCGAGAAATCGAATTTTAAAAAAGTCATATTTTTAAAATTCTATAGTCATGCAAAGTTTTTTTTTTCACACTGTACAATATAAGGCTGTCACCTAATAAGAACGTGGGTTAAATTAGATTCTCTTTCAATTTTTTATAACAAAATTATACCAATAAAGTTGGGTAATCAGTAGTTTTTGAAAGGTAGTTATATAGTATACATTTGTGTGTTTTTAGATTTTTGATCTTTGTTTTCCTACAATTTACGTTATAAATTTTTTTAGTATCATCCAAATATGTTTTTCTCAGTTTTAATAGTAATAAAATGAAACTTTACAAAATTTTAAAACTGACAACTGTAAATCGCTAATTCAAAACAACTAATCACGTGTCTTTATTGCTTTAAAGTTTTGAGGAAAATTACATAAAAGCTCCAAAAATTATCCAGCTTTATTTCTCCTTATCTGATAAAGTGACCCTTTTATTTTTCATTCTTTCTGAAAGTTATTGTACTGCCGAATAATACTATATCATCAAAAGTATGTTAATTAAGTACAAGGAAAAAAAATTTAAACGAAAATCAAAAATTTTACGTAAAATCCAAGATGGCGCAAGGGTAGAGTCCTCTTAATGAAAAGGCAATCCCACTTTTCAGTAAACAGTATTTTTTAATTTGGCACCAAATGGTTTTTGCTTAGCTACTTTTTTTTTATGAAAATCAAAATAAAAGACACTACAATAGAAATTAGAATTTGTTAATTTCTAAAAAACAATAGAATAGAAATTCAAAGGTTTTTCATTTTTATTACACATATTTTTCATACCTTTTTCATTATTTTGTATAAATTAAGGTAAAAATAAGTGCAGCATTTTAGTTATTTATGGATATGAAATACATTATGACCGGTAACTTTTTCTGCGTTAAAGATAAAATTCCCCTAACGCGACTCACTTCCAAACTTTCGCTTGCACTTGTTTAGATCTACGAGAAACAGTTATTCATCATTGAAATTTCTTGAATCTACAGAAACAGAATAATTAATAAAATAATAATTTCATGACATAACTAACTATAGAGGAAAGAGATTAGAATATAAGGTTTTTTAAAAGCATTTGATAGACAATTGAAAATGCGTAAATATCAATAACCAAACATTATTTGAAATTCCAATATTATATTACTTAAAATAATATTTGATTATCAAGTAATTACTATAAATATTACTTGAACTTTTATTTCTTTTACTGTTACTTTCCATACTTTGTTTACACCTATTATTTAGCATATTTTAGGACGTCCTTAAACCACAAATATTTGTTGTATGAAAACCCGATTACCTTGTAAAAAGTTATTTATGATCACTCGTTTATTATTTTGGTCTTTCCATTTCGTGAAAAATATTCGATAATCATAACTTGTCATAAATTTCTTCTTGAGTTTTGTAAACAAAATGATATATCTTGTGCGAAGATTCGCTTAAGAATCGATCGATGATGCATAATAATATTTCAACACTTGTTCAAAACAAAGTTGTTTATAATGAGTGAACGATAATTTCTACATATTCTTTGGAAATTTGTCAAACAATTCCATTTATGAAGTGAATCTGCAATGTTTCAAGGAGGGGGAAGGGTAATTTTTTTTCTTATTTCCCTTTTCGGTTGCAAAGAAATCGTTAGATCTGTCTTTCAAAGGTTCTGTAAATAACACTTTTTAGTAAATAATATGTTAGCATCGTTTATTAGCTCATAATGCCTATTTTTATAACTGCCGTAAGTTTGCAATATTTATCCATGACTGTTTAGCGAAGTATAGTCCAACTAAACCAATGCTTTCTAGTCTAATAATGAACATAGCGCAAAATGTCACTATGATGAAAAATCGTTAGATCTGTTTTTCAAAGGCTCTGTAAATAACACTCATATACACAATACTTTTTAGCAAATAATATGTTAGCATAGTAGCTAAATCTACATTTCAAAGTCTCTGAAAATAACACTTATATAAATAACACTTTTTAAGAAATAATATGTTATCGTAGTTTATTAGCAAATAATAATGCCCATTTTTATAACTGCCGTAAGTTTGTAATATTTATCCATGACTGTTTGGCGAAGTTTCGTCCAACTAAGCCAATGCTTTCTAGTCTAATAATGAACATAGCACAAAATGTCACTATGATATGAAAAGTCGTTGTTTTGTAAAAATGAAGAATCTGAGGTCTTTTTTCTTCATTGAAAAGTTACTCAAACTCTGTTTAGAGAGCCTTGATGGCTCAGGGGGATAGAGCGCTAGCCTCCCAATGAGGTGACCCAGGTTCAAATGTCAGCGATGGCTGGTCGATAAGAATTTCGAACCAAGCTCGTACCGACCACAGTGTTGACGTAAAATATCGTCAGTGGTTGGATCATAGCTTTGAGTCCCCTTGCCGACAGGCCATTCGCGGACTGTTTTCGTGGTTTCTTCTCCATGTAACGAATTTATGTGTTAGTTCCATCAAAAAGTTCATCATGAAGGCAAATTTCTCCCAATACTCAGTCCAGGAGTTCCCTTGTCTTCTGGATTGGGTTCAAAATTACAAGGCTACGGAGTTGAACATTGGTAGTCGTACACTCAAAATTGGGCCAGCTGTTCAACGACGGTTATAAAATTAAAAAAACTCTGTTTAGAGTAATAAAAATAAGGAAATTTTGAGTATTTTTCATTAATTTCATGTATTTTTATCTTGATGAAAATTTCTCTGCAAATTGGCTTTTTTTTTTAAAAGTGGAATAACTTTTTATCTGCTTTTATCATATGCTTTTTCTTCGTTTTAAAGTCCAGAAAATTCTTTACGACGAGATAGTATTTATAATGTAAAATAGCTTTTCTGAGTCTAAGGCCCTCAAATTGTGGTTTTTCTGTTTTCCTTGGCAAAAGGGTAGTGAAAAACTCTGAAATAAAGATTAATTAGTCCTATTTTTTTAGCTCTTTAAAATTACATTAATTGTCTCAAGTAAATGTTAAAAGTATTTTATTTAAACCAGTCTTAACTGCCATTTTAGGCAAATGTTATATTTCTAACTCAAGATGTATGGTGCCAATTCAAAGTTGGAAAGTCCTGGAAGAAATGTAGGTCTTAAAATTATAAGTTTCAATTACACATTTTTGAAATTAATTTTTAATAAAGTTAGGTCACGTTTTTATGCTTAAAAAGATTCTTTAAATGTTACAATTTGAATGCATAAGTATAGGGCACATAGCATAGTTTTGAATGTGCTTACTCTTAAAATATTGCCCCCCCGCTAAAATTGGTTTTGTGGAGCAAATTTGTGCAAGCATTTAGAGTTCCTGTTGTAACATTTCATTTTAGGAATCATGTAAAAACTATTTTTGACTCTTTCCTTTTTTACGAAATGGTATAAACCAAATTCAAAGTTCATAGTAACATTTCAAAAAATAACTCTCGCATTAACTTGATTAAAAACTTCATTCGTTTCAAATATATAAAAACAAGAAATTACATTAGACATGCTTACAGCACTCAAAAACAGGCACTCATTTTCAAGAATTGCTAGACATGAATGCATTATTTTTCACAATAACTATTTGTGTTTTAAAAATAAAGATTTCATGGTTCGTGATACACGTTAATGAAATAAATTTCTAAAGCGTCCCTTGCTATGTTAAAAAATTGGATTTTTTTTTTTTAAATACCCTAATATGAACTGACAAATTTAGAAAAAAGTTTAAATTCAAATGCAGCGTATATGGTACCGTTTCAAAGATGGATAATCGAACAAAATATTTCTATCTACAAATAGATTTGGCAGGTACAAATTTGCAAATATAATTTCAAAACTGCTCCAAGAAAGAAATTAAGACAAGTTTTCATAAACGTTTCATAAATTTTATTGCAAATTTCAGAAACATTTTCAGATTGGATGCAAAATTTATAGTACCATTTTGAAAATAAACATTCATATAAATTATTTATGCCCTAATATTTATAGGTTTTGTGGTGTAACTTTGTGAACTAATTTTATAAAATGTCCGAAGTAGTGCTTTTAATTTAGGACATGTGAAAAGAAATATTCTTACTGCGAAATTTTGAAAAAAGTAAAAACTTGAATTCAAAGTGTATGGGACTGTTTTAAAGATGGACACTCAGAAAATATTTTTGTTTTAAAAATATAGGTTTTGTGATATGAATTTGTCACTAGTTATACTTAAAGATTATCAGTTTGATACTAAACCTAATGAAAATTATCAATGCATACCGTACACTCAGTAATATTAACATTTTGTGATCCAGAAAGAATTCATTCATTAAAATTAAGACATCAAACAAAGAATCAATTAATAGGAGAAATTTAAACTTCAAAGGTTTAGAAGATTAGAAAAAAAAAATTTCATTACTTCAGATGTTTATTTTTTACAAAAAATGAGAAAACTCAAAATATTAATAAAGTGGGATTAAGAACTAAAAAGTTACTTGAAGTTATTAAGGTTAAAAAAAAGCATAAGGAGTGTTTGTAAATTTTTAAATAACAAATAACACTTGAATTTATGTAAACAAACTTCATAAGATTTGATACACATGATTATTTTAACAAAGAAACATCTGAATAATATTGTTTAATAACTGAAAATATTCAAAAGGAAAAATTAAAAATAAGCTAAATGACTCATTTAATTAAAGAAAATGTTAAATAATTTAACTTTAGCAATCAGATTTTAAATTTAAAAAAAAACTTATTTGAATATTGATTACCTAAATATAACTCCCTAAGTTCAAAAAAAAAAAAAAATTCAGAAAATATTTTCACCTTAATATTAAAAGTTTAATAGTTATCACGCTTTTAATGTATATGATAAATCATATAATATTTAATAATTTATCAACCTATTCATAGCTGATATGTTTTCACTTTTAAGTTTAAACAAAATATTTGAAGTGATAGAAAAGCATTTCTGAAACTGCAATCAATAATTTGAAGAAAATAAAAATAGGTACTTTAAAAAATAAATATCTCTAAAAGAAGTGTTTAAAATACTATCAACAGTTGTTTGTTTGGAACTCATAACATGCTTACTGCAGCATTAGGCATGTTCAGGTATAATAAGTAATACAAAAACGGATATCATGAATGGTGATTATAGAATTGAACTTAGGAAATATTTCTGAAGATATGAAAAACCATACTTTATTCCATTTAATTTTTACCTGTAATATACAATCGCTATCAAAATATATTTAAATCATGCTTACCTTTAGATCGATAATCAGCATTAAAATTTACAGCTGAAAATCAATATAAAGTGTATGTTTCTCTTAAAAACTCATGTGAGTTCTTGTATACAATACATTTAAAATTTAAGTACTTAATTACATAAAATAAAGTATCAACCATTATGATTAACTTTGCTTTTAATTCCTTATATAATAGTTTTAAAATTTCTTTTTATTTCTTTCAGGTCTCAGTGATCCATTCGTGATATTGAAACTTATTCCACGCCATGTCTTCCCAAACAGTTCTACATATAAAACTAAAGTTCACATGAAAACACTTGATCCAGTTTTCTTGGAGTATTTCGAGTGGTAATATAAGTCATTATTTTATAACTTTTATTTTCACTTACATTTTGCAAAAGCTAAGTCATGTAACTTAAAATTTGAAAGATACTAATATTTTCTTAACGCTTTTTTTTAAGAATTATGATATTAAGTTCTATTATTTCATTAGTATTGTTATAACCCATAAATTATGTACACAGTGAAGAAATATTAAAAACTCATATTTCATGTTGCTGCCTCTTAAAATAACTGCATCTAATCTACTGCAGAATTTCACAAAAACTTGCAAATACTTCTTGCCCATTTGGGCAAGTTATTTATCACAAACTTGAGAAATAGTACTAATGGAACCCACATAAACGTAATCAAAAACCATAATGATGTGCTGATGAATTGAAAGGCTTAGCTATTTTTTTAATTATATCAAATATTCCTTTCATTCATAATTATGCTTTTTCGATTAAAAAAAGATTCTAGAATTAGAAAAATGTATAAGTATGGATGCTTACAAAGACAGTTTTCTACAGACAAAATTCATATATTTTTATAATAGAATCAGTTACTTCAAAAGCTTTATTTTTATTTATTTATTTTTTGTGCTGTTCTATTTTTTTTAGTTAGATCAACAATCTAAGACAGGAGCCCCTTTAGTAAGTTCATACATATTGTTTAAAACAACCATATCAATCATTGAAACCTCAGCGACGTGAATCCAAAGGAGAGCAGAAAATTTATTCGAATTATCAGTTCAGTAATTTTTTTCATAAAAATAATACAACACAAGCCATTTATAAAAACTATAAAAGAAATTATAAATAAACATTCCCTATACATTAATTTATATATGAATGTGTAGAACTATACTACTGGTCATTAAAATTGCTACATCAGGAAGGAATGCAAATAACAGAATGATATTTATTGGGCACATACATTATAGTTGGAAGAACAAGTGATTAAGTTTTCAGGACATTAGGATGCATAGATCCTGAGGAATCAGCACTCGGAGCAGCCTCCCCTGGCAGCAATAACAGCAGTTATTCTCCTGGACATCGAGTCAAACAGAGATTGGATAGCATGGACAAGTACAGCATTCCATGCAGCTTCATCATGCCACAATTCATCGACCATAGTGACTGATGAGTGGTGGCATGACAGTCATCTGGCAACCATTGACCAGACGTTTTCAATTGGTGATGGATCAAGAAAACGTGCTGGCTAGGACAACAGACGAACATGTTCTGTATCAAGGAAGGTTAAGACAGTGCGGGCAACATGCGGTCGTGCAGTGTCTTGGTGAAACGTAGTGTTATGGAGGCCTTGAAGATAAGGCAGAACAACTGGCCCTAACACATCAGAAATGTAATGGCTGCTGTTCAAAATGCTGGCAATGGGAACAAGAGGTGATCGAGGCGTGTATCCAATGGCACCCCATACCAATACTCTAGGTGATGGGCCAGTATGACGATGTCGAATGCAAGCTGCCATTGGGCATTCTCCATGATGTCGCCAAACTCGAATGAGGCCATCATGATGTTGTATACAGAACCTGCATTCATCTAAAAAGACAAAGTCATGCCATTACATTGTATATACATTAAGTTTCAGGCTTCAATTCATATTTAAGAGCTAAAGAGCTGTTTCCAACTTTATCTTATTGAGAAGGTTCAGTCATGAACAGACTTGCAATTCAACTCTCTCATTCAACAGCTGTAAAGATTGATATAACCAACAATTTAACAAAGCATAGGGAATATACAACCCTACAATAATTGAAGAGAAACTTTCAATTCTTATCATTTTTTTAAATTTCTCAAGAAATAATTAAAGGATTATTTTGTAACTTCAGACATAATTAATTTGTGCAATTTTTTATACTGAGAAATTAAGCTTAACCCGGCAGGACACGCAGCTCCTATACTAACACAAAAACCTGTGTGTGGTCCTTAGCCTAAACTATAGTTAAAGCTTTGTTCACCGTAATATTCAAAAACAAAACTATTTTAATTATAAAATTTAAGTTTTTTAAAAATTAGTAACACACGAAATCATTAAAATACTCACAATAATCTAAAAAATAGCATATTTATTATACGTAACTTACTCTAAACTGTCTTCTTTATCTTATCTATTCTTTATTCATGCAGTTTTGACATATACTAAGTGTGTGTTCTTTGCACAAAAATTTTTCATATGTTATGCATGCAGTTGATGATTTTTTGTACTTATTACTTGGGCAGATATAGCAATGTCCCTTATTTCAGAGCTTTCTTTTTTGAAGTAGATTCATTTTCATCCTTTTTGTCATTGCATGCATCCAGGCATCTCTTTCGGCAGTCTTTGGGTCTTGACTTTTTCTTTTTTACACAATGTACATTCAACTTTTCCAAAAAAATTATCGTTGTTCAAAGCATCTTCTTGAGCAGAATCTTCATCCAATTCTTATTGTGAATCATGATCACTCATAATTTCGCAATCAGAATTACGCTGTTTGTACATTAGAAAAAGTGTCCTCCTCACTCTCAACCTCATCCGAAAGTTTTCGCAGCCTCTCCATTTCCTTTTCCTACGGTGTTGCCATGTTGCAGCTAAGAAAAAACGTCCGAACACAAAGAATAGCAATATTCAAATGCATCTTTTTGACTAACGCGAAAAGGCGCGCAGGGTCCAGTCACACTCCTAACTTGACTACTCCTTCGTCAATGAAAAAATAATGACCCTTTCGAATTTGTAACACCTGGTATAGGTTGGTGGGCATATAAAATTAGACTACTGAAAAGAAAAAACTTTCAAGGTCAATCGAAGAAATTCTATTCACAAAATCATCTGGGGTCGATATGGACCCCCGCGCGTCCTGTTGGGTTAAAGATTTAGCAGAGGTTTCAGGAATCAACAAATTACGAAATAAAAGTATTTTTGTACATACTATGCCAGAAAATCAAGCCGTAAGCTTGTAATTTATACCGATCACTTTGGTTGTTACTTGCAGCAACTGCATAAAATTTCATAATACTAACTTAAATACTTATGGAGTTATGGACATTTTTATTAAAAATAATTTGGTCTTGCGTTTTTTTGCTATAATTAAAAAATTATTTAATAAATGAAACAAAATATTTGGAACAATTAAAAATTAATTACAAAGTTATTGCTTTAAAATTCAAAAAAAATATAGTTTCAATTATTTAAAGTGGTAGTAAATATACAATAATTTAAAGTAGTTCTTTCAGGGTGCGCAGTCAAATTATTCAACAAAAAATAAGCACCTTTTAGGCACTGAAAAGATGCTTTTAAGCACTTTAAAAAAATATCATAATTGGGCAGGATTGGAAAGTTTTTAATAATTGACAGTTTTATCTTGTTTTAACCGTCATGTCAAAAACAAATAATAAACTTTTGGCATTGTTTTTTACAATTGTCAAAAATTGTGAAGTTTTGAATCATGTAAAACGAATGGCGCTTTCAAATGCTACAGACTGACAATACGCCGAAATAGATTGGGGTTGAATGAATTGTGAAAACGTTGAATAGAACAACGTGAACTGTGTCTTTTTGCATAATTCACAGTGAAAATCAACATGGTAAAGGAAAAATCTCCTTTTGAAAAAGGGAAAATTTAGCACTTTTTAAAAACACCCAAAGAAAAAAGCACCTTTAAGCACTTTTTAAAAACGCTACACACCCTGTCTTTTATACTGTGCATGCACGGGGGGAAAAAATTCACAATTTTACAGTGAATCGTATTTTGCAACTAATAGAAAAATTCTGATTTTAATATCTTAAAAATTTTAATAGTTTCAAGCAATTTTCTAATAATTTTTTTACTTCTTTGAGAAAAGCTCAAAATGATAAGGGGCTTTCCACAAATTTCATTTCGTATAAGACAACATTTAATAGCAAATGATACCTTACAACAATCTTCCGGACACCAAACTGTGATAGTATTAGGAAAATACATTCCTTTAGGGGGGGGATGATCCTTCACAGTACCGGTGTCCTTTTTAATATATCTTATTTAACACTACAAAAAGAAATTTGTGGAAAATCCTTTATTATTTTGAGCTCTCTTTTAAAAAGTACAAAAATTAAGAAAATTGCTTGAAATTTTTTTACAATACTTAAATCAGAATTTTTTTATTAGTCTCTAAGTACGATTCCCTACGGTTGTGCACCCTGGGCATGCGCAATATCAAAGAGATACTTTAAACAGTCATATCTAGCTCAATTTTAAAGGTATAGTTTTCAAATTTTAAAACAATTTTGTAATTAATTTTAAATTGCTCCAAAAGTTTTGTTTAATTTTATTGAATAGTTTCAAAGCTACAACAATTAAAATTAAGACAAAAAAATTAGTTTTTTTATAAAAATGTCCATATTTCCAAACATAATTAAGCAAGATTTATGAAATTTTAAAATAAAATTGAATTATGAAATTGGTTAATAATTTATTACTAATTATATTACAGATTTCCATATAGATAAAAAAAATCTTAATGTTTTAATACAACACTATAACTTACCACAAATTTCGAATCACGAAAGTCTATTAGCAATGATTCCACAAAAAATTCACAGTTTTGTTGATCGCTCTTTTTGCAACTATTGTTAGAGATTTCCAAATGGTTTTTCAATTGATATGACATAACACTACTGTGAAGTCCGATCCACACATTTCAGTATCACTTTTAGACCCACTTGATTACAATCATGTAGTGCATCCACGTAGTTTTGGTGATCGTTTTTTTTTTCTTAGGTAAGTTATTACATCTATTTGCTTAGTTATTACTATTAAAATCTCATGTTTTAATATGATAGTTCATTAGGCAAACTTCAAATCTCGCAATTGAAGAATCACTTTTTTAGGCACTCTATTATTGGCGATTTTAACCGTAAACCAAATAATTGAATCAATAGTATTAACTTCAGTTATTGCCACAGATTTACTTTTGAAATCTTTTTTTTTTTTTAAACTACTACTTTGTTTGTACCGAGAATTTTGAATCACGCATTTTGAAAATTACTTTTGACGCACTCAATTTATTGTAAATCCACGTGATTTTGTCGATTACATTTTCAACAGTTCCTGCAACGAATTTCCATGTGGGTTTTAAAATTTTGATTTCCTTTTCAATAAAATAACATCACAATCCACAAATTGCGAATGCGAATTATCACTTTATGATACACTTTAGTAGTGGCGATTCCATCTTTAACTGTCAATCTCCTCAGGGTGGGGGTGATTCTTTGTCTTTTGTAATCTTTTTACACCACACGATAAAATAAAAAAATAAATATAAGATTTTTTTGTGGAATAGTGAAATGCCATTGGAATCGCAAAACTCAGCTTCAGGAAATTGGATCAAATCATACAAAAAGTGGAAGCCTCCTGAAAATTATAAAAAAGCTCAGATTAGAGGAAAAGTGGAGGATTATCATCCAGTGATCCATATTGTTCGTTTTATAGAAAAATTCTTAAACTGATATTTATTAAAACACTTAGAATTTCCTACTTTTTCATATACTATTTCTGTTTAACAGGTCACTTCCATGGGAACTTTTTGAGTCCAATAATGGTGCTATAAACTTAGTAGTTATGGATTTCGATTTTATGCGAAAAAACGATTTTGAAGGAGAAGCTTTTCTACGTTTTGACCAATTAGAGTTCATAAACACCATGAAACCACCAGAACCTATTGAGCTTAATCTCACAGTGCCAGATTTCAGTTGTAAGTTTTATATTATTTCGCAAATTAAAAATTACTTAAGATGCATGCTAAAACAAGATATATCAATAGGTTTTAATGTAAATAAAAATATTTTAAAATGAATAAAAATTAAATTTTACACTCACATTTGGATTTTAGGAAGCAAAAAGAAATAAAAGTTAAGAGACATTTTTACAAATTTAAATACCAATGATATATCATCTTTTGCCAGAGATTTTTTTTTAAAGATTAATTTCTTTATTACTTGCTCTGAAATTAAACTTGGATGTCACAAGTTCATTATAATTCAATTAAATATTGCTTATCGAATTATTACACCTAAATATAAAGATTAAAATAATCTTAAATAAGCAGCAGCTTTCAAATATTACTTTAATAGACGTTTTGAAGTTTTTGGTTTGTGAATTCAATTGTGATTTTTTTAAAAAAAATAAAGAATGGCATGAAATTTTGTCAAATATGTATTCTGTTCCTGAAAATTAACTTATTTTTGCATTCATTTTTTTAAAAATCCAACTCAAATTCAAAATGTTCTTTGAATTTCTAAGAAGAACATTTCTATGGCTTGTAGAAAAATGTGATTTTTAGGGAACTTATAGTTCCTATCAATATTTCAGATGAAAATAAATTCTGTCAGAGCAGCAAATTCAATCATAACTCAATTTTACAGGAAAAAAAATTTCTAAAATTCACAAATGGCTTTGACCAAAACTCAAATAAATTGCATATCATCCAACGTAAGAACAGTTAGAAATTATTTATCAAACACATAATATGCATATGCATTTACCAATTTTTCAAATAAAAATATTTTTCCTAACTCTATTTTAAAAGGTTCACCCCCTGATGAAGATGGGAAGGAAACAGCATTCAATGTGTCCAGATTTAGTAAAGGTAAAGTATTCAAATATAAATATTTCTCCCTAAATATAACAATGCTTTTAAATTAAAGTAACATAGCTAAACTTATAAGTGGATGAAGGAGATATTTATAGATAGAGGCATGTCATGAATTAGATAAATGAAAGTATGAAAAGCTTTTTAAGTAAATCATCTAGAAATTTCTTAATACATCTTTCATCCATAAACCTCTATATTAGAATGGGTTTTAAAAAAAGGAATTTTAGAATGCTTTGGTGCAGAAAAGTTGCATATTATAATAAGAATATGAAACACAGAAAAATTTTAAATATCTGTCAATTCAGGGTATCTGCTACATTTTAGATTTTCAAATTCATGACTTTCCATGACTAATTCCTAGATTTTTTTCATGACTTAACGAAGTTACTATTTTCTCCGACAAAAACACAACAAGAAATTTTTAAATTTAAAAAAACAATAAAGAAAGAGTTGAAGCAATAAAATAGCTGAAAAAAATACAAAAGCAAATAATTTTGTTCTGCAGAATTATATTCTAAAGATACTTTTCTAGTTCATCCGAAAGGAAAGAAATACTCCAGATTTTTCTGTTCTCATTTCGGAATTTAAAAATTTTCTCCAATGACTGGCTTGCTTCAGCTAGAATTTTAAATTGATAAAATAAAAATAAATAATAACAAAAATTCTGAAATCACAGAAGTTTAAAAGATAATTCGCTCTAGAAATGATGTTTTTTCTTTCATTTTTTTAAAGAATTCCAAAACTTTTAAAGAACATGTTAAAAAAATTTTATACTTTAATAAAATATGACTGTGAGTGGGGATTTTATTACAAATTTAGATATGCGGAACACCATGAAATGGGGGGGGTATTTCTAAATTCCATTTTAAAAATAAGATTTTTCAGCGACCTAAATCCATGACATTCCATAATTTTCTTTTTAAAAAATAGTTAAAATCATGATATTTCATAACAAATTTTGTTCAATACCGAAATTCACGACATTCTAGGTGCACGGATACCCTGTCAATTTCTTTCATTCACCCATTGTACTTAAAACTTGAAAAAATCATTCCCCTTTCAATTCTTTTAAGTTGACTAAAATTTCTGAATTTTGAAACAAACGCGCTTTAGTTTTTTGATACCTCTTTGTTAGTTTGAATAACCTAAAAAAATTATATTCTGATCAATAATTTAATTTCTTACTTTCGCACGTTTAAAAAAAAAAAAAAAAGAAGTTTTCTCAATTTTTACAGTGTCTCTCCTCACTCATTATGTTAGATTAAATACCCATAACTCACCACATGAAGATAGTTGCACGGTGAGTTCCACCTATACTCAACCCAACTAACCACCTAATTTTATGGAGGGGTATTTACATTATATACAAAGCTTTTCAATACTACATTGTTAAGGTTCTTTTTTTACAACTACTACATATCTAAAGTCTGATTTTTTGGAGAATGGAGGCACAATAGATCTAGATTTGAATGTTGCTCTGATATTCTTCGTAACTATCCATCTCTAACTTCATATTCACATATTTTATTCAAAGCCTTTGCTACAAGTTTTGAAGTAATCCTAAGGTTGAAAGTTTATCTTCAGTAATAAAAAATTTCTAACAGTCTTTTTCGTTGAGATGATGCCTTGATTTTAAGATCCTTCTTATATACAACCTAAGGACATGGTTGATAACAGTTTGCAGTCTGGAATGGGACAAAGGAACAGGATCACAATTTCTCAAGTCTTCTGGATGATGCCCAAAAATGATAGCATTTAAAATGTACTGCAGATATTGTTAGCTGAAATGAATTTGTTGAGCAAAGATCAAATTTCATACTACCAAAGATAAACTTAAGATTAGTTTGAAAACATTAATTAGAATTTTGACATGGTACATCCTCCCTCAATGCTGCAAGACTTAAATGAACATATTAAAATCACTCATTAATTCTGGAACCATGCAAATTAGAGAAATACTAAAGTTTCCTTGTCAATCCCAGGCGATGGAAAGGTGTGCTGAACTTGTGACAGGGGCTTTGAATAAAATAGGCGAACATGAAGTAAGAGATGGATATATCCAAGCAACACTAAGATCTAGACCAGTAAATACTTATTTCACCAAAAAAAATTACACTTTTAGTGTGCTGTATATCAAAAACAAAAAAAAGAACCTTATCAATTTAGTAGGCCAAAGAATCTTACTCCATTGAAAATATTTGTACATAGTTGTAAACATAATGTAAAATCCAATTCAAAAAACTAGATGGTTGGTTGGGTAAAGTGCAGGTGAAACTCGATCAGCAACCATCTTCATTATGGGTTATTCTGATCTAACATTATGTGAAGTTGGTGAACATGTGACATTTTCTAAAACATTGTGCAAACATAAAAAATTAAATCATTTAAATTATCCAAGAAGCATAAAAAGCTAAAATGTGTTTGCTCCAGAAAATTTAAAAAAGGCCAATTTTTTTCAAGTTTTATCCATTTTAAGTAAGGTGTGCAAATGGTGGCAATTGATTTTAAAAATTTTCATGCAATTTTTATTCTTATGATAGGCAACTCTTCTGCAGTAAAGCAATCTAAAGTTCATTCTTTTCTACCCACTGTACCCTATATCCCACAGTACACTCTATCTCATCACAAGCAAAAAAATTTTGATTGACAAATTGCTGGCAAAAAGATATTTTCATGTAATTAAACACAGGAAATGAATAATTTTTTTGAAAAATATTTATTTTATCATTCGAAAGTTTAAGCACAAGAGCAAAAATGCCCCCATTATTCTTAATAATATTATATATACACATTCCCATTAAAGTAATTAGCTTCTGAAGCCAGGTGAAAGAATATCATGCTTTCCCAATAGACTCACGGAGTTCTTCAACAGTGCTATTTTATTTACCATTTCTATATGCTTGGAAAATTAAAATGCCCCAACCATTCTTAATTGGATTTAGGCCTAGGTTCAAGGCAGGCCAATCTAAATATCTGAACATTTTATTGAGAACATTTCACTTTGTCCCAATGATGCTGTCAAAGCTATAATATTGCTTTATGCTTAAAATATTTCAAAAGCATAAATACTTTTTCATGAAAAGTTGAAAAATGTACTTTTAATTAATTTGCTGCAGGTAGCTCAAATATGCATATATATTAAATGATAATATTGATCAGTTGTCCCAATCAAAGCTGAAAATTTTCTAACTTGCTAAATTACTTTTACTTTAATTTTTAAACTTCAATTAAGAAGTTTTAAGCTGTATTAATATGAAGTGGAACATGATTATCAAATCATGACGTATGATTCTTCAATATAAAGCACAATGTGTAGTAACACAATGTGTGTGCTATTATGAATGAGAATTAATATTATTGCATTGATTCATAATCAATTGACAGTTGGCAAGTGAACCCTTACCAATTAAATTTTTTAAGCTTATAAAAACTGAAAAATAGAGAAACTAAATTTTAGATAGCTTCAGGTATTTTGACAGCATAAGGGTGGGAAGTATGACTTTTAATATCATTCCTTAAGTGCATTTTTTTTTAAATATTTAACTGAAAGAACTATTTTAATCCTTAAATGTTCAAGCATATTAGCAATACTGGAATTCCTCTAAAGATAGAAATTTTGTATCTTTTAATCATTTTTTGCACACAATTAGCTTTCAAAATATGCAAAAATTTATAAAAAATTATTTGATTTTAGAGTATTTTTAACATGATGCCCCAACTAATAATAAAAAACATTTTTAAAAAAAGGGTCAAGTTTATTTCTTTAACAACTCAGCAACTGGAAACTGGGTGTAACATTTTAAGTAAGAAATTACAATCCTCATGTACAGCGAACTTGGATTTCTTTATTGTTCTATTTTAATGATGGGATTTTCACTAAGTGCCAATCATAATGGTCCAACTGTGCTAATAAACTAGTATTTATCATTAAGTTATGGAAGCATACTTTCTTTGATTAAACATGGCCAATTTTCAACACATTTGGATATTTGATCATCAAAATATGGAAGGCAGTCGCTAACTGGAACACATGATCCAAATAGTTTAAACGAGAGAGCAGTCAAAAGTTCGGACCCCTGTATATTAATTTCAATTTTTGCGTATTTTGCCACATCTCAGGATGTTTTTAAGCAAATCAAAGAAATTTTATCCACAATGAAAAACAATAGTGCGTGGAGTCCCTCCGCGCGGAAGAAGTGAAATTTCGTAATGTGGAAATGAAAATAGGAAGTGGTAGAAATTGATTTTTAGTGAAATCATATTGTTTCTTTAAGACAAACTTTATTAACATTGCTTACAATTCACAATTGATCGAATCTTTTAATTATCATTTTCGAAAAGAGAAATATCCAAATCTATAACATTTACAATGGGATTATGATAACTAAAGTAAGATACGAAATGTTTGAGTTCTATTTTTTTCAATATTTCTTGCAAAAACTGCTTCAATGGTAGTTCACCCTTTGGTTGTTGGATCATTCCTACCATTTATTATTTCAAATCCAAATTTGTCTTTAAGGAAGGTTAATAATGTTTCAGCTTCAGGTAACGAGAAATTCACATTAAAATCTCCTGCAAGGATCACAGGCCGCTCGTTACCATGGTAGCGTGAAACATTCAACGCAACCTTGTTGGAATTCGCATTAGAAGTGTCACTTCAATAAAATCTGTTCATCCAAATATTACATATCACTTATCAAAAACGTTTTGAATTGGAAGATGTATGAATAATTCTCAGGAATGTAATTTTAAATACCAAAATGCAAAATCTAATAACAGTAACTGTTAAACAATCTGTTTAACAGTTTCTGAGTGATAAATTTATAAAAAAGCTGTCTTTTTTTAAACTTGATTTTTGCAAGAACTGATAAACCAAAAATTCTGTATCTTGTCATTTACAATTATGTAAAAAATTGTATACCTTTCAATTCAATTTTTTTTAACAATTATTAAATTGAAATTCTTCATTACATTGAATTATTTTGAGATAAACAATTTGCTTAAAAACTTACCAAAAAATAGTGAAACTCACAAAAAGCGCAGATAACATTATTCGGGCTCAAACTTTCAACAGCTCTTGGGACCATATGTCATAGATTGCAACTCTTCCTCATATTTTGATGGCGAAAAATATAAATCTGATGAAAAAAAGGTATGTTAGTTTAGAGAAAGCGACGACTTTCAAAGACTTTCATACTTAATAGCTGCATTTTATTTTTCAAATGAAACTGAAATCTTTTGCTGAAAAAGACTTAATTTTAAATAGTATTTTATGTTATTGTTTATTCAAAATTGGATTTATCTTTAAATGGGAAAAAAACTTGTACCCATTCGTGCCTAGCATCCTAACATTGGTATGTTTTGATTTCTATAAAATAAATATTTTAAAAGTTTAATTATTTTTTATAGTTTTTGCATTCATTTGACAGCATTTACTATAATCAAGCAGAATATTAAGTTGAAAAAAAATTCAGGCATTAATGTTTTAACATTGGCGCTTAGTTCACGAAAATCCAATCAATAAAAAGGTTAATCCAGGGAGATTTTTTTTATTTTACGCAAGGTCAGTACATAAAATATTTTTACATTAACATTGCAGTAAAAAAATACTAAAAAATGATAACCTGAAATTGGCAGTCTCTAGAAAATAGATTTTTAATCCTTTTCTTCTTGGAACTGCCCTGTGTTCAAACATCCATATACCTATGAAGTACATTATAAATACAGATTACGTTGAAAAGGTAACCAAAAAGATGCAAGTTTTTCAAACCAAACGCCTGATTCTATTTGGGGTTGTATTAAAGCCCCTTTGCTTAATTACCCTTTTGCTTCAATATGCAATTAATAATCTTAAAATATTATTAATTGCATACTGAAAAAAAATTGACTTTTTCCGCTCACAAGAAAATAAATCAGAAATATTTTTATTAAATTCTGCGAAATTTGAATAAAAACATCTGAATATTTTAATGATTATACCAAATTATCTCTGTTTCCTTTAGGTGATATACTTAATACTCTTGAAACAAGGCCTTGGGACAATGCTGCAACTACATTCCTAAAAAGTGAAAAATTTAAGCATCTTTGAAAGTTTTTCAAAGTATTCATCTAATTGTGAATGATGCCAGCTTCATAATTTCATGAACTGCCAATTGCCATATATGATTTTAAATAAAAACATGACCTAAGACAAGGAGTCATTTTATTTATTGCATGTGTTAAATTCTTTAAATGGAGATTATATATCTCAAATAATTTGTCTTGTGTAATTTTTAATGAGTACTACATCAGTGATTATACATTCTCTGTGACTTCATTGCTTCATTTAATCAATGTAATAAAAATATATTGCCAGAATGTGATGCAAGACTTTTATATTTCTCACTGAAAATCTTGAGTTAAAAGAATTTTAATTTCAGAAATTCAATGAATATGCTTAATACTGTTATTGTTTATGTGAAATATTTGTAATTTGCTTGATTATAATATTTCAGATAAAATTTTGTTTTATTTAGTGAGAAATGTCTTGATAATAAAATGGTTGTGAAAAAGAGATATTTCGTTGTGTGTTTCAATGACTGTAACCAAAATTTCATACTCTCTATAAGTCAAACAATGTATCAAATTCATAGTTTTATTTTTTGTTTCATAAACCAAAGTTAAAAGATACACATCTGAATATCAGGAAGTAAGGAGGTAGGAAAAAAGTATAATATATAACTTGTAATTGTGATCTACAACAATAAGTAATATTATTATAATAATAGAAAGAAATGATAAAAAAACAATGATAATCAGATAGTAACTAGCAGTCACAAATTATTATTTAATCGCAAGTACAGTACAGAACCCGTTACCCAGAAATCAGAAAACTGGGAAACCAAAAAACTGGAACGAAATTCGATAAATTTTCCCGCCATTTAAAAAAAAAAAAATNTTTCCTCATGAGATTTTAGGATTTTTCTTTCTTTTTTGAAAGATGTTCACCTTACCATCATTTTGGAAATAATCATTAGTGTATTGCTTCATCGTTTGTTCTTTTTAAGATTATTTCCAATTTTTTTTTTTTAGTTGGGTTTATCGCTATTCCGGATAACTGATTTTTCCGGTTTTCTGAATCGCTACAAAAAGCCATTTTTTTAGTGTTAAACCCAACTAAAAAAAAAATTTATTTGGAAATAATCTTAAAAATAAGAAAAAACGATGAAGTAATACACTAATGATTATTTCTGAAATGATGGTAAGGTAAACATCTTTCAAAAAAGAAAGACAAATCCTAAAATCCTATGAGGAAAAAAAATTTTTTTTTTTTTAAATTGCAGGAAAATTTATCGAATTTCGTTCCGTTTTTTTTTGGTTTTCCGATTTACGGATAACGGGATCTGTACTGTAATTGATTACTCATCATCATAATGTCTAAATTATGCACACTTATATTATTTTGGACACTTATATTATTTTGCACACTTATATTACACTACTTATATTACTTTATTATATAACTTGCACACTTATATTATTTTGGTTTCATAAATATCTCCATTTAAGATGAACAAAAATGGCTTTAGTTCATGTAAGTTCACACAATATAAGTCTAGGAGCAAAATAATAAAACAGAGACACAAGTCAGTAAAATAAATAACAAATGATCATGCATATTTTACATACTAACTAAATAGAAATGCTGATTTAAAATGCTGCATGCTTTTATATACAACATTCAAAACTGGATAGTTGAACAGTTAACAAGAAAAAATTATTTTAAAAGGCCTTTTTTAATAAAAAGTAGAATTTCAAATTCATCTGGATATTATTCAGCTCATCTAGATTATTTCAAATGGGTAAAAGTACACTCATTAAATGTACAGTGCTAGACCATTTGATTGTCACTGTAACATACTTCAATAATATGATTCACACCGACAAGTAACATGGAATATGATAAATGCTATGAGATTGATTAAAAAAATTATTTAATTGTAAATCTCAGCAAAATATAAGCTTAGACAAAAAGTCAGACTTATTTCAGTCAATGCTATCTTAGTTAGTTGCGTATTTATAATTATAGAAATCTAAGAAAATTTATCTTGTTCTCACAATTTTGATTAGAATAGGTTCCATAATTTTAAGTTAAATTTTAAAAGTGTTGTAAAAAATGAGAATAAAAAAAAAAGGCAATTGTTCTCAAGTACTTAATGTTACTAAAGTTCAAAAATTATATCGCCAAGTAGGACATGCAAATACTTAAAATACTCATTAATACTCATTAATTGCCCTCAAATATTGATGAATATCAACAAAATACGGGATGAGGTGGGGAGATGGCCCCGAAGAGTAAGAAAAGAGAAGCGATTATGTTTGATAACATCTAAATGGTATTAAACTCAATTATAAAAATGCTTTTTCATAACTCAAGTCATGCTCATTTTTTATCCTACATATTTATCACAATTGATAAGCATAAGAAAATAATGAATATAAAGGTGAAATAGCAATGGGAATGCAAATTTAAGAATGACAGTAACATGTTAAAGACATACAATTGGTGATACTTAATAATTTTGACAATACTAGTTTGTAAATAAAAAAATTTTGCATTTACTCCATCAATGCATATTTGTGATATTTATTTGTTAATAATACTAAAACTATTTTGATCATATTAATTAATATTTCTTAATTGTCTGCAAAAGTTTTAAAATAGAGATAAAATTGCTAAGAACACTTTTTCTCCTGACTAATATCAGGTATAGTCATATGTTTTATTAAATTCGCACTAGTCAGTTTTGTTGGATTATAAAAGTTAAGTGCATGCAGTTTTTAGATTCACATGCTCAGCAGATCATGCAAAAATTTTGAAATTTCCGAGCCTTGATACAAGCACATTTTCAAACCCTGATGCTTACAGTTCCTGCTGCATTGCTTCACAAAACTCTCCTTTTTTTCCCCTTCTTTGTATTTTACCTTAGTAAGTCTCACAGTTAAATTTACCACAGCAATTTCATTAACATTTGGTGATAAGTAAGTCAATTCTAACAAAAAATTTAAGCATAAATAATTTTTACAACAGAATTCAGCTACAATTGAGTTATACCTTAAATTCTGATTTATTTAAGAAATACTTAAAATAAAAAAAGTGAAATACTAAAAAGTCAAAACAACAGGGTAAAAATTATGTATCTTGAAATTCAATTCAAATGCAACTAACACGAGCAATAATGTTTAGAATTGAAAAAAAAATTTTAAAAACTTTCTCAATTAATATATATGTTCATTTGTAGTTCTTTAATTTTTCTGCAGTTGTCCTAAACATATTTTTTCGATACAAATTTAATTAAAATAGGTTTACATTTTTTTTTTTTTGCTCCACCATTCAACAATATTTCACATTTTTGAATTTCAAAAGATTTAGCTTTTTCATAACTTTAAAAATGCAGTTGCTTTAAAAAGTGATTTTTTTCAAAGATATATATTGTCTAGCTGTGTTCATCTTTAAAATGCCTTAAACTTTACTTAGAAATGTAAATTTTTCTAACATTGACAGTCAGTAATAAAGGTTTAATTTGGTGGAAAGTTGTCTACATGTTAAGATACGAGTGGAATGTACAATGATACAATGCCTAATATGTAGTGAATTAATATTTTCACTGTAGAACTTTTACTTTTTAAAATAAATATTTTCAACTTAGAGTGTCTTAAAAATAGTGCCTTACACTTTATTTTTGAGTCATACATTTTTCTAAAATCGATAGTCAATAGCAGTTTAATTTGGTGAAAAAGTGACCTAATGGGAACTTTTTTATACATAAAACAAATATTTTCCATGTGTGTCAAATTTTAAAATGGTATCTTTTTACATTTTGCTTTTGAATAGTAATTTTTTTTAAAAATGGCAGCCAATAATAGGTGTTTACTTGGTTGTCAATATTGACCTATTATGTAACAATATAATAAGTATTTAAAAATTTATTCAAAAAACTTTGCAAAGTCAAACTTATATTATAAATAATAAGACAAACATTTTTAACTTAGGGGAGACTGGGGGCTAATGGGACGCAGGGCTAATGGGACAAATCACTTTGTGTGCAAAATAAAACATTTCTATGAAAAGTTTTTATACCACAGAATGGNTTAATTTAGTAGAATTTTTTAAAAAATATCTACATATTTTACTGAAATACAGCTTAAATTAAAAAAGTGTCCCATTAGCCCCCGCTCTCCCCTATACTCATCTTTAAAATGGTATCTCATACTTTCCTTCTGAATTGATAATATTTTAAACAATAGCAGCCAATAATAATTGTTTAATCTGGTGAAAAAGTGGTTAAAATATGTAATGATACAATGGACATTTAAAAAAAATTTTTAGAAAAACTTGCAAAGAAATATTTTTAATTTTTGTGATAAAAATTTTTTATTTGAGTTAATTTTGGTTTCTAACACTCTGTTACAGAGTTGAAAATTTTTCTAAAAGCTGTAGACAAGTTACATTAGTTTACATTTATAATACTTTAGATTTCGCATATTATGGTACAAAATTATAAATTATTGCAGTTAAGATAACAAAATATTCACAAAATGAAGAAAAGGCATGAATATTTAATTATGTAGTTGAAAAATACAAATTTTAAAAGAAGTTTAGTCTGACACAAAAATTGCTTAACAACAGAAAATTCCAAGACAAAGAGATAAATATGCATTAGCACCTTTAAAAGAAACAGGGACAAATGACCCATGGAAATGTTCTAGACGCACCAATTCCATAACAAAACAAAAGACAAACATATTATCATAAGCAAGCAAAATAGAAAAATATCCAATAAATGCAATCAAGGAAGAAATAAATAAAATTAGAGAAACTCTTGTTTCAGTTGATGTGGTAAAAAGGCAACTGCATAACACAAATATAAATGGTCAAATACCAAAGTGTTTTTTTTTTTATTTAAAAAAAAAAAGATTTTATATTTGCAAATACATTTAAGAAAGAATGTATCTTAAAGTTTTCTATGTCACAGTATAAAACTTATAAGAGGTAATGCTTTGTTTTGGAGAAAGAAGGATTGGTGATTTGATACAAATAAAGTCAAACATTAACAAAAAGTTGCATGCTGATACTGTAGTTCTTCATGGAGTATAATGTATAATGAAGAGAATATTGGAAAGTTTTCATTTTTGAACAGATTAATGACCCTAATGACATATTCAGTATAAGAATTATTTGAAACTAAAAGAAAAGCAAAAAATTAGCCTAGTGGTGTCAGAGCAATTACAATTGCATAATTACAACCAGAACCCATACCACAAGCTTTCTGGAATAGAGAAAAAAAAATTTATCTGGAAAGCAAAATCTGGAATGTCTGATTCCAGATGATGCCCTACCATGAGCTTGGCTTAGGACTCTGTTGTTTTCATTTAGAATACGAATGTGAGGGCGTGGTTAAAAACCAGCCAATCTAAGTGTGGCGGTACTTAATTTTTCAATGCCAGAAAGGTTTCTCAACACTTTAATTTTTAAACTTTCTAATATCCTGAAATGTGAAGAAAAATTGCCACAAATTCATTTTTGACAATTGTAAAACATTAATAAGAATTGAAATAAACTGTTGCTATAATTTTTGCTTATTATAGCATTTGTATAAAATATGCCTTGTATATGCCTTTTCTTTTTAGAAAAATTTTTTTTATATAAAAATGCATACCTGAAAAAGGAGAGATCAAAACTAAACTAACTGTTGTATCTCATTTTGAAACTAAAAAGAAAATAGGTAAAAATATTTATTTTTTTGCATGGAATCAGAAATGCTACAAATTTGTTACAAAACACAATTAAAAATTTTAAATGAGTATATTTTGTATTATAGAACTGTAATTTTAAATCCATAAAATGTAGCTCCTAGAAGTTTAATCAGAAGAGTAATGGAAAGTATACAACTTTTAGACGATCTTCAAATTAATATAGTATTCACCATATCTCTGAAAATATATTAGGGAGTCACAAAAATTTTTCACACAATTATAAAAATCATTAATCTGACGAAAACTGAGTATGATGTTATTTTTAATCGTTGATTAAATTTAATGATCCAAAAATATTTGAATAGTAAAGTGGGAGATATTGGGGCAATATTTAAAGAAATAAATATTTAAAATTTAAATGAATAAATTTCAGTACAATTATATATATATATAACAAGAGATATATTGGCTTTTAAAGGAAAATTAAAGGAGATAACATTTTGCTTTTTTTAATATAATAATATTTACACACAACTGTATCATTTATTCCTTTGGTTGGGGTCTATTGAACTTGCTGCGGGTCTAATGAGGCACATTTAATTCAACAAGATTAGTAGAATTAGAGCACCTGTATAAGGAATGTCAGTTATTTTAAGACTTCATATTATCAGACGCAATTATTTTAGAGATTTTATTTCAAAATAGAATGTACATATTCAAGTTGAAAAAATTAAAATCAAAATATTTAAAATTTATGAACAAATAGTTTTCTGATCGATTATAGACAAAGACAATTTTATATTACTCTAAAAAAAATTCTGCAATAGTTCTTCAAAAAGTAGTTCCATCGATCAGGTAATTGTTTCTTGCAGCAATGGCAAATAAAATCCAGGTGTGGTATGATGCACATTAATAAAATAACAAATATTACTACATTACATTGTTACCGTTCTTGCCAAATGTGACTTTGCCAACTTGCTTCATTTTTTTTTGCAGTTATAAAATAGCTCTTACCTGAGCTAATTATTCTTTAGAGTTTGAGTTTGTATTTTTGAAAGACTTATGCTATATGTGAATAAAAATTTTCAACATTGACTTTATTAAACGCTGATTGATCTGGCAAAGCCTGAAACCTCAGGTCAAATCATTTTTATATAGCATTGCATGAAATGACAGATTCAATTGTCACCCACTTTATCATCAATGTGCCAATTCTCAAAAAGTTTTATTTTTGCAGAGAGCAAACTGAATTGCAGATTTTCTAGTCTCTGTTTATACCTACTACTGTGCATTTTTGATGAAGTTCCCAACTACTCTATTTCAGATGCCCCACAATAAAGAAAAGAAAGAAAACTGAACAGAAGCAGGCATTAGAAGAAGCTATAATATCAAAAGCAATTCTGAATAAAAAGTTAGCTTATTTAAGTAACAGATAAAAAGTCTAAAATTTCAAAATCAAAATTCTCTACACATGTCTGTGAAATAAAATCAAAAAAGACATTTATTTTAACTCTCAGAACAGTTCAAAATGCTTTCCCAGATACAAGAAAATGAACTGAATCAGTATAAAAACACAAAACATTGTAAATTTTAAATTATTTCAAATATTCTATGTTTAAAATTATTAAACTTGTCCAATTAGAAAAATTAAATTATCTATTTCATAGAAGTTTGAAGTAGTTTTTTTTTTCTGCAGTTAGCTTCTAAATGTTTCAGTAAAACATAAATTCATTTTAATTATTATTTACTTAAAAATATAGCATTTTGTTGAAATTGATATTATTTTTAAATAATTTCTTTAGAGATTGCCAGTTTTTTAAAACTTTCTTTTGTAAAACTCTTTAATAAAACATTAATCTTTTAAATAACTCATGAATTCAATTCATTTAATCCTATATAATATCAATCCTGATATCACATTAGTCCCCATATGCTAGATACTTTATATTCTTCTGAACAATGTAAAACAAGTTTATTCCAAGTCAATTTAAAAATATAATAAAATAGAATATTATCTAGTCAAAATAGAATATTCGTGTTATAATAGTAGCCTCATGAAAAATCTCAGGTAATATTAACTTAAGGTAATATTAAGTAAAACAATTTTACTTTTTATAGGTCAAATTTTATTTCTTATAATTTTACTTCTTCAATTGGAAAATAGCAGACTTCCTGATATCAAAGTATGCAGCTTTGATATTACTAATTATGTGTTACATAATGATTTCTTAAAAGCTATATTTTCCTTAAAATATGACCATTGTCCTATTAAACTCCAGTTTTCCCTATACATGTTTTTACCTTAAAAGAAACTTTAAATCACAGAATCAGAAAAAACTTTAAATCTAGAAAAAATTTGTATACCTAGAAAATAATTAATAAATTAAGTAATAAATAAATCTCAAAAATTAACTAATACAATAATCATCAGCAAAAAAAATTATAAATTTCTTTATTATTAAAATAAGGTTAAAAATTTAAAAAGTAAAATAAACATTTAAAGGGACTTAAAACTTTTGAACTTTTGACTTAAAACTTTTAGAGCCATGTCAATCAATGTATATAAACTTTACAATTGGTTTCCACCAATATTTTAATGATAAAAAGTATATTTTTATATCTAATTTCATCACTTAAAATATCTCCACTAACAAATTAACTTCTTAAATCATTAAGATAACACATGTTTCCAATAAATTACATAAGTTGTAAAAATATAAAGAACATTAGAACAACTTTCCTATTTGTGTGCGACATTTAGAATCATTAGAAAATTACATGCAAAAGTCACATGTATACCCTGAAAAATTGTCAAATACAGTTTTTTAGTATCAAGAAAGGTTACACTTCAGAAATAAGAATTTTCATATTTTAATTTTGCAATCAATAATTGATAGCAGTTAAATATTACTATATAAATAATATTTTTTCAAATATATTATTTTTTCAAAAAATTTCATACTTGTCAACCTAATGAATGATACTTTTGATTTATATTTAAAATTTTTGAAGTAGATGAACATAGAAATTTTTTGGCATAATTGTAATATTCATACACTTTTATTAAATTTGAATAAGATGTTTGAACAAGTACAAATACCAATTCGGCATACACTTTGACGACTAACATGCTCAGCAGGACAAGCAATAATTGTGAGAATTATCGAACACTGATTACCACAAAGATTAAAAATAATGTTTTCAAAATGATAGCTATGCCTCATGTAACATTTATGTTTCTCTCATTTCGTATTTACTTGGAACAAAATAAAGACAAAGAGACTAAAGTTATAACTTTCTTATAAAACAACAGTTTTTACATTAATAAGAAAATTAGCAATAAAGTACCATGCAGAATTATTTTTAACTGATTTAAAAGCAATTATTCACAATTCGTTTCTCACATACACAAATTTTAAAATTCCCGGGACCTTAAACGTAAACGAAACAAAACAGACAAACTAAGCATTTAAATGCTTCTGTTTACCTATTTCTGCTAATAAAAAAAATTTGCTCAATTCATTTACTTAACTGTTAAATCCCATCACAATTTTATAGAGGGCGCACAAATTGCAAGAGAAATGAAACGATGTGAGGGCCATTCTAACTCTATGCGCATGTGAACCACCATGAAAACCTGGCTGGCGGGTTTCTTGAGGGTAATCAAATCGTATCTCCTAATTAGCAAACGCAAATTTTTCACATGCAGCTCCTGATTTCTGATTTTTAAGAATGGTTTAAATTACATTTATGTTTTTAATATCACATGAAAGTCATGGACAATAAAAACTTTATTTACTTAATAATGGACCTAAAGGGGCATTCACACTTGATGCAAAAAAAAAATTGCATATGCGAATTCTGAGATACGATAGTTCGCATCTCAAATTTGCATAAGAGAATTTTTCGTCTTCAGTCCCAGATAGCAAGATAAGATTTTTGTCACTCAACAAAAACCTTTTCATGTCAACCTGAAAAAGGTTTTTGCACGGTTTGCGTGTAAACCTTCCAACCTTAATACGTGGTCTGCGACAATCTGCTCTATTCTACCAAATTACACTAATCCAAAACCTTGGAAAACAACCTTCTACATAGCAACCTTAAAACGAGGTTGTCTTAGGGTTTTCAAGGGGAAAAAAACTTGAATAAAGCTAGTTCCAAGATTAAAATCCTCTTAAATCTACATAATTATAAGGTTTCTGTTTGCAGCGTCTCCTATGCTCAGTTAAAATCTACATTGTCATGAGATTTTCATTGACAATGCAATTGACTTTTGCATGTTTTCCTTCCTTATACAATCCTATTTTGGTGCATGAACGTTCATTGTAAGGTAATTATCATTTGTCATTTAATTTTGTCTTATGATATAAAATAACATTTGTAAAAAACTCCTTATCATTTTGAGTTTCTTTTAAAAAATACAAAAACTACTTAGAAAATTGCTTGGAATATTTAAAATTTTTAAAATATTAATATTGGACTTTTTTCATTAGCTGCCAAATATGATTCACTACAAAATTATGAAGGAAAAAAAATGCTAAACTTTTTCCACGCATGCGCAGTATAAAAAAACTACTTTAATTACTTATACATTATTACTTTAATTACTTATACACTATATTACTTATACGATTTCATCGAATATTTTTTAAGTAAAAAAAAAAAGCGTAAAACAAAAAAAATTTAGTTTTTTTTATAAAAATGTCCATATCTCCATAAATATTTAAGCTAGACTTTTAAAACTTTGTGCAAATATGGCATATAATAACCAAAGTAATTTTTTCAAGAGACAAATTTATTGCTGCATTTTCAGACATAGGGTGTTCAAAAATATTATTTTCTGTTTGTAATTTATTGTTGGTTCCTCAAACCTCTAAAAGGTTTGAAACTTCATTTATAAGTATGAGAAAACGCATGATTTAAACAGTTCTAAAGTTACAAAATCATCTTTATGTTTTGCTTGAGAAATATGAAAAAGTGTATTAGCATAGAAGTGTTTCCATTATTTTGTCCACCCCTTGTTTATGATCCTTTTATATTAGAGCATGTATTCCCTAACTTAGTGACGACGTAGACCCATCTAACTACCTCTCACTCAGTTAAAAAAAATTACAAGGCAAGGAGCATTTAAAAGCCAATCAAAAGGTGGGAAAGTAATATGCTGGATTAAGAATGTCTTTGTTACAGTTTCCAATGATTGAGTGTATCGTAAGTGAGAGGTTTTAATCTAGTGCCCCCTTAAAGGCTTATATTTTCTCCCTTTTTAAAAATTCTGGATAATAGTTTTCACGTCAGCAGTAGTTAGCACATCATTAAGTGAAAAAAAGTTTATTGTCGAGTTCGAAATAGCTTAAAAATTTCCACTTAAAAATTTTACTTAAAATTCTTACTTAAAATATTAGTATTTTCTTAAAAAAGTTAAACTAAGTGGGCATGCAGGAGAAAATTAAATTTAAAAGAAAAATGTCAGGAAAAGTTTTCATTTTTTCCACGCTTTCAATTAATTAGCTTAAAATATTAATCATTCGTTTTAATTTGCTTCAGACAGAGCACCGTTTGATCAGCTTACTCAAATTACGTAAGATCGTTAATATTAGAATACGTTGCACGCGATAAGAAGGTTGCCTGGTTAAAAAATCTTGGATTTATGGAAAATATTTATAATTTTTGAAAATTGAGGAAAAATTCTCTTTTAACCCCTTCCTTCTCACTCTCGTGAAAATGATGGGGTGAGTTTTCGCCTTTATTTCTCATTTTACACACCTGATGGCAGTACCAGAATATTTTTAAGGTAATTGTAGATTGTTAGTTTGTTTTAAATTAGTTGCAGCACTAATCAAATACGTAATACAAGTACAAAAGCCAAAAAAAATAGACATTTTTATGACCGTTTTCTTGAAAATTAACCGATCGTTAAGGGGTTAACCTTTCTATTTTTTTTTATATCCGTCGTTGAACAGCCGACCCAATTTTGGGCTTACGACTACTAATGTTCAACTCCGTAGCCTTGTAATTTGGAATCAATCAAGAAGACAAGGAAACTCCTGGATTCGTACCCACAGAGGTATTCATTTGTTATGGGAACATGGAGGACTTTGCGACTTGACAAATTTAACGTGTATCAGTCAACATTTCCTACACGGGGAGTCTTCGGCCGGCTGGGATTGAACCCACGAACTCTTTGCCCAGTGCCCACCAACCAGGCTATCCCGACCTTTTAGTCTTTTTATTATAAATTACTTTTACGTCAACTCACATGCAAATTTATCATTTTATTTTATAATAGAAAATCGAATTTTAAATGTTAAAAATGCCGCCATAAAACAGATTGAATTTTTTAACAAATATTTTGCGAGAAGTTTCTCCTTTCACAGTTTCCCCCAATTTTCTCTTTAAATTACTATTTTTCCCATAATGTACAAAAAGGTTATAATTTTTTTTTCTTACCTTATTTAATATTTATTTTCGAAAATCACGGCTGTTAAAATAAATGTCTAAATTCAAAATGAGCAAAATACCTTTGGTTTGTAATTGCTTCTCAATAACTCCTTCATACTAAAAAGTCAGAAGACATAATACCAATTAGTATTTATTTAATTTTTTTTAAAGTTTTTACCCATTAACAGCTCTATTTATACTGATATCTCAACTGAAATAATGTACATAACATTCTACCTGAGAATAATTATAATTTTAAATCCACTAAATAAAAAATATGTTTAGTACTTTATCACATCGATTTGGATCAGGCCGCAAATTTTTGTCAAATCTTCCTTTTTTAAAAGTAAGCATTTATTTTAATTTTTTTTTCATTTTTTAGCTATTTGACTCACCTATTTATTTTTATCCCTTTTTTTTCGGAAATGGTCGAGAATTCTTGTCACGACTGGAAGATGAAGTGATGTCATTTGTGGAATTCGTATTAGTACCATCTATAAAAGAGTTTTTCAAACTTTATTGACAACTGCCTTTTAAAAGATTCCTAAATTCCGTTAATATTTTTAACTTCTATATAAGGTCTATGTTAATAGTGTAAAGTATAGTTCTATATCAATTATTGAAAAACGATGCAAGAGCTAATTAACGGTTATTTATTTATTAGCGGTATAAAAAGTGGAATTACTATAAATAATTCCATTTTTCGTATAGCTTGTGATAGAAGAAATTTCTGGAGTAATACTGCATGAAAAAAATTATTGCTTCAATTTATTTATTTTTATTATCCTTTTTTGTCAGTAGTGGTTTAGTACACAAAAGCTGAAAAAATCTTAACTTCTCGAATGTTTATTTTATTTAAACTACATTCTGATTACTTAAATACTTTTGAAAAACGTTTTCTAGAAAAAATACACAAATCTGCCCAAGTTAACATTTCTCTTAAACTATTTAAATTAAGAAATGAATGTCTGTTATTTTTGTTTATTATTCAGTTGCTCGTTATTTTTTTTCATTATTATTCCCCCCCCCTTTTCATATGTCTATAATTTTCCTTTGTTTTATCTGCATTTTGAATCGAAAATCACTAGCTCGTCGAAAATCACTTGCTGCGATCAGTGAATGGGTGTATGGCCACCAAGATTATTCTGCGAAGGAACCGAGGGTGTGTTGTATCGGTCCTAGTTAAACTGCTTTACCATAAAGTGCACGACGTCGAACAGGGGTCGTAAGGATATCAGAGAGGGGGAGCCATCCTCTCTGAAGAGGATCAAAATTGTGAAGGCATGTCTTCGGATCATCACCAGGGATTTTTCCCAGGCCATCGATAATAGCTCATTAAAAAGACCTAGGGCGATGTAAATAAATTACTACATAAGTTTATTAAGAACAAAAATAGAAAAAACAATCTGAGAAAATGTAACTTAAAATCCAAGATAACGAGGGAATAAGAGTCTTAAGCTAAACCTTTCAACCTCTCTCCTGACTAAACTGTTAATACCATATTTAACCAATACACCATTATTCCCAATACCTTTTGAGAGTAAAAATCTGAATCTTTTAAAAATTCAAAAATAAAATGTCTATTGTGAAAAAGAACGTTCTTATGTCTTCATTATTTATTTTAAAGCAATATCTGCACTAACTCTGGCAAATTTAAGGTATGCCTCTCAAACCATTAAATTTCTTCTTATTATACGCATACAATTTATTACTGGATCCAATTAACATAATCTGGATTAGAACAGTCAACGCCACTTAATTAATTATTCACTATTTTTCACAATTTATATGTATTAAAATATCCCTTCAGATTTAATCGTGAAAAAATAAACAACTTGAAAAGTAAAAAAAAAAAAAACATTTACTTTTTTTACGTTTGATATGATGTATAAAATTTAAAGTATTTTTTATTTAATTGTAAGTGTTGAAATAAGCGAGATGAAAGAATTTAAGAATAAAGTTAATCTTCCAAGGTTCGATTTTTCCTTTTTACTCTACTGCGATTGGTTGATTTTAGTTTAACAACCGTCCTTTGGAGTATGCTGTGGAATTTTTATTTGCAATTCAAATGCTGTGCTTTATAAACTCCTTCGCCTTCTCCCGTAAACTAATATAAATATGTATAAAGCTCTTTTTCCTTGTCAAACGTACTAGTATCTCTCAG